ATTTTCGGCCTCTAGGGGCCCTCGCCGAGCCCTGGGACCGTCAAAAACGACTCTCAGGACGACAAACACTGGTCCTGGGATGGGGTCGAGACTTCCGGGGACCCCGCATTGAAAAAAGCACGACCTCGGATCTCTGGGGAGGGCCGACGTGGGTGCCTCCCTGGCCAGGCCAGGCGGGCTCGCGGCCACGTGTTTGCTCAGCGTGTCGCGCCGCTGGATCTGACCCAGCACGCTCCAGCGCGACACGAGAACCACGTTCCCCAAGCGTCAGCGTCCCGGGCTCTTCCCAGCCTCCCGCCCCGCGGGGCGGAGCGACACGCTACCCGATCGCAAGGCATGGCATGCCGCTGGGGCCGCCGCCGCGACCCGCTGAGCAAGGTTCCCGACCGCGACCGTGCAGTCTCGGGTTGGGCAGGGCCAGCATTGGTGTGGGTAGATAGATCATCAGCGACATCCCGTCCGTCGACCTTGCTTGTGGGAGGGGCCAGCGTCGGGCGGGGCCCGGCCTGGCCGATGGGCCGGTCGGCCTTCCTCTTCCCCCCCGGCAGTGCGGCCAACTCGAAGGCCGCTCTCTGGGGGCGCACTCACCCCGAGTGCATGTCCGGGGGAGCAGTCAAGCCTACAAGAGTCGGGCGGGGCCAGGACGAGGGTAAAGCCATCCCAGAGCGTTGCGGAATGCTCTCAGAAGATTCTGGAACGCTCTCCGAAGGCGGCGGCACCCGTTGTTATTTTCGTTTTGGTTTCGTCTTACAGCGGGCAGTTCCTGTGTTACTCGGCGGCGACGCGGGGCTCGGATGGACTGGGTAGGCACGCGCCCTCTGTTAAGCGCCCAATTTTTCCTGCCAGGGTCGAAGCAAACTACATGCAAACAAAACAGAGCCAATTAGATTAAGCACAGACCTGTGAGTTTGACCCACATGTCGGTAGTTGTAGCCCAAGAGATTCTTCCGCTGCGAATGACGATTATGGGGCAAATTCTGCAACGTCCTAGGCAAGCTACACGGGTACATTCATGCTGGTTTCACGACTTTTCTCGTTCGCGCACCCTGTACGCAGATCACTGCAGCTGTGAACATTCAAAGGCAGGTTCTGCGCAGGCATCTTGGGAGCCTCATGGGGTCTTGGGGCCGTCCCGAGACATGGGCTAACTCCCTCTGCCGTGAATTGGGTTCGTTCATACAGCAAATCAGCATGTGTCCGACGGTCCCAGCATTGACCCCCTAACCCTCGAATTCAACCTCGAATTTCTTGCAGCAGACATGTTATGCGTGGCACATGCGCGCGCCTCCAGGCGCGCATGTCAAAACCATACGACATTCATTCTAGCAAACTGTCTGCGTGCGTGTATTTTCTCATCAACCTCACAAGCAGATTCGCCCAAATCATCGCCAACGTCATTATCATTGCTATCAGCTTCATCACCTTCGCCATCGTCGTCGTCGACATTGTCCCCACCGTCGTCATGATTCTCATCATCGTGATCGTCATTGTCGCCGCCCAGTCGATAACCGAGCGCTCCCCCTACTTGCAAAGTGCCTACTCGCAAACTTTTGAACAAATCACGTGCTTGCCTCCATATAAGGATCGTAGAAATCTCCGCGGCTGATCCAGGCCATTTGCGAGTAGTTCCTTCGCGAGTAGTAGGACGCGCTTATCTAGTCGCGTTGTACCAACAAGTTGCGGGTTGAAATTGCGGGATGATGGGTGGGTAGGATTGTTACACAAGCAATGGTGGTGGTCATTCGGGGGTGCGGTCAACATTAGTCGTACCACCAATGTTACACTTCGCATGTTGCATCGCATAGTTTGCACCTCCTAATGATTTACACCTTGCATGCATGGTTGCGCTGTGTGGGACGGACGCTTGCAACCATATTATTGACGATACAAACGTACCCTACAGAGGACACTCCACTCAATGCTTACGACAGGATGCTGGATTCAAACTGCACGTATGTGCGTATACGAGTATATCGGACGTTTTCTTTTGAAGGGGTTGTCGATGGAGCTGGAACTTCGACGGTCTTGTTCTTTGCCCTGTGTCACTTCGCATTGCCCTGTGGACTCCGCTCTGGCGAGGTCATTACCACCCCTGGCTTCTGGGACCGCCTGGTGTTCGGCAAATTGGCGTTGCAGCCTGGCCTTGAGCTCGAGGTGCTCGCCATGGAGGCTCCCCGATAGCAAGAGGGCGGGGCTGAGGAGGGCTCTTTAAAAATCGCGCGCGGGGAGGGAGAGACAAGGTCAGCACTTCCGATTCTTGGCTCTGGCGAGTCTTCATCTCTTGGCTTCCAGGGTGGACGGAGAGAGGAGCCAGCCTCAGGATACGGATGATCATTCGCGCTTCCGCTATCCCCACCAAGACATCAACACATGTTGTCCCGGCGAATTGTCGTGAGAGTTTAAGCAAAGAAGCATACAGCGAAACAGGGAGGCCAACATTTGTAAACTAGAGACCTTTGGGAGCCTCGCTGGACTCTCTCGTGGCTCTCCTGGTAGCCCCTGGGGCTCTCTGGGGGCTCTCTTGAGGCTCTCTTGGGGCCTCGGGGGTCCTCTCTTGGGCCATCTGGCTGGCCATCGGCTGACTAAGGGGGCGCCTGTAATCAGCCTCCTCCGCGGGTCTTCTCGAGGGGCTCGTGGCGCTCCTTTCTGCCCCCCTCGTCCCTGCTCGTGTTCAAGCTGCTGCCCTTCGTCCGCTCCTCCTCGTCGCTCTCGTCCTCCACTCCGTCCAACAATGCTCAATCTCGTTTTCGTTCGCGTCCTCCATGCGGTCATCGTTCTCGTCCATCGTCTCGTTCTTGTTCTCGTCCTTCACTCCGTTTCACCACTCCGTCCAGTCATTCCCCATCTTCTGAATCTGGCAATCTTGTCGTTCGTGTCCCGCCCCCCCCCCTCACTCGCCCGCCTCTTTGCCTGCACTCAATCGTTGTCAGCTCTCGCTCATGCCAGGTTGCTCGTGTTCGTACCCTGTCGCGTTCAGATGTATCCAAACTTTTTCAGATTCCATCCGAAAGGGAGGCGCCAGGGGGTATTGCACGAGCCCATTCGCGCATTGAATATCTTCATGATAACATCGTTGCATTGCGTATGGCATTTGGGCCAGCAGCCTCTGGAAAGAATTCTCGGGGCGTCGCGTGAGCTTTTGTGGAAGCTCTGTGGGGGTACCCTGTGTCCCTCAATAGTTCTGGGGGTACCTGTAGTCCGGGGGGGGTACCTATAGTCCGGGGGGGGTACTTGTAGTCCGGGGGGGGGGGTACCTGTAGTCCGGGGGGGGTACTTGTAGTCCGGGGGGGGGGGGGGTACCTGTAGTCCGGGGGGGGTACCTGTAGTCGGGGGGGACGCGCATGGGGGGGGTACTTGTAGTCCGGGGGGGGGGGGGGGCGGCATGTCATGCCTCAAAGCACGCGGGTGTATAGTACTTACGCGCGCGGGACCTCACTCGCATCGTTGCACACGACACGCCCGCGCGCACGCGCGCATGCACGCACAGACTCACACGCACGCGCACACGCTGGCCCAACGATGGCGAATTTCTTAGCACGCCTAAGTGAAAATGTGCGGACGCATCTTGGCGGGCCGCTTTGGCTTCCAGAGACTACGTAGCGAACGCGGGGGGGCTTGTAGTTCCGGGGGCTAGGGGGGTACCTGTAGTCCGGGGGGGGGGTACCTGTAGTCCGGGGGGGTTTACTTGTAGTCCGGGGGGGGGGTACCTGTAGACCCGGGGGGGGGTATCTGTAGTCCGGGGGGGGGGGGGGTACCTGTAGTTCCGGGAAGGGGTACTTGTAGTCCGGGGGGTACCTGTAGTCCGGGGCCCCAACACTATTGAGGGACACAGAGTAATTTTGGCGCTGGACGCTGAGTCATTTCAGCGTGACCAACGGGCCGCTTTCTTATTTCACCCTGCTCAGGCACCGTCTGGTGCAAGGCACGCCTGACCAAATCTAACCCGAAGCCGTATTGACGAATTGGTGCCCCCCAAACAGTGGAGAATCATTATTTCTCCGCGGTGCCCACCGCACAACAACAATGACGACGACGACGACGACGACGACGACGACGACGACGACGACGACTACGACTACGACTACGACTACGAGTACGATTACGATTGCCACTATGACTACGACTACGATTACGGTTACGATTACGAATGTAACCGCGACTACGATTACGATTATGATTACGAATGCCACCGCGACTACCATTACGACTACAACCACATCACGAATTCTTATCGCAATCTTCCTGAGATATGCTCGCAAATGCTGTCGCGTGTAGGGTAGAAAAGGGGAGATCGCGGGGGGGGGCCTCTGGCGTTCCTCATGGGAAGATGCACACAATAGGTCATTCTCTGGGAGGAAGAACCCCACACATTCTCCAGCCCGCCCAACAGTAGAGCGAACATAATCTCCACCGCGACGACGACGAAGACGACGACGAGGAGGAGAGGGGCGAGTCCATTCCCTGCCGACAGAAACAGGGGATGGGGGGAGCAAAACTAAAGACCTCCTGAGGTGAAACCAGCTTGGAAATCGCAGTCACCAGGGGGGAGGGGGGAGGAGGAGTCTGCCGGCACCCCTTTTTTGGTTCGCGTGTTCCCCATTGTCCACGGCAGAGAATGGGTCCCGAACCCTGGGTTGCGATCACCTCCGTTTGACGGAAGGGGAGGGAATATCTCAGACGCCGAGCCCCAAGGGGTCGGCGAATTGATTGTCTTAGCTAAAGTTGGTTTATCTCACCGGGTGCGTTCCACTACTCGCAAAGTGCCTACTCGCAAGCGTCCGAAGAAAACACACACGCTACCCTCCTTGTAGTGGATCGTGAATGCTCCGCGGCGGATGCAGGCCATTTGCGAGCAGTCACGTTGCGAATGGTGGAACGCGCTTGTCTATTATCCATTGAAGCGATATGATAGGATTGAGTTGCGTCGTTCGGAAAGGGGGGGGCCTTGGCAGTAGCAGCCAAGGCTGGCGCGCATGTCGCCTCTACTTCCTACTTCCCCTCTGGTCTCCGTTTTCCCGTCGTTCTCCCCTCCCTTCCAAATCTGTCCGTTCCTCCCCGCTTCCTCCATCCTGTTCCCCTCCTCATCCCTCCTCGTCGCCCCTATTCCATACTCGCCATCCCTGCGTTTCCCCCTCGCTGCATGCCCCTCCTCCCTCCTCACCCTTCTCGTATCCCTCTCCATGCAAAGAAGCAGGGAAGGGGGAGGATAGGGCGGGACAGAAGATAATACTGGACCGGGGGCAGGAGGCGAAGGAGTGGGAGGGAGATCATTTCTCCCTTTCTCTCCCCCCCCCCACCCCCCCCCGACGTAGAGCCACGTCCTCCCATGGATGAGGGGGAGGAGGCGGAGGCGGAGGCGAGCGACAAGAAGGAAGAGGAGGAGGAGGAGGAGGAGGAGGAAGAGGAGGGAGGAGAAGGGGTGGGAGAAGGGGTGGGAGAAGGAGCCCGTTTCTTCGTCCCTTCGCCACCGCTCTTCTCGGGCAATGTGCGACCCGATCGATCCGATGCAGTACCGACCTCGGCCGGCCCGCTCCAGTCTGATGCCGATGTTCCGACGACCCGACCGCGTCCCGAGGCTCGCAATGGGGGGGCGCTGTGCGCCCTGGCGGGGCCGATCCGACTCGACTCCGAACCCGTGCCGATGCAGGCTGATCCGGCTTCCAGGCTCGAGGTTGACCGATGTTGCCCTTCTCCTCCTCCTCCTCCTCCTTCTCCCCCTCCTCCTCCTCCTCCTCACCCTCCTTCTCCACCTCCTCGGCGGTAGAGACGAACAGACGTAAGAGTGACCTTTCGCCTGAGTGACCTCTGGTGCGGACCCCCCGATCGCTGAGCGCGAAGCGGCAGCAGTGGCTCCTGCGCCTAGGTTTGGTCCCCCCGGGGCCCCCCCAAAGCTGCGCACCAAAGGTCACTCTTACCCAGGGTCACTCTTACGTCTAGCCGACGGTAGAGGGGGGGACAGCTCAGGGGGGGGAAGCGTCTGCTCGGAATCGGCGATATACATCGCCGATGGATTAGCGATAGGGCCCCGGATATAAAATCCGAGCGTTCCTGGGCGGGGTGGGCTATCGACTATCGGGACACTGTCGGCGATCAGAGGGCGATTGGGCGTCGATGCGCTCCCCACCCTTAGGGGAAACCAGAAGGTACGATGCCGCTCCTCCCTGGACCTCTCCCGGGGTGCATTCTGACTAGAATTTCGAGGCGAATCCAGCAGTGGCGACGAGGGCCCTCCATGAGGCCCCCAAAAGGGAAAACGAGGGAATGGCTCAGCGGTATGGGTGCCTTTTCTTCCTCCGACCCCAAAGCCTGTCCCCCGTACCCCCCACGCTGCCCCTGACCCAGGCCGTCGCGCTCGTGGGCGTCCGCGGCATCCTCGAAGTGGTCCTGCCCCTGGCGGTCTCCGCGGTCGGTGCGGGCCCCATCCCTGCACTGCCACGGGGCGGGGGGGGACGTCTCCGGCTCAGCCGCGCGCGGCTGCATCCAGGGCCCCCCGGGGCTACGGCATTGCCATTGCTGACCGGGACTCTGAGAACTCTTCGCTCTTCGGCGGCGAGCGGGGGGGGTCGAATGCACGTAAGAGTGACCCTTCGCCCGAGTGGCGCTTGGTGCGGGATCCTCGGGTCTCCCCGATGGCTGAGCGCGATGCGATAGCAGCTGATTGCGCGCTTGGATTTGGCCACCTTGCGCCCCCTTAGTCCGCGCACCAAAGGTCACTTTTGCCGACTCAGACGGGCGGCGGGACTTCTCTGAAACCATCGCGCTTGCTGAGAAGTTCTCTCTGTCTTCGGGGAAGCCGTAGAAGACTTCTCAGAAGGCCGGGTGACCTCCGAGCCTTCTGAGAGGGCCCGCCCCTTCTCGCTTCCCCCCGGGCTCGCCCCCGAACTCCTCCTGGGGAGAACGAAGAGTGGGGAATGCCTGGAGCCACGCCTGCGGTTTTCTGGGGCGCGCCAGAGTCCTGGTGTATCATTCGGCGGATCGCGTGATCGGCCCCTGATGCAGTCAGTCAGCGCCACCGAGCACGGGCTCCCAGACGCGGGTACCTCGGCAGCCCGCCAGAAGGTAACGGAGGAGACAACGGCAAGAACGCGGCAGAAACGTGCAGCTTTCGCGCGGGACGGTGCACGGAAGCGGCGGGAGAGCGCCCCTCCTGCTGAGTACCCATGCGGGTGGCGCCGATGCGCCTGCTGTGGTCCTGTTGGAGATCGCTCTGCGATGCGTGTGGCCCTTCGCCAGAGTGGCCTTTGGCACGCAGCCTTTGAGGGGCGCGGGAGGGCCAGGCCCAATCACGCAGGCGGCTGCTGCCGCTGCGCATGCAGAGATCAGCATGTCGCGCGCCAAAGGGCTCGCTCGCCTAGGGCCACTCCTGCTTGTAGCTGAATCCCCCCCTGTCAGCGTGAAGAAGCAGGGGTGGGCTCCCTGTCGCCTCCTCTTCCGGCTGAAAGTGGGGCGTCGATCCGCGCACAGGGGGCCTTGCCCACGATGGAAAGACTGGTTGGCCACTGTGCGAAACGGCGTCTTTTGACGCCCAGAGACGGCCTGAGGAGGATGTGGCCAATTCAGATTCAGGTCGGAGTCGGGCCACCTAGCATGTGTTTTCCGTCGACCGCATAATCCCGCATAATCCTTCTCTTCTCCGCCCGACTCTTTCTACATTCTGACCCCCTCCCTGTCTTGTCCACCTCCTCTGTCCTCCTTCCCCTCATTCTATCATGTTCTCCTCTTCCTGCTCTCCACAATGGCACCTCTGCACATGATGAATACTGCTCTCCTCTCTCCCCATGGCCCCTGTCGGAAGATGGCTGGTTCTCTCCCGTACCGTTTGGTACACAAGATTGGACCAAGGTGATGTTTCCTATGGTTGTTTAAAATTCGATTGTTTTCGGTGTTTCAGAATGGTGCTCCCGCTACTGTGCGGGCCTCATTTTCAGATCGGCGTTTTGCTCCCGTTGTTCATATTGGCGCTCTCGCCCCAGCGCGGACCTGTTGTGTTTCTGGGTTCAAGTCCTTCATTATCGTTGTGGGAACCCTGATTTCCCCTCCTCCCCATTCTCCTGGTCCCTGGTCCTCCTGCTACTCCCGCTCCTTCCACTCCAGTTCCTGCTGCTGTTCGTCCTCGCTCTCCTTCCACATCCTCTTTTCCTCCTTTTCCTCCTGCCGATCCTCCTGGTCACCCGCCACGTCCTCCTCCCATGTACGCAGCTCATGGGGTCTCTTTGGGAGTTTCAGGTCGGCTACGACACGCGTCCGCGGGCACAGACAAATCAGCGCTAGAGAAGGGATGCGAGATATGGATCGGATGTCAGACGTGGTGCGAGCGCACCTGGCTTGCCTCGTCCTCTATCCTCCCCTTCCTTCCCCCTCCTCTCACTCGTCCTCTCCTTCGTCTTTCTCCTCGTCCTCATCCTCGTCATCCCCTCTGCTCCTGTCCCTTCTCCCCTCTCCCCTCCTCTTCAGGCGTGGCCATCACAATCGTCATCCTAGACAGCTTCAACCCCTCGGAGCTCGCGTCGGAGCTGGCACGCCCCTCAGAGCGCGGCGACGACTGCGCGCAGGGCCCCACGCACAGAAACACACAGACAGACAGACAGACAGGCAGACCGACAGACCGACAGACCTACCTACCTACCTGCCTGCCTGCCTGCCTGCCTGCCTGCCAGCCTGCCTGCCTGCCTGCCTACATACATACATACATACATACATACATACATACATACATACATACATACATACATACATACATACATACATACATACACACACATACATACACACATACATACATACATACATACATACATACATACATACATACATACACACATACATCTATGCATACATACATACATACATGCATGCATGCATGCATGCATGCATGCATACATACATACATACAGCATACATACGCCTTTACATACACTCATGCATACATGCAGACATACATACGTACACACATACATCCATGCAAACAAACATAACTGCATATATACCTACGCGTACATACATATACACATACATGCATGCATACATACATACATACTACATACATATACACACAAGCACGCACGCACACACACACACGTGCACATACACGTTCACTCGGGTCTCCATCGGGGATCTTCCGTTTAACTTGGAACGGTGCAGAGTAGATTAGCATGGTCCTTGGGCAAGGATGACACGCACACATAGAGAAGTGGATCCAGTCCCTCGGGCCACGAGTAACATAAACATATACATACGCACACGACACACACATACACAACCATACCGTGCACTATCCTGACTCGTCCTCCTCTTCCTCCCATTCTGCACCTGCCCTCGCCTTCCGCCTCGCCCTACTCCGCTGCCTTCTGCTCCTGCTCTCCTGCTCCTCCTGATGCCGCTCCCGCTGCTGATGATTTTCCACCCCCTCACCAGGGATGTGTGTAGCGAGCTCTCCGGTGATGGGCAGTACCCTTTTGTTATATTCCTTTCCCCTCCCTTCCCTTCGTTTGCCACGTCCTGACCGCCTGCCCAGGCAGTTTCGCTCTGCTCTGCTCTCTTCCCTTCCAGCTTCCCCCCAGCTCCCTTCCCCTCAGCTCCCTTCAAGCTTCCCCCCAGATCCCTTGCCTTCCAGTTGCGTTCTCCTGCCCCCCCATAACCACGGGAGCCCAACTCATCGGCGGGCGGAACGCGGCGGCCCAGGGGCTTGAAATTGTGGAGAGGTGGACTTGAACGCGAGGGCCCCTTCAACGAGCTGCACTGTGCGCAAGGTGTGCTGGAGGGCAGGCAGCATCCGCGGTGCAACGGCCCAACCACGGAGGTGAACAGGTGCAGATTGACCAGTTGGCACCGCCGTTGTTGGAGGTGCTGATTGTCCAAGGTCTCGAGCGACAACGTGAACTCAAGCTTGGGGCGAAATGGTTTGAAGACCCACAGCTTCGAGTCTCACTCTGTGCCGTGACAGTGTCGAGCAAGAGCTTCGTTCGCCCTACATAATGATGCCTTGGGCGTTGTTCAATCGGTCTCCCATTCGGCGCATTGAAAGTTATTTTTATGTTAGCGCTTTTATGTTCAACAAAAGCTAACATTGCTAACATAACACCTTTGCTTGTCCGTTCGTGTTCTTTGATCAGTTTTTTAAGATCAAAGTGATTGCGTTGTTTTATGTTCAATTCACTACACGTGTTCGATTCCTTGTCGTTGCGTCTAGTCCTCCCTATAGTACGTGCGTTGCTTGTGATTAGTTTGCCCTTCTCTGGCCCTTGCTGCTGGCTGGTCCCAGGGCCTCCGGGCATGGTTCGCGTAAGTGTTAGACTGGTGTGAGCTCGTGTGCTTGCGTTTTTAGCTCGGCGCACTGATCGCGAGGAACGGGAGAGCGGGAGCGAAGACGGCAGGGAAGACAAGGAGCAGCCTTCGACAAGCAGCCTTTGATCCACAGCGACGGGTCTACAACCGTTGAGACAAATATGTTCAACACGCAAAACAACATAGCGCTTCTTGGCGTTTTCAGCCTGTCAGGAGCCCAGAGTACAAAACTGTTTTTTGTATGCAAAAACAAAGCCAAAAAAAACACGCCTAGGGCGTGCTCAGGCGAACCGAGCCCAGCAGCCCGGCAGCCCGAAGTACAATCGGGGCCAGAGGTTCTGTATCATGATCTGCGCATGCGACGCGGAGTGGACGCGTGACAGCGCAAAGAAGACGTGGTATGTTGCGGGTGCGAAATGTGATTGCGGGATGGCGAATGCACCGGCTCATCGTCTCGTTGAAAGCGACTGTCCTGCAGTTCAAACGGCACGTGAGCAGAATCAGGTCAGCGCGCTTTTCCCATGGAGCACTCGGGATAGACCAGATGACATGCTGCTCCTCAGTGTCTGTTCCACCTTCCGTGATGACGACTTGCCGCGAATGAATGATTGTACGCAGACGTGCCTCGTGGACATCGGTGGCAATGATGTCGACTCCACTCCCGAGGCGATGGTACAGCAAGCCGCAGGACGCGAGGTTGACTTCGCGGAGTTCGCCATATATGGATTTTGCACCAAGCCGCCTCTGACCGCACTTCAGCATGCAGGATGGTCGGTGACGCTCTTAGGCCATTTCCCATTCAGGCCGTCAAGTACAATGCATGCAGCTGTCCCAGCTGAATTGCCAAAGACTTCTGCGATGACTGGATACATGGCATACGGTTTCACTGGACTGCTGGCAGATCGACGGAGCGGGTGCATGCTAATTTCATGGAGGAACGCGGCGGCACAGACGGTCGAGCAGCGTGAGGCTGTCAATTCTTCGTGCTCCCGGGTATTGGCTTTTGCAGATTCCATGCCTGTTTCCGGTACATCACGCAAGCTCTGCACATTCAGGGCCACCGCTTTGGTCAAGGGCACGCGCATCTGGGCGACGACATGCGGGGGATCACGAACGCCAGCTGATGCGCAGATCGCCTTGCGAAGGTGGCATCCGACATGCAGGAGCATATAAATCATGACTGTCATGGGAAGCTTGATGAAGGGCAAAAGCGTTGCAATGAGCTAGCCGGATTAGTTGTGCATGCCCTTCCACTTTACGAGCAAGACGAAGAAAGGTGAGCTAGGGCGACCACGGGTCCCGCAAAGCCTTGCAGCACTCCCACGCAAAGTTTGCGCCAGTGAGTCGACGCGGATCTAGGCCAGCCGTGCTCGCGGTTGCAATTTCCGCCGAGGTGAGGAGGGGGTGATATGACGGGGCATCGAGGCACTCCATTTGTACTGTCGATTTATTTCGTGGGAATGCTGGGCCACAAGCTCACCGCCGTCAATCAGAAAGAAGATCTGACTGCTGCATGTGGCGACACAGTCTTTGCGCGCGTGGGTCGTAGAACTTGGGCCCAACAGACGAGGGGAGTCAAGCTGAGAACGTAGCGCGCCCGGCCAGCGTCGGAAGCATCATAATTCTCCACCTCCCCCCGACAAGACATTCAACTTTGCAGGAAGCTGGCCAAGTGCATCGATGCCACGGTGCACTTGCGACTCGCCGCTGCAGAAGCAACGCAGCGAGTCACGCCCGCCACCTCGATTGCCCGATCTGGTCCAGAATGGCCGTGCCCTTTCGAGGTGCGCATGGCGGTGTTGCGTGAAAGGATCACACAAAAGGAGCTGAGCGGACCGCTCTGCTGGGCAAAATCGTGCTGCCCAGCTGGCTACGGCAATGGGTTCGAGTTCGGCGAAAAGACGGAGTAGTTTGTCGATCTCATCGCCACTGGCGCTCAAGGCAGCACACAAACATCTGTAAATAACAGCTTCTGCTACGGCGGGCAGAAAACACCAAGGGTGTCAGCTGATGCGGCCACCAGAAATTCGACTTCGCGTTTCTCTTCCAAGAGAATGGACGGCGCGCGGAATCCAATCAGCCGCTTCGGAGACTCATCGCAACATCAAGTCGGAAGGGTGGCCCAAGTCATGGGATGGCCCCCCGAGCTAAGTCGGCGACGCCATCGGTCTGGAGTGCGATGCCAGAATTATTCCACGACGCGCGCGCTCCAGACCACTTGAGCTCCGAGGAGTTCGACTTCGTTCTCTGAGGGGGCGCGCGGTCAGCAGCCGCGCGCGTTGCCGTTCGGCCAGCTACTGGCGGCGTGGCCGCCGAGCTTGGCCTGGAGGCAGCATCGCTGCTCTCGGTGCTGCTTTCATCCCATTCCTTCTGCGAGAGCGGGTGGGGGAGGTAAAGGAGGGGCGGGAAGGGGGGGAGGGAGGAGTACATGGAGGGACGGGGGGAATGGGGTGGGGCGGGAAGGGGGGGCGGGAAGGGGGGGGGGGAAGAGTGGGCGGAAAGGGGGGGAGGGAGGAGCAGGAGAAGAGGCGACCACAGGAAGAGAGCCCTGGCCTCCGAGGCCTCCCCCGCCCCCCCCCCCCCGTGTCTTGGCCTCCCTGGCCTGCTTGCCCCCCCCCCCCCCCCGGGCTGCGGACTGCATTGTGTTCGGCGTCGTGTCGCCGCGCCGTCGCGGCCCTGCCTTGGCCCCCCCCCCTGCCTTGGCTCCCCCCTCTGGTAGCCCGGGCCTCCGTGGCCCCCCTCGGCCTCCCTGCCCTGGTCCCCATACCCATCCCCCCCCCCTCCCCTCCCCTGCCCTTCCCCCCCATACAGGGCTTCGACTGCTTGGTTCAGAGGAGGAGGAGGAGGAGGAGGAGGAGGAGGAGGAGGAGGAGGAAGACGAGGAAGAGGGAGAAGAGGAGGGGAAGGAGGAGAAGGAGGAGGAGGAGGAGGAGGGAAGAGGAGAGGAGGAGGAGGAGGAGGAGGGGGAGGTGGTGGTGATGGAGTAGGAGGAGGAGAAGGAGGAAGAGGAGCAGGAGGAGGAGGAGGAGGAGGAGTCGCCGTGTCGTCGTTTTGTCGTGACGTCGTGACCTGCCGCGGCTCCTCTGCCCTGGTCTTCCTGGGTGGCCCTGGCCTCCCCCGCCTCCCGCGCCCCTACCCCGTCCCCATCTCCCCTCCCAGGTTTTCGAGTTGCTGTCGTATCTTGCGCAGCTGCGCTTTCAAGCTCGGGGCCACTAGTTCTCGTGGCGGCGGCCGTGGTCGTCGGGTCCTTTCGGCCTGGCCCCGTGGCGCGGGGCTTTCCTTTTCGTCTTCGTTCGCAGCCCTGGCTTTCTCGGACCTCCCTGACTTCCTTGCGCTTGGACCCCACGCTTCTCCTTTCCCTCGCGGCTCCCTCGTGCAAGCGCCAGGGCATGCGCGCCACTTGTTAATCCCAGGGGGCGGCGCCGAGCGATATCGTCTACGTAGCTCCACGACTAATTTATGAATTGAATGTTTCCGCGGGAAGTAGAGCAAGATGAGTGGAATAGAAGTTCTTCTTGTGTTATCATCAAGGCGGGACCGTTCCAGGGTTCTCATCGGCGCCACGCACAATTGAGCAATACAATAGAACCATCGAAACCACAGGTCGAGCGTAGTCGACGACAATGACGGCGACGACGACCGACGATCACGACGACGGACGACGACAAAGTGCTGCGGATTCCCATTGGGGGGTATTCCCATTGGGGGGGGCAGGGGGTGGGGTTGCGTGGGCTCGCCGCCGTAGTCGATAACGACGACGACGATGGTGATGGCGATGCCCCATGAGGGTTTGGCGGGGTGCTGCGTGGGCCCGCCGTTGTCGCCAGTCGGTCGACGAACGACGACGACGATGTGGCGCCCCAGATGCTCTTGGGATGGGGGTGATGCGTGGGCGCGCCGTTGTCGACGACGACGACGTCGACTTCGACGACGACGACGACGACGACGACGACGACGACGACGACGACGACGACGACAACGTCGACGTCGACGTTGACGTCGACGTCGACGATGCTGCCGCGCGTTGTGGATGCCCCATGGGGAGGCGGGGGGGGTGGCTGCTGCTGCGTGGGCCCGTCGTAGCCGGTCGACGAACGACGACGACGACGACGACGATGACGACGACGGCGACGACGACGACGCGCTGCGGACGCTCCATGGGGGGGGTCGGCGGGTGTTGCGTGGACCTGCCGTAGTCGGTGGACGAACGACGGACTATGAAGACGCGCTGCGTATGTCATAGGAGGGCTGGGGTGCTGCGTGGGACCCCCGAAGGCAACAACGACAAGGACGATTGAATCCGATTGCAATCCGATTGTATTGTTCTTCGAATATTTTCGAAACTCTGTCGGGATGCGATTGGAATCCTTTTGGGGTCCTGATGGGTCCCAGGAATCCGATTTGAATCCCATTCGGATCCTACGGGGATCTTATTGGAGTCCGAGTGGGGAATTCTTGCGATCCAGTTGGGTTTCTATCAGACAGTTGGATCCTCTTGGGATACTCGTGTTATAGGAAGCCATCGGAAACCATCGAAAGAGAGATAGAGAGGAAATCGGAAAGAGAGAGAGAGAGAGAGAGACAGAGGGAGGGAGGGATGGCGAGAGGCATTGCAACATGCGAGGGACTGCGACCATGTAGATCCCATGTGGTACCACTTGTCAACACATTGCTTTTAGACCAGGGAATATCCCCCCCAGCCCGCACCGACGGCACTGTTATAGCACAAGAACTGTCACAGAATAATTTCCGCGGGGAGGAACAGAACAATACCGAATTCGATTGAAATATTGATGGGGTCCAATTGGAATCCTAATTGAGTCTGATTGGGATCTGATTGGAACACCATTGGGATGCGATGCGAGTCTCGTTGGAATCCTTAGGAATCCTGCTGAACTCCGATTGGGCTGTTTTTAATCCTGCTAGAAATCCGATTGGAATCCGATAGGGTTTTTACTGGGATCCTAGTTGGTTTCGATTAGAATATTGTTGAAACTATGGCTGGGATCTACTTGGAATCCGATCGGAGTCCTCGTTGGAATATGATTCGAATCCCATTGGGATCGAATTTGGATCTCATTGTGACCTTATTGGAATATGTTTGGAATTCGACTCGGATCTGATCGGGATCCTATTAGAACCTTAATGGAATCCGATCGGAGTCCAGAATTGAATCCGACTACGATCTGATTGGGATCTTCTTGGGATCTTACTGTGACCCTTGAGAACTCGATTGGATCAACATTTGGAATGCGATTGGGGTCCCATCGGTTTTGGAATTCCGGTCCAGATCCTATTGGGATCTTCCTGGAATCCTGAGGAGCCCTGAGAGGCCAGGGAGGTCAGGGCGTGGGGATCACATCCAGGGGGCGAGGACGATACAGCTTCGCCGAAAAATGGGGGTCGATAGTTGCCCCCCAAGGTGGAGGCACTCATACTCGGACGCACGCAGACCCTCAGACCTGGCCGCTCCTGTTGTGACGAGCGCACACAGACTCACACACCCATACGAACTTATGTTGACTCTTGCTCGAACTAGCTACTCATGCTGAGTCGCTGATACCTAGGCCCACCAGATTTCATATACACTCATTCCGAGACCCGCTCATACTCAGACCCACCTGTATACGGGTGCACTATTACTGAAGCCCGCTCCTACCCAGACCGACTCACCCTCGGACACACTCGCCCCCAGTTGTTCATATTCCAGTTTGCTTACATCCATATGCAGTCGTTCCCAGTCGCTCACGCTCCGTCTCGCTCAACCCAGTTCGTTCACATCCAGGAGCGTCATGGTTGGACACGCGATGAACTCATAGGGGACATCCGCGTGACATGCCTCATCCTGCACCGTTACTTGACTGCCCAGGCCCCGGGAATCCAGCTTACGGAGGCCCACATCCAGGAACAGCCGCGGGATCTGAACCGATCACGGCGTCGGCCTGGGTTTCGCCAGCTCCCTCTGCAGCGCCCTCCGAGGTGTCCCGAGGTGTCGTCGTCGTCGCCGCTAGAGCTCCCCTCGTCCTCGTCGTCGTCGTCGTCGTCGTCGTCGCCGCCGCCGCCGCCGCCGCCGCCGCCTCCGCCTGCGCCGGTCCCCCGAGGTGTCCCTCTTCGAGGCGGAGCCGCTCGCGGCCTGGGCCGCGACGGTGACGCTCGGTACCGCCTCCGGGCTGCGCGGGCTGGGCACCGCCAGCGGCGCTCGGCGGGTCCGCGCGCGTGTGCTGCGCGGAGGCCTCCCGGACGCCATACGGAGCGCCTTCGGCCCTCTGCGAGGTGCCCTGGGCCCCCTGCGAGGTGAGAAAAGGCTTCCTGCCAGCGTCCCGGGCGTCGCAACAGCATCACGGCGGGCATGCGTTCCCCTTCCGGGGGGCCCAGAGTCGTGTCGTGACGGACCGCGAGGTGACCTCGGAGCCCCAAGAGGCCTCGCCGCGCGGTCCGCCACCGCGCGGCTTTGGGGCCCTGGAGGCCCTCGTCGCCCGACACGTCCTCGGAGAACGACCCCGGTGTCAAATTGCACCAGCAACCAAACGACACCACCCCTCCTACGGTCCCATGGGGCTCAGCGTATTACCAGGAAATCCAGCGTGGGCTTTTACGTGGTACACGCTACGGCCCCCAACGAGCCGTACCGCAACGTGGAGGGCCCTGGGTGGGGTGGTGTCGTCTGTTCTCTGGTGGACAAACCGTGCGGCGACCCCCGCATCCCCGCTTGGCTCACCACGCGGTGGGGTCACCACAGCTTGCCTGAGGGCCCCCGAGTCCTCCGCCTCGGCCTCCACGGGCCGGCTCCTCGGGCCACGGGGCCGCTCCAGGGCGAGAGCTCGGCCCGCCCCAGGGGGGCCAGACGGGGCCCGGACGAGGATAGCTCCGCTCCACGCAGACCCCCTCGGACAATGAAAACGTCATGACGGGAGGTTTTTCAATGTCTTCGGCCTCTCCAGGCCCTTCCCGGGCCTCGGGACTGTCAAGGAACGACTCAGGATGAAAACCCGGTCCAGGGCAATGGGTCGAGACTTCCCAGGCTCGACGTAGTGGCAAAAATCAAGATGTCTGGGGTCTGGGCAGAGCGTTCGGGGACGCTCGCAGCGCGTTCTGGAACGCTCTGAGAAGGCCGCGGCGCCGGAGACATGCTCCAGAGCTGCGGGATCTCAGAGCCGCGGCGCCCGAGACATGCTCCAGATTTGCGAGACATGCTCCAGAGCCGCGAGACATGCTCCAGAGCCGCGAGACATGCTCCAGAGCCGCGACATGCTCACCTTCATTCGTATCCTCGTCCTGGCCTTCGTCTCACGGGGTGGGGCCCTCTGGAGCTCTGTGGGCGCCATGCCTCGCGAGGCTCTCCCGTCGCGGCGTGGCACGTCTGCGACAGGCCGGGGAGCCTCTGCCCGGAGCTGGAGCCTGGAGGGCCCTTCGCTGGCGAGGTGGTGGCCCTTGCAGTGGAAACCCATGCCAGGAAGCATCCTGCTTGCCTCCAGGGTGCCCTGGGTTTCTTGGGTTTCGCTGGTCTTGCCATGGGAAGCGTGACATTCCCACGCCAAAAATACATGGACATCCTGGGGTCTCAGGGTTGGGTTTCTTGTGGAAAGTTTCTTGTGGTCGAGCTCCTACTCTAGACCAACGACAGGGTCGGTTCCAGCTGACGCTCCCCTGACGCTCCCCCCCTTTCGGGGGCTCGTGGAGGGGGGGTCTCCCATGGTGAGACTTCGGAGCGAGCCCAGCTGGATGCTCGCGCTTCCTTCTTCCAGGGGCTGCTCAGAGCGTCTGCCCTCTGGCCCCCACCTCTGCCCCAGACCCAAGTTTGTTGACGCCTCCTCGAACGCTCTGGGCCTGGGGCGAGCGGCAGACAGATGAGAAGATGAGGAGGAGGGGGGGGGAGGTGAGCCCTTGCTCCCGACTGTCTTGCCTGTCTTTGTTCTCGCCGACGCGCTCTGCTGTAGTACCAGGGCCTAGCTTTTTTGCAGGATCGCTACAATCCGAGGATTCACATTGGCGCAACGGAGGTGAGCCCCGGGGGGTCGCGCGGTCGTCACAGTCGTCAGGCGAAGACGCCGCCAGAGCTTGCGGCTGCAGGTTTCCGCCGCCACAAGGGCGACGACCCCTTGCGGTGGGGGCGCGCTCGTCAAAATAATGTGCAGATGAGACTTCAGACCCGGGAGATATCCTTATCGGATGAGTGCGGCGGTAGTATCCATGGCCAAGCCTCACTGCTTGGCATCGCCTGGACGTGTGGTTTGTTTTTCCTCGGCGTAGACCATCGATGGTCATCCTGGATCATCTTGCGAAAATAAGCGCGCGAAGGCGAAACATGCGCACGGAATGGACGTCCGAGCGATGGCAAGTCCATGGCCAAGCCACAGTGCGTGTTCCACCAGCTTCCAGACCCTGAATTCTCTTGGGGCTCCTTGTCCAATGCCCTTAGAGTATCCGCCGTCACTCGGGCGACGAACCCTACGGTCGAGTTTGCTCCGTCGGCCGGCCCTGCTAAATCAAGGGCGCCCTCGTGTCCTGTGCCTGCCGTCTCGTTTCTGTACCCCACCTCGATCGGTACCCCCGCCTCCACGGCCACCGCCCCTCCCCCCACCTTTACGTCCGACGTGCGAGCTCCGCTCCGCGGCTCCAGGTCGCCTACCGTGCTCGGCTCCCGTGTCCGCCGTCCCCGACTGCGAGCACCCGGAGAAGCCTGCCACGGCCGTCAGGGACAGTGAGAAGTGCCCGCCGCTGCAGCACTTAGAGTGCGAGTCCCAGCGGAGCGACGCAGAAGACGGGGTCGTCGTCACCGACATTGGCGCGTAAGCTGCCCGCGTGAGATCGCGCGCAAACGCCCTCGCTTCAAATGTGGCGTGCCGCGATGGCGGCCTGCGCAAGCCACCGCGCAAGGGCGCTGCGTGATCTTTCGTGAGGCCCCTCACTGAACTGTCGCAGGCGATTCTCCTCCCCCAACCCCCGACTTTTCGAAGAAAAATGAAGCCCCTCGGGATACACCCATAAGGGGGCTATTCGGATGCACCTCCATCGAGCATGGGCGCCCCCCCATCGCGTATCCCAGGATTGGGCCCCAAATTTCCGGTTCACTTGGAAAAGCCACGAATCCTGGGATAGGGGTCGACATATCCATTGTTGAAACTGAGTCTCCCTCTCTGATGGCGGCGCGCTTCGGACACCAGACGCCTCTCCTCTGGCAGCGACGCCTAGGCACCCCCCCTGCGCGCGCAGCGCTGCGCGCGTGCTGGGCGGCTGCGGCAGGCTCTGGCCACGCCGGCGCGGGCGCTCGCGGTTTTGAAGCCTTACCGCGTGGCGCCCTCGTCCTCGGTCCCCGCCGCATCCGCCGCCTCCGCCGAGCATGTGGCCCTGCGGCGCCTGCTCGCGGCGCGCCGCGCGCGGCGATGGCGGCGCCGGCGCCTGCGACAGGGCGGCGGGTGGCGGGTGCTCGGAGGGGAGGAACCCAGGCAGACAACGTCTTGAAACTTAGAGGAGGAAGAGGTACCGATGCCGCTGCCGCTTCCCGGGCCTCGTTTTCCACGTTCTGGGCCGCCGCGGGGGCCCTCGTCGCCATGGCTGGATTCGCCTCGAGATTCTGGTCAGAACGCACCAGGGGAGAGGTCCGTGGAGCAACGGCATCGGCGCCTAGGAGGAAGTTTCTTATTCCATGGGCGCAGTGATTGGCATGTTGCGTAGCATATTGTTTGGCATATGCTTGGCATATTGTTTGGCAGTGCTTGGTACTGCTTGGAACCAAGGCCGAGAAATCATTGGCCCTGGGCCACGGAACCCAGGAACCAATACCAAGGAAATCATACCAGGGATCCAATAACCCAAGACCAAGGCACCAAGGAATGAAGACCCAGGAGCCTGGGGAAGACCTGACAGCGCAGGTCCCGCACTGGGTTCTTCTAAACGAAATAAAAGCTTTGTTAGTCAAAACCTACCTGGGGGAAAACAGTGCTTCACCTGGTGGCCTTCGCAAGGCCCCAGGCACGTCAAAAAGCGAGTCACGAGGAAACGCCGGCCCTGGGGAATGGTCGGGACTTCTGGGGAGCCCGTATTGAAGGAATCCGGACGTCGGGCGTCTGGGAGTGTATACTCCCACACAGATGCCCTTCCCCCTCGCCCTCTCCCTCTCGTGAACGTCTCCGGGGGGGGGGCGGGGGCCCTGCTGGCTGGCCGTCTCCGCGTCCTGCATCCTGGCCGTAGAACGCCAGGCTCCACCCCCCGCTAGGAGCGAAGCTGCTCGCGCGTCGCGCGCCGCGGCCTGGGCCAGAGCGGCTGCCCTTCTCCAGAGGGTCGGCGCGAGGGCGGGAGGAGGAGGAGGAGGAGGAAGAGGAGGAGCAGCGTAAACCCAAGAATCATCAACGATGTTGGAATAAACCATCCCTCCAAGCTCTCTCTTCATAGGCCCCTTACAACGGCTCATTTCAATTAATGGAACTGCCTCGTTTGATCGCTGGAAGACAACCGTTTGAAGACCCTGAAGCATGCCAAAGCATTGTTCTCGGGATTCCAACGCCACGGATCAACCAGACTAATGCGTCTTGACGATTCTGATTCGTGCCAGAAACCCATTCTAGGGACTTCAACACCGCGAACCAACGTAACTGTTACGCCCGCATAATCCTGAATCCTCACAAGACTCTAGTTTTAGTACGTTGATCATGGGAATCCGTGAAATTCTTGCAACTGTTAAAACGAATGCGCGCGGCGCGAAGGCGAGAGCCACATTTTGAAAACGGGTCACCCTCAATCCGTGAAGCTCTTGCAATTGTTTAAAACGAGTGGGCGCGGCGCTGAGGCGAGAGCCACATTTTCAAAACAGGTCGCCCTCAAGTCGTTAAACTCTTGTTGATGTTTAGAACGAATGTGCGCGGCGCTCATTTTGAAAATGACCCGCCCTCAATTCGTTAAACTCTTGCGGACGTTTAGAAAGAGCTTGCGCGGCGCTAAGGCGAGAGCCACATGTTGAAAACGACCCGCCCTCCATGTGTGAAGCTGTTGCCAATTTTGAAGCGTCGGAATCAGAGATGGTGAGGAAGTCTCCGGCGAAACGCCCAGCCCACCTTAAAAAGTGCCTTCGGGGTGCGACGGGGAGATATTATTTCGAAGGAGAACCAATAACGGAGAAGGAGGAGAAGGAGGAGAAGGAGGAGGAGGAGGGGGAGAAGGAGGAGGGCGGGCGGGCGGACAGCCTGGCGGAACCGCGGGTCGGAACCGCAAGACTAGATTAAAGAAAAAACAGTTAAGCTCGCCGCTCTATGCGGTCGTCGCTCTCGTGCGGCATACAGCAACACACGCACACCCAGACATTGGAGGGGGGCGTATCCAATGTTTTTCGCCCCTCGGCACGGCTTTTCGGAGGCCGCGTGCCCTCCCCTTCCCCAAACTCAGATCGGGTCAAGAACCTTGCCCGTCTTTGGATGGATCCCACGAGCCGTATATTTAATTATGGTGGCTTGTGAACTGCGGGTGGACGGGTGCTCTGAACGGCCTTCACATCTATCACCAAGGCCTCTCAGATTCCCGTTAGGAAGAATAGTGAACGCTGAGCACAGCGTGCAAAAGAGCATGCGGCCAGACTGCTCCATTTCATGGCCGAGGGCCCCGAAACGCTCTTGCAGCACCGTCGAGGGCGGTGCCTGCCCATCCCCCAGCTCGGGCCCCAGGACCCCCTCAGCGGCCTCAAGGGCCAGAGGCACCGCCCTCGAGGACATGGGGAACCTCTCCTCTTCCCGATGAGCGGAGACAGCCGTCGCTTTCCATCGCTGGAAGGTTGAGGGCCCGCAACCACTCCTGCTTCCTGCCTGCAGCTGGGCATGGGAGGCGGGCGTCTTAGCGTACATATTGCACACATTACAGCGCCATTCACCGAGCGCAGGGAAGTGGAACACCGTGTGCTCCGACAAAGCCAAGGAGTCCTTACTCTGCCTGCTTGGGGTCGGACGCACGGGCACGGCGGACGGGGCCGAGAGCTCCTGGGCCAGCCCCGCGATCGCTTGCGAAATCCCAGCAAGAAATTCAAAGATGAGCTTCGTGTCCTTGATATTCGCGGCCTGCCACTTTGCAAGTGTGTCCGAGACCGCGTAAGACTCCGAGCCAAGCCTAGCGAAGAAGTCGGCCCAGAGATTACCAAGGGAATGCATTCTCTCGGTCAGCGAGGCTGCACTGACGACATCGCCCCATTCTCGGTGGACAGGGGTCCACTCAAAAGTTGGGGTCGGGTCGTTGGCACCGTACACACCGAACATCATTCTCCACATCAGTGGGCTTCGCACCGCTCGCGGCCAAGTCCAGATCCCACGAAGAGCATTCGCGCGCAGCACTCAGGTGGTCGGAGACTACATGGGCGTCCAAGGGGCCAACCCGAAGCGCCTGGTAAATCGCAAACCGCTCGGCCCTGGGCACCGACTGGTGGCGCCCAGGGAGAGCACCAAGGACGGCCCGCAACGGGAGCCCACCAGGGCCCAGCTCGACCGCAGACCAGCCACATCTTCGCAGTTCGGGACCGGAACTGGCTGGCCAGTCCCGAACCGCCGGTGTAGATGGTCTGCCCCCGCGGCGCTTCGGTTGCCCCCCAGGAGCAGGCAGGGAGCACGTCGGGGACGGGGCCGAGGGGGAAGGCGACCAACGGGAGCCCGTAGAGGACCTCGAGGGTGCCCCAGAATTGAATTCCATCTCCAACCTCCATTTTTTCCCGCAACTCAGACCTGCGCTCCAGGACGCCGTCAGGGATGACTCCCGAGCGTCGGACTCCGACTAGGACCCCGCGAGGGCTCGACGCGACTTCAAGGAGGGGTCAGTGAGTCCACGTACGGTTGCACCATGGCCTGCTGCTGGCATCAAACCAGTCCTCCAGAGCATCTGTACTTTCCCTGGGGCACCGCGACGCAGTGCAGCAAGCTTTGGCGTCTGCGAATTACTTTATTCAGCCGAGCTCGCTCCTGGGCCCGCTGGGACCATCCAGAGAAAACCTCATTGCCGAGATTACGCATGTGGGCGTAGCTCCACAATTTGAGAATACCGCCGACGAAAACACTCTCGACGACGCGTTGGCGGCGGTAACTATAAAGGCGCTCTTGAGGATCTGCAGGATCAGTCCTAAGGAAAAACCTGTTCGCAGTTCCAACGTACCGCAGCAAGCAGAACATGGCACTCGCACAGTCACTTACCGACCCACTGGAAGCTCGACTCATCCATGAGGATTCGCGGCTGCACAGTTAGGTATATCCTGCCCATCTTGCTGATTACACGGTGCAGCAGCAGATGCACCATCGAGTTAGCGTGGTTGCAGCCAGCTAGTCTCCCTTGATGAGAAATCACACACCGCGACACAGAGCCGAACGCCTGCACAAGACGAGGACACCGATACAACGAGAGGAGCATCCAAATCATTCTCAAGGGATCCGCTAGCTCGCAAGCCTCCGTTAAAGGCCTGGCAACAATTATGCGCTCGTAGCATGTAAACATATCGAGGAACATGCTCACAGAGTACCCCCCCCGCCGCCGTCGCCACCTCCGCCCCCGCATCATGGTCGAAAGCGACGCCCGAGGAGCTAGCATCTGGCCCGTGGCCCCAGAATGCTGGGTGGCGGTGCGAGCGCTCCCGCGACTGCGAGATTGGCTTCCTAAGCTTACCCCACCGGCGCAGCAACGAATCTAACAGGGCAATGAGGCGGTGCCCGCCAGTCGGCTTGCCGAGCCGAAGCAGGCGGGTCTGGATGCGGTCTAGAGGCCACGAGTCCAGCCTCTCACAAGCCATGAAGAGGGACGCGAGGACCTCCACGCCGACGTCAGACACCTGGCACAGTGACTTCGGGTTGAGCGCGAGCTGGCCCAGAGCAGTTCTGGACGGGAAAGATGCGGCTGCCGACCGAATGTCACTCGCGGTGATAGGCGGCAGGCTGTCACACGAGTTCGCGCCCTGCGGAAGCGGAACAGCCGAGCATTCATGCCTATTCCAAATCTTATCCCAGTCACCCAGGCAATCGTCTGCGCGATGAAAGGGGTGGGGCCTCGTGGTGTCTGCAGCCATCTCCTGGAGCTCCCTGAACTTGGAAAACCTATGGGCTACGCCTGCACCGCTGACGAACGACTTCTCCGCCCAGGCAGACCACTCCACACTAGATTTAGCCAACAGCTCGTGGATCTTGGTGCTCGTGACGTCGATCAGGGCTTGAACCACACTGTCAAAGTTGGGGTCGACGATGCTCGACGGCACGTCGGTCACGAAAGCCCTGGCTTCAGCAGAGATTCGTTCAAGTACCCACTGGGTCCTGGACACCCTGCGCGCGAAGCCGTGGAGGAAATACAGCTGCTTGGACATGGCCATGAGATTTTCCTCGAAGTCTCCGTCGTGGAGGCTGGCTACCTGCGACAACAGCTTGATCCTGGCAGAACGCAAGTAGCGGAGCCAACGCGCCAGCGTCTTCCAGTCATTGAAGTCGGACGGCTCATTGGGGCGCGGCTCCTTGGCGTCATTCCACTAGCACCGAGATGGGCCTGCCCTACCGAGATAAGATTTGCGAGCCGAACTCTCCAAGATATCATTCCTGTCTAAGCCTCGGCCTCCAGACCTGCAAGCACAGAATCCCAGCAGGCTGTCAAGTCTTCTGGCGAGCTGGCGTTGTCATACACTGCTTGTATCATGCGCCACTCACGTACTGGAGGAAACGGACCGCAGCCAACTTTGGGAGTAATCGGAAGCGCGCGGGGCTCGACTGGTACTCTGCAGCACATGCTCCTCGGTTGGGTGGCTATCCACGGGGAGAAGGAAGAGGACGAGGAGGAGGAGGAGGAGGAGGAGGAGGAGGAGGAGGATTAGGAGGAGGAGGAGCAGGAGGAGGAGGAGGAGAAGGAGGCGGAGGAGGAGGAGGACGAGGAGGAGGAGGAGGACGAGGAGGACGAGGTGGGGGAGGAGGGGGGCGGCGCGAGGGCGGGGGGAGAAAAAATCGCGCGCCGCGCTGTTCTCGGGACGCGCGATGCGCGCGGGCCCTCTATGGCAGAGACCAGGCTCGGCCAAACCGGCTCCCCCCCCCACAAAAAAAAGTGTTCCTCCCCCAGAACCTATTGCTCCTCCTCCCCAAAAGATAGTATCGGTACCACTTGTTGTTGCCCCCCCTCCCCCTCAGGTGCGTGCTGGTCCTCGGCGGCAGTCGGCTCCCGGCAGCGCGCCGCAGAATGCCTCAGACCTCCAATATCATTGTCATGCCGTGGCCAAGACGTCGAGGGATCTTGTCGGCATGGATCATGGTCATGTCCCATGCCAGCCATCGCCGACTCGCGAGGACGTTCCACGAGTTGGCGACAACCGAGATGACCAAGATCAACACCGACGCTTCCGCGCTCAGTCTTGGCCGTGGTAATCCAGCAGCCGCTTTAGGGCACCCAGCGCGATCAAAAAACAGCCCGCGGCGAAGGTCTGGGAGCTGGGGCGGGATCGAGAGAACTGGGCCAGGCCAGGGCAAGACCGGCCTGGTGGTGCTCCGCGGGCGAGGGCGGGGGCGCCGGATGGGCGCAGGAGGGAGGACGGGAGCACGCTGCAGGAGCTCCTCCTCCTCCTCCTCCTCCTCCTCCTCCTCCTCCTCCTCCTCCTCCTCCTCCTCCTCCTCCGCGCAGAGAGGAAGGGGAGGACGGTCGGGGGCGACGCTGGGGGCTGGGTGGGGGTGGGGGGGGGCAGCGGCCCAGAGAGGTGGACGCATCGGGCCCAGGTCGCCCTCTGCTCGCCCAGCCCGCCCAGGAACGCGCGGGCCTGCAATGGGGGCCTACGGTCGGACCGCGGCATGAGATCGAGGTCGGTTCGGGGAGGGTGCCCTCATGTTCTTCGTGCTTGTCGGATGTTCCTGCGCACCCTGGGGAGGGCCCACCCGGCCCAGGAACGCGCGGGCCTGCCATCGAGGGCCTGTCGCCGATTCATCTCGGCGATGTGCCGCGCCTGTTCGAGCCCGATGCTTTGTCCGCCCCGGAGCCGCTGCCCCCCGACTTGCCATGGCTGAGGACGTGTGCGTTCTTTTCTCGGCAAGGACCATCGACCAGCATATGGGGGCATCTTGCGAACAACATGCACGCACGACACCGAAACGTGCACGGGGACTGGCCGTCCGAGCGACGGCGAGTGAAACGTTCCCCTTCCGAAGGGGCCTGCAGAACGGGGGAGCGGGAGAAGGCACTCTTCTTTTCCACGGCTGTCAGCGGCGTGCCCGGCAGGTGCGCCCACCCAGCTTGCCCTCGCACCCGCGGTAGTTTCTGATCCCCTCCCCCCCGTTCTGCAGGAGAGTTTGGTGTTTCCCCTGGGGGATGGCGATAAAATGAGGGGGCGGGGCAGCGACGGCTGCATAAAAGGGGCCGCTTAGGGCGGGGCCCTTGAGGGCCCGAGAAGGGCACCTTTCTTCCCTCCCCCATTAATCGCACCCCGCCAGTAGTTCGCGCCCAACTGATGCCATCGCCCGCACAACCAATAGGCCTCACCTCCTTCCACATCTGTCTGCCACTCTGGCCGAAAGCTCGTGCTACCCATGATCACACTTCGCCGCCAGCAGGCACCGCAGGGGGAAGAGGCCCATGTCTACGGTCCCTCGGCCAAGGAAGGCGGCCGCAGGGCGGGGTCAAAACCCACCTTCACCTTTGGCACCCTTCCACGGTGGCGTCAACTCCCCACCCATCCAAAGTGCTCCTCCCCCCGTCCCTCTCTCTCCCATTCTCGCCTCCCTCCCTCCCCCCCCTCCTTCCACCTGAGCCGCCGTCCCGGCCCAAGCTTGGGAGCAGCTCTTGCCAGGCAAGAGCAGCGCGCTCGACCAGGGACGTCAGCCAGACGTCGTTGCCCCGCAGCTCAGAGCTGCCATGGGGCGACCGTGGCCAGCACGGCTTCGAGGAGAGGCCGAGAAGCAGAACCATCCTGGCACAGACGAGAGCGAGCGGCATGCAGTCGAGCCCGCCCAGTGGTGCGAGTCACACCCACAGCACAGCTCTTGAGTTGTCATCACAGTGCCAGTACGGACGCCCGAAAGAGGTTCAGCCAGGTAGCGAATCTGTTCGAGTATCGGGATCGCCCGCGCCGACCTGTTCGACAGCAGTACAAACAGCGGCCGCCATGGCAGCAGCAGCAGCAGCAGCAGCAGCACAACTACCAGTACCGCTACAAGAAGACTTGGAAATGTCCAGCGTGCTCCTGTACCAACCCGCGGGGAGCTAAAACATGCAGACAGTGCCATCCAGACGACGTGCGTGACGTACATGGGCAGTCTTAACCAACGCACGGATGGAAGAGCTGGAAATCTCGGACACCATCTCGCCCATGGAGACAGAGACGCTCCACATCGTCCCAGCTTACCCCAACACCCGCGCCTTCTACGGAGCAGCAGCAGGAGGAGCAGCTCCCCATCATGCCAGCCAGCCCAGAAGAAACCATGGCCCATCGCCGCTGGCAAGAACTGCCATCTGACCCTCAACAATTGGGAGATTACAGACGTGCGCTCAGTGATATCATGAACGGCTTAGAACGGCAAATGCGATGCGCCACGGACCCGAACAGCCCAGGACCAGGCCCAGGCGTTCAAAGAGGAATCTGCAGTCCTACTCTGCCAGGTGAGGCACTCAAGGTCCCCGCTGACCAGCGTGAGCAAGCATATCCAGTTCGTCAACAGGTACAGGCGAAGCTTAGCGGCCTCCCAGGCCCGTTACACCGATTTGGAGATGAATTAGAGGCAGCTCAAGTACATCGCGAAGTGCACTGGGGGGCTCCATGGGCTACGCCACGGCACTCACTACAATCAGATATAGTCAATCAGCTCTTGTGGTCTCTAATCTACTTGCTCGGCTGCCACACTACTGTTGGTACCTCCGGTTGGCTCGAGCACCCACAACCAGCAGCATGGCAACCACGAGCCCCCACGAGCTCATATGGCGGCCCCACCCGTGACGACAGTGGATTTTGATCCGTGCATCCACCAGGACCAAGACCCCATTGCCATTGGCAGGATTCCTACGAGGCTCTTGGGCATCCATTTCCCCGGGCTCTATCAGAGGCTCCACTGCCGTTGCCCCCCACCCAAGGGGCACCCAACATACCCTTTTTGGACGAGCGTCTGGACGGGACTTTCAACACCAGCTGCAAGAAGATTTTCCCGCCACGGATGTGCCAGGGGCTTACCGAATCCATTTGTGAGCCAGTCGCCGCGACGTTTTGCGCAGCAGGTGCGACAGAAAGCGACTCTCTTCAGATGACGAGCTGCTGGCATGTTTTTTATGTACATGATGTGGATCACACTTCTCAGAGGAGGCACCCGATGTCACCCCAGCCAGACACAATAGCAGTGCGAAGCGTGCCGATGCAGAGATTTCCACATCCGTGGACCCCTTCTCAGAGGACGGACAGTATCCCTCGTGTGATCCTAGTCCTGCTCCGACTCCAGCCAGTGGTGAGGGCCCGCCCCCCCCCCCTCTCCTCCTTTAGCCCCCCAGCGGCCTCCGACGAGCAAGAACATGTTGGAGCCCTTGGTCTCTTGGGCCCTGCTCTTCTCTCCCCGCTGCCGCCGCCGCCGCACCCCCCCTCTCGCCCTTTGCGCAGCTCGCCAGAGTCGCCGCCAACAGAGAGATGGCGAGGCGGCGGCGGGAGGCCACAGCTACGCGACAGGCTGCCGAACGAGCTGCAGAGGCTGCCCGAGCCCGCGCGGCGCGAGCCGCGTGGGGGAAATCCTTCACCTTCTCACACTTCTTGAAGCGGGCCCCAGAGGGGGAGTGAGGCTGGCTCTCAGAGCAGAGCACGGACAGCAGCCCCGAGTCAGCGTCTTACCTTCTTTTTCCCTGGGGCAGGGGCGCGCGGATGCGGGGTGGGGCGCGCCGTGCCGTTGGCTGGGACAGTCGCGGCCCAAGGGCCTCGCGCTGCACGGCGTCCCATCCAGGCGTCGTGGAACAGCCAGTGCAGCAGTTGTGAGGCTGGCCGGCCGAGTCTCCGAACAGTTCCTGCGTGCCGCGCGGGGAACTCAACCGAGATCTCGCCCTGGCCTTCCCGGAGACGCTCTGGGAGACTGCACTCTGCGGACAAAGGCCCTGGCCCTGACCAGCCTCCGAGCCAACCTGGTGGTGTCATATCGGGCGCAAGCGTTCATGGGCCAGGCGCAAGAAGTGTTCTTGCTAGGGGGCAGGCTTGTAGCAGCCAAGTGCGTGCCCACTGCATTCTGGAGAGCTTCTTTTATTCCCGAGCGATAACGGGCGTTACGGGGGGGATGGAGGATGGGGCCGGGCCGGTAACGTCACGTTTCGCGCAAGCACCTTGTGGGAATATTTAGGACTGGTCAAAGACAGTTCGGGGAGCAGATACCTGTAGAGAGCTGCTACGCAGAGCCCGCATACCTATAATGACCTGCTACGGCAGAGCGCCTCCCTTATCCTTCTCCTCCTTTCCCAGATCATCTCTTTGTCCGCTTCCTCCTCATCCCTCATCCCTCCTCTTTCTCCTTCCCCCCCCGTCGTCGTCGTCGTCGTCGTCGTCGTCGTCGTCGTCGTCGTCGTCGTCGTCGTCGTCGTCGTCGTCGTCGTCTTCGTCGTCGTCGTCGTCGTCGTCGTCGTCGTCGTGTTCCCCCTCTCGATTGCAAGGTGCCTCGCACACGGACATCATAATGGAGGAGGGAGTTGGGAGGATGGAGGGGGCGAGGGAGGCGGGGCGAGGGCGAAATGACCTGTTTCGTGACACTTCTGTTGTCGATGTGTGCTTTGTGAGGAGGGCGCTCCTGGGCTCGAGACGGACATGGCCTCGTCGTCGTCCTCCTCCTCCTCCTTTTCTTCTCGTTGTTCTCGTCTCGCTTATGTTCCTGGCCAAACGCGTTGTGGTGCTCGCGGACCACTGTGGTGCTCGCGAGCGCACGCTTTGCCTTCACCTGCCAGCTTTTCCTTTGCATTCTTGGCTCGCCGGGGAAACATAACCCAACAGCGTGACATGTTTCCCGTGTGCTTCTTACCAAGAGCCACGAGAAACGGATACACATATTACAGCATGCCTTTCCCGGTTTCGGCCATCGTGTGGCGGAATTTCACCAGCCATCCGCACGTGTTTCCAGCAGCTGGTCTCCGCATGTTCCGCGTGTGATTCCAAGCGCGTGTGCTTCCAGCCTCCTGGATTGCTTAAGACACCCAGCTTAATATTTTCGGTCGTAGTCCGATCAATTAGAAAAATATGCAGCGCGCCTTTTACAAAGTTTGATTGGGAGTGACTCGCGCGTATCTCATGGTTTACGCCATTTTGCACGCCCCACACTGCGCCCAAGCGATGTGGTGCGCACCTTTTCGTAGACGAAAAAAGGGAGGAACATGAGAAAGAGGAGGGGGAAGAGAAGGAGGAGGAGGAGGAGGGCGACGACGACGAGGCCACTTACCCCCTCCAGCCCATTGGCGCCAAGACCCCTCGGAGAACACGAATCGATAACCTGCCCCGCCCCCTTCCTGAGAGGATGGAACCTAACAGTATTCAGTTCTCAGCAATCCTCTACGTTGCGCTTCGCTAGCCGAAGCTATCCATTGCAGGTCTTTGCGTATTCACAGCCTGACGTGCGCTCTGGCATAGCAGATACCAAGAGGCGTATGTCATTTTAGTTTCCCTGGCGATCCTTGGGCATTCCCAGACGGCGCCCGTGCGAATCGTGACGTCACCAAAAGAGTGGGGGAGGTCAGGGCTGGTAACGGCCGCTATCGCGAAGCAGAAAACACGTTCTCTGATTGTCCGTTGCCACGGGTGGGGCGCACCGCAGCTCCGGCTCCATCAGGCCGTTGGGTCGGGCATCGGAATTCGAAGTGCCTGTCCTGCCTGGGCGCGGTAAACTTCAAAATGTAGCAGTTGGGTGAGCGCGGGCCCTGGACAGCGCGCTGTGGCCCGCCTCCGTGGCAGGGACGCGCGAGAAAGCACAAGGGGGTGGGTTCGGGTTTCCTCCTTGTGGGTCCCCTGGCTTCTTCCTTTCAAGGCCTCCCTCCTCCACCCCAACCCGTTGCCTTCCCCTTCCCCCGCCCGCTCGGCCTCCCGCCGCCCTCCTCCTCTCCCTCCACAGGTGGGCGAGGTTGGGTCGGGATGCGCGGGGGTGCCCCTCGCGGCGTCTCCGGGCGGCCTTCCTCGCCCTCCGGTCCGTCTCGCCGCCCCCTCCTCCGCAGCCCCCGCGGAAGGAGCGTCCGTCGCCGCATGATTGCCCCCAGTCCCGGGGGATTTGCTCTTCAGCCCACGACGGTCCACTTGGGCGCCAAGAGGTCCAGGCGGGCCGCGTGCCCACGGCCTCCCAGCGGCAGGCTGCGGCAAGATGGACGCGGCGCCGGGATGGCCACGGGGAGTTCTGTTTCTGTGCCCCGCTTGTGTCCACATCAGGCCTTTTCGGCCGTGCCGTTGTGGTCATCCTCCTCCTCGTCCTCTTCTCCCCCCTTTCCCTTTCCCTTCTTCCGGCTGCCCTCCTGCCCCTGTAGCCACAACTCACGGCCCAGTGGCCGCCAGCCAGCCAGCCCCCCTCCCCCATGTCCTCCTCGACCTCATCCTCTATCTCATCCTCCCCCTCCTCCCCTTTCCTGCCCCCCGCCTCCTCCTCCTCCTCCTCCTCCTCCTCCTCCTCCTCCTCCTCCTCCTCCTCCTCCTCCTCCTCGTGCTTCTCCGCCTCCCCCTCTCCCCCTCCACCTCCCTCCCTCCCCCATTCCCCCCTCTCCTCTCTCCCTCCCTCCTCCACTTCTCCCCTCCATCCCTCTCCTCCCCCCCTTTCTCCCTCCTCCCCCTTCTTCCTCCCTCCCTCTTTCCCCCCCCTCTCCTCCCTCGTCCGCGTCGCTTCTGCCACCCGCCGCCCGCGGAGGTTCCTGGGCCGACTGGTCACGGAGGCGCTGCTCGCGGAGGGACGCGAGGCGGGCGCCAGAAGTCCCGGGACGCGCGGCGGAAGATACACTCGCCTTTTCAGAGGCGCACCCCCTCTCTGGTTGACCCAACAGTGGGTCCAGCGAAAAGGGGGTAGTGCAATAGACCTGGTGCTATAGATTTGTGGGTTTAGGGCGTGCAATGCATTCCAGGGCGTACATGTATTTGTGGATTTTCGCGTGCAGTTCATTCCTTGCAATACGGTTCCCTTGCGCAATACATTTGCAATACAATTGTCCCAAATCTATTGCACCACCCCCTTTCAGCTGGACCCCCTTTCGGGTCAACCGCAACCCCTGGGGCTTGGCATCGCTCGGACGTGTGCGTTTTTCCTCGGCGAGGGCCATCGAGGATCATCTTGGATCATCCTGCGAGAAAAGAAATGAGAAGCACGCACGAAAACGAAACAATGCACGGGGAATGGGCGTCCGAGCGATGACGAGGGGGGAACATTGGACACCCGAGCCCAACCCAGAGGGTGGGGAAGCGCGCGGAATTCAGGATCGCGGACACGCAAACATGGGATACGTCGAATAATAATAATTGCACAAACATAAATGTTCAGAACTCGGATCGGCGCGGATTTCTCGGATCGGCGCTGGAGCCCCTGGCTGCGACTCCGTCGCCGCCCCTGGCGCGCTCCACGCGCCAGGGAGGGGGGATCCAGTGCCGACCCGAGAAATCCGCTCGGACCTCCGCAGGTTTATGCTTAGGCCTTGTTCCTTTAGATCCTGGCGTCTTAATTTTTTCAAGCCGGGCGCTTTCACCCAGTTTCGGGACCCAGGACCCCTCACATATCGATCCAGCTCGAAAAATGTGGCAGAAAGATCGGGTCTGGGGCCCTGCCCGTGATTTTTCACGATGCTTCAATGCTTCGCGACGACGGCGGTCGAGGCCATGCTCCCGCTGGCGCACGCGGTGCCAGTGCCGTCTCCGCGAGAGCGCTGGGGTGACAGCAACCTGCCGATCGACGGCGGCGAGGTCGACTCAGCCTCGGATGTGGAACTGCTGGAGCCGCAACCCGCAGCGGAGCGCGGTCAGGCTGAGAGGCGCGCTCCCTCGCTGGGAGCCTGGGCCAAGGTTTCGCCGTCCGTGGTCTGTTCCCTGGCTGGCGAGGCTGCTGACCTGGGCCCGCTGGCCACTGTCGTCCCCATTGGCGGAGGCGGTCAGCCGGCGGGTGCTTTAGCACGGCGGAGGGTTCGGGGCTCGCGGCGAGCGCGGCCAGGCTCGAGAAGCATACGGTGCGCCAACTTGCGCTGGCGGAGCTCGCCCCGAGGGCGCGGGCCGCCGCCGCCAGCGTTGTCACGCTGAACGGATCGACGTGGGCCCAAGCCCAGACGGAGCTGGAGCAGCTGCGCGGCGCTGGAGCCTCGGATGACTTCTACTTGATTCAGGAGACCAGGTTTCACTCAGGCCGCGCGGCGGATACCGCCAGAGGATGGCGCCATCGCAACGGCCTCCAGGCGGCTCTCGGCCCTTGCAGGCGCAGAGGAAACAAGGCCCAGGAGATGACGTCGGGAGTAGCCATCCTGACAGGCCAGTTCCGCGGGGTGGCGCCCATTGAGCAGGACTGGGGCGACTTCGGCCCCAGGGTGCTGGCGCGACGCGTTGCCTTCGGCGACCTGGTGCTCGCGGTGGTCAGCATCTACCTGGAGCGCTCGTCGCGCCTGTCGGGCCTCAACGTTGAGCTGCTCGGCCGCCTGCAGGAGTTCCTCAACGGCTTGGCGGAGCCGTTCGCGGTGGGCGGCGATTGGAACACGGGGCCGCATGAGCTAGCTGGATCCTGGTGGCCTCGGTCGGCTGGCGGGGCGATTCTGGAGGCCGAGCGCCCGACCTGCCTGGCGAAGAAGTACGACTTCTTCATGGTCTCGTCGGCGCCGGCGGCCCTGGAGCCCCGCGTGGAGGCCATTCGCCCTTCCGCGCTGCACCCGCACGTGCCCGTGCGCTTGTCCTTCGCCCGCCTCGGCTCGCAGGCGAAGGTTTGGGTTCTTCAGTCGCCTCGGTGCTTCGACCTGGAGCAGGTTGGGGACCCCGTCCTTAAGGCCAAGGCGGAGCAGGCTGCTGAGGACTTCTGCTGGACGGCGCCGACGAAGGGCGACAAGGGCCTGCCAGAGGCGGCGGTGATGGAGTTTTACGAGCAGGCGGAGCAGCACCTGATCGACCTCCTTGGCCTGGGAGCTGATGCCGACCAGTATCGCGGGCGAGCCCGCTGGGTGCGGAGGGTCAGGAAGTCTCTGAAGGACCTGCAGCGCTCCCAGACCGCGCGCAAGGTCAGCTCGCTGACTCGGCACTGGATCTCGCTGGGTCTTCTGGCAAGGCAGCTGGCGGGGGCCGCGGCGCCGGTGTCGCCTGACGTGGGGCACGCAGCCTACATGCACCACCTGGAAGCGGCGGCCGTCTCGCTGGTGCCGCACTGCACCCAGCAAGGCTGCCAAATGTTCACGGTTTCGCGCATGCAGCTAATGTTGGACGGAGTCGAAGCGTCGTCGGGTGCTTGCAGCTTCTTCCTCGATGCCATAGAGGCTGCCACAGCCAGCCACGTCCCCGCGGATGCCGCTGCTGCCCGCATCCGCTGGCGCGATTTCGTGGACGACGCTTTGACAGCTGGCGGGCGCACTGCCCATGCGGTAAGCAAGCCACCTGCTGGGGCAACCTTCGCGGCGACGTCTGCAGCGGGGCCCGACTTCCCACCTGCGCCGCCGGTGGGACAAGCAGCGCTGGACCAGACCATGCAGGAATGGAAGCGGTTCTGGATAGACAGGCGAGGCGCGAACGAACCAGCTGGTGGAGGAGGAGGCAGCGTGCCGATCCCGCCCGCCCAGTGGCAGACCATCATGGATCTCCCTGCCATCGCGCCCGAGGAGGTGCTGGTCGCTGCCAAGTCCTTCCCCGAAAGGACTGCGCTGGGATGGGACGCCTTTCATCCCGGGCTACTGCTGCTGCTAGGCCGCCCGTTTGCCGAGCGGGTCGCAGAGGTTCTCACGGCGTGGGAGCGCGACCCCAAGCCGACGGGCCTCTTCACCACGCTGTTCGTCTTCCTGGGCAAGCCCGACGGCGGCCGTCGCCCGATCGGTCTGATGGCCTCCTGGATGCGGATCTGGGGTCGCATCCGACGGAAGTAGTGTGCGAAGTGGGAGGCCGAGCACCAGCTGCCAGAGATCTGGGGCAGCAGCTCGGACACCAGCTGTGACAGAGCTGCGTACCTCCACAACCTGTACCTCGGCCTGGCGCGAAACCGAGGGTTCGACGGCGCCTCGGTCTACTTCGACAGCAAGTTCTACGAGTGGATCGACCGCGAGCTGCTGCGGGACGCCGCCCAGGCGCAAGGCTTCAGCGTCGGCTTGGTCAAGGCCCTGCGCGCGGCCTATGCGGGGCCGAGGCGCGCTACCGTGGACGGCGCGGTCAGCGAGGAGATCTGCGCTGCAGGTTCGGTGATCGCTGGATGCTCTTGCGCCGCGACCCTCGCGCGGCTCATGCTGTATGACTTGCTGCTGCGTGGACGCGCGCTCCTGCAGGTCGGCAGAGTTGCCAACGTGATCGACGATGTGGCGGGCCATGTCATAGGCTCGAGAGCCAAGACGAAGGTGCTGGTGTCCTCCGCTGGGCTGCAGAGGGACTTGCTGGCGCAGTCGCGCTGGCCTCTGCCAGCGGCCGCCTTCGTGTCGCGCCGCCGCGAACTGGGAGGCGATGCTACTGCTGGAGGCCACCGCCGCGCGACGACGCAGGTGGCGCGGGAGCTGGCCGCCCTGCGCCAGGCCTCCCGCCTGACGCGCATCTTCGGCCCTGGCCTGCGGCAGTCCCGCGTGATGCGAGCGGGGCCGACGGCCAAGGCCCTCTGGGGATCAGCCACCCCAGGAGCGCCCCCTGGCAGGATGCGCGCCCTGCGAGTGGCGGCGGCCAAGAGCGCTGGCAGGCTGCCCCCTGGAGCAGCGCTGAGCTACGTGCTGCGGCGCGCCCCGCGCAGCTGGCGGCAGGACCCGCTGGCGATTGCCACTGGCATGGCAGTCCAGGCCTTCTGCAGCGCCACCTGGGCCCAGCAGGCCTGGCCTGCTGCTGTTCAGGCTTGCCTGCAGAATGCGGAGCGGCTGCAGCACTTCCACGGGCCCTGGGCTGCGGCGCGGGACCCGACTGCGGCGCTGGCGCTCGCCCTCCAGCGCATCGGCGGGCAGCTGACCGCAGGAGGCGCCCGCCTACAGGGCGAGCAAGGGTGCGAGTTCGACGTCGCCTCCTGGCGCGTGAGGCGACGCGCGAGGCTGCAGCTCTTGAGGAGGCTAGAGCCCGCCCTGGGTCTCTCTGGCCTTGGAGGCTGCCGCCCGCCTGGAGGCCCATCAATGAGGTTCTAGGCCGCGCAGGCTCCGAGGTTTGGACTAGCCGCCACAAGGGTTGCCTTCGCTGGCTGGTCTCGCTGGCGCACTGGCCCCCGGCGCGGCTGGCTAGGCACCATGCAGGAGGGCATCAACTCTCTCTGCCTGCAGTGCCAGTACGACGAGGGCGCGATGTTCCACAGGCGCTTCGTTTGCCTCGCGCGGCAGGCATGGCGCAGAGGCAGGCTGCCTCCCCGCCCTCTGGAGTCGCCCCATGTGGCCAACAGCATGGGGCCGCTCTTCGGCGAGCTGTTCGCCCGGGGCCTGTTCGTGGACGCGTCCAGCCTGGTGCAGAGGCCGCGCTGGCAACCGCAGTGGGCTTGGCGACGCATTGGCTGGGGGAGCCCCATGGTCGTTCCGGAGGGCACGATGGCGTTCACCGACGGCTCCTGCATCCACGGGAAGTCCCCTACACTTCGCAGCGCGGGCTGGTCGGTCATCGTGATCTCGCCCAGCGGCCAGGTGTTGGCCCAGGCGCGGGGCGCCGTCTCGCCTGAGCTGCTGCCGAACCAGTCGGCGCGAGCAGACGAGGACTATGCGGCGGTGCTGGCGCTGAAGGGCATTGTGGGCCCCTACACGATCTACAGCGACTGCAAGGGCACCGTGGACTGCATCAGGGACCTGGCCAGAGCCTGCCGCCCCACCTCCTTGCATGCCCACCTCTGGGCTCGAGTGGGCGACGCAGAGGAGGGGGCATCGGCCAAGCACATCCCTGCCCGCACTTCATGGGCAGCGGTGGCCGCAGGCCAGATCACCGCCCTGGAGCGCGACGGCAACATGATCGCCGACAAGCGCGCCAAGGAAGGGGCTGCCCTGCAGGCGGCGTCAGGCGACTATGTCTTGGCGCTGGAGGGCTTGCAGTCGCGGGCCCGAGAGGCCGCGCGCATCGCCGCCGAGATGGAGGTCCACATCTCGGACAGCGGGTGCCGCGACTGCTGGCTCGTCGAGACGCTCGACGTCCTCGACCTCGGCTTCGTGAACGACGACGCGCTGGATATGGCCGAAGCGGAGACCAGCGCAGCGCAGCGCCCTGGCGCGGCGGCGGCTGCAGGCGCGGCTGCGCTGACGGCGGCGGCTGCGGCGAGCGCGGGGCCGGGCGCGGCCAGCGCCCCGCAGGTGAAGAAGAAGGCGGCTAGCAAGGTGGCAGCGGCTCGCGCGGCCTGCAAAAGGGCCGCTGCAGCCCCGCCGCCCAGCCCGCTGGGCCAGGCCGTGGGCGATGAGACGCCGGGCGAGGTCATGCGCAGGGTCGCCCGCAGGCTCCAGCACGAGAGTGAGAGAGAGAGAGAGAGAGAGAGAGAGAGAGAGAGAGAGAGAGAGAGAGAGAGAGAGAGAGAGAGCAGCTGGCGCAGGCGGCCCCGCCTCGACCAGCTGGCGAGAGCGCGGCACGGGAGGCTCCGACTGCTGGCATCCAGTCGGGGGCGCGCCAGCCTGCAGCGGTTGCGCCAGCCTTGCCCGCGCTGGGCGCCGCCGACAGCATCCCAGCAGGCCGCGTCGGGCCGTGGGAGGTCCACGGGCACATGCTGATGCATGGCCAGGTGCTCAGCATGAGCTCAGAGCCATTCCTGGTGTGCACCTCGTGTTACCTGTATGCGAGGGCGCCCAGGATGGCGTGGCATGGCGCGGCATGGCCTGCGCCGGCCCGTGGCAGGCTCGCGGGCCCAGGCACGCAACGACCTGGGCAAGCACCTGCTGCCTGGGACCAAGGAGCCCATCGGCGCCCTTCAGGCCCCGGCGGCGGCCACGCGCCAGCGCTGGGCCGAGAAGCTGGGCACCAGCGCAGGAGCGGGAGGCGCGGCGGGGGAGACCGCCAGCGAGCCTGCTGGCGCGGGCGTCGGCGCCCAGACTGGCGGAGGGGCCGCGGCCAGCGCAGAGGCCGTGGGGCCCGCGCGGCAGGCGCCTGCGGTGGGAGCTGCGGGCGGCGCTGCAAGGCAGCGGCCAGGCGGCGAGACGCTCATCGTGCCGCCGCTCGAGAGCGTAGCCAGGTCGCACGGCTTCGCGACCCTGGAGGAGGCGCGAGACCACGGGCGCCTGGCTCGCGAGCGGAGGGCGGCGGCGGCGCCAGGGGACAGTGGGCCCCAGGAAGACGAGCCGTAGACAGGGGGGTTGTTCCTGGGGGCCCCGCCGCGCCTCTGTGCATGTTATTCGAATCACGGGTGGGTCCGCCCACCCTCGAAGAGTTTTGTTTAAATGCCCCCACGGTAGTCTGGTTGGACTTCTTGTAGCCTTCGCGCCGACACGGCGGGGTCCGCCCCGAAGGTGCTGGCCAGGAGCGCCCCATGGGGCGGCACGGGCCCCACGAGTGGCCGCTTTGTGATCCACGGGGATCGTTTCGTCATCCTCCTCGGCCTTTTTCTTCTTCTTCTTTTTCTTCTTCTTCTTCTTCTTCTTCTTCTTCTTATTATTATCCTTTTGCTGCTGCTGCTGCTGTTGCTGCTGCTGCTGCTCCTCCTCCTCCTCCTCCTCCTCCTCCTCTTCCTCTCCCTTCCCTCCCTCGCCTCCCTCTCCCTCTGCCCCTCCTCCTCCTCCTCCCCCTCCTCCCCCTCCTCCTCCTTCCCCTCCTCCTCCTCCCCTCCTCCTCCTCTTCCTCCTCCTCGTCCTCCTCCTCCTTCTCCTCCTCCTCCTCCTCCTCCTCCTCCTCCTCCTCCCCCTCCTCCTCCTCCTCCTCCTCCTCCTCCTCCTCCTCCTCCTCCTCCTCCTCCTCCTCCTTCTCCTCCTCCTCCTCCTCCATGGAGCAGTTTTCGGCCCCCGGGGCCTGCGCGGAGGGGGGACCTGGTGCGACACGCCGCCCCCCCCGGGGAGCCCTGAGGTCCTACGTCTCGAAGCCACTGGGACGTCGTGGAGGATCGCGACTGGGAGCCCCCGGGCCGCACCTCCTCCGCGGCACGTCTCCAGCCGGATCCGCCTGTGAGGGCCCCGGGGCCCGAGCCCGGGCGGCACGCGCTGGGCCCGAAAGGATGGAGTCGCCAGGGTCTGGCAGGGTTCGCGGGTGGACCCGGGGGGGAGGCACGCTGCCCCCAACTGGGAGGGCGTCGGGGCCTCTCGCGGTGCCGCGGACTGGGCAGGATCCCATCGTCGGAGGTCTGGGTCCGCCGGGCCGTGAGGGGCTGGCACCAGGCCCGGTTCGGAGAGAGACGCTCCGGCCGTGCCGCGTTGAGATCGACGATGGGTATTCGATCATCCTGCCATGTAATCGGGCCAGCGCTACTTCCATTCATGGGGGGGAGGGGCAGGCCCGGGAGTGAGGAGAAGCAGGGGGAGGAGGAGGAGGAGGAGGAGGAGGAGGAGGAGGAGGAGGAGGAGGAGGAGGAGGATATATGGAGGAGGAGGAGGAGGAGGAGGAGGATGAGGAGGAGGAGGAGGAGGAGGAGGAATAGAAGGAGGAGGAGGAGGAGGAGGAGGAGGAACATGGTTTTTGACACCTAGCCATGGACCCTCCGACGGCCACCAAAGTAGTTACAGAAGGCCACGAAGGGAAGCACGACGACGGACTCGGTAAGCAGCAAGCCGAAAGACGCCCGACCTGGCCCCACGAGGACGTGCTCCATGAACTCCGCGGCTGGACGCTGCTGGTGGACCTGCGGCACGGAAGAACCTGGCTGCGAATTTGAAAGGCCCAGGGGAAGCTTGTACCCTGTGACCGCTCATGTTCTTGGCTCGAGCACGCTTCGCCAGCGAGTTCACACCGAGGGTCGGCAAAGTCCTCGGCGAGCCTTTTTTCCATCCCGTGTCACGTACTCTCATTGGGTACAGCAGGAGAAGAGCATTGATCGTTGTGGGGAGGCTTGTGCCCTGTGACCGCCCAAGCTCTCGAGACCGCCGCCGACGTCGTCCTCGATGAGACCACCGGTGGGCTGTCGGCCTCGACCACGCACACTGGGTCCCGTCCAGGGCGCCGTACGCCTGGAGAGGAGGAGTGGGCCGATCCAGTCCAGGGCGCCGTGCGCCGTACGCCTGATGGGGGAGGAGGGAGGTGGAAGAGGAAGACGGATGGGAGGTTGAGAGGAGGAGGAGGAGGAGGAAGAGGAGGAGGAGGAGGAAGAGGAGAAAGAAGAAGGGGAGGGCAGGGTGGCGAGGAGGACGGAGGGAGGGGAAGAAGGAGGGCGGAGGAGGCAGAAGAGGGATGATGGATGTGAGGGATGGGAGGGATGAGTAAGAGGAGTGGATAAGGGAAGATTGCAAGAGCAACATTGAGTTGAAGTGGTAGTTAGCGGGCTTCAGGGTGGGTCCAGGGTCCAGGGGGTCCCCCTCCTAGGATTAGTTGCAGGAGGGGTGGGATAATGTGGTTTACATTTCGACTTGTTACATTTGGGAGGAGCAGGTCCATGGCATACCAATTGCCACTGATTCCGATAGGTGTCACAGGGTTTAGAAAGCTCCAGGGCATCGCCCTCTTCTTCCAGGTCGATGACGGGAAGGGGTGGGATTTGCGCCAGGTGGTCTCTATCGACCACGATTGCGGGCAGGACTGGCCGAGCAACCACGATCGGCTGAGGAGCTCCCTCTCATGTGACCATGGATATGGAGGAGAAGGACGGCGGAGGAAGAGGACGGTCACGACTGCGTAGTATGGACGCGCCGCCGCAACAACACATGGGCGTGATTGAGGTGTCGCCCAATTCTGCCACTGTGGCGCTCTTTGGCAGAGGACGCACGAGACCATTCTGTGTGAACGCCACGTTGTGGTTTCAACGGGCGCACCAACATGCAGTCACCACCCACTTGAACACACGAGCGCCTGAACACCACTGTGACTGTGAGCAGCTAAGCACCCGTGGGCACCACAGCACCTGTGAACAACAAGAACACCCCAACGCCAATGACCACCCGAATGGTTGTGAGGCTGGGGATTGTTCCGTGTCGGTTCGGTTGAGAGTTTTGTCTGGCTGATACGGTCTTGCTTCCCGGTTTATAGCACCGTCACGCTCCCAGATTTTTGTACCATTTTGAAGGCCGATAAAGGCAGAAGGAAGCAAGAGCGAGAAGTCCCAGTCGCTCTCGCCGTTGTCGCCGTCCCCGTCCCCGCTGGTGTTTTTGTTTGATTTCGGCGCATTAACTTGCAATGCCTGTGGCTCCAAACGGGCACGTACAAATCTTGAGTGGACAGAGCGATGTTGTATCATTGGATGATGTCATTTTCGTTGTTGTCACGTGCCGCTGTCTGGGCCAACATACACGCAGCCCTTCTTGAGCCCAACACTGCTTGAGCACCATCGTGAGTGCGAGCACCGGGACGCCTGTAGATACTGCACCACCCGTGGAAACCAGCGCTTATGAGCAGCATCAGAACGCAGACCACAGCAGGATCAATGAGCACTCCATCCATCCCCCATCCTCCCTCCCACCGCCACACTCTAACGATCCGCTCCCAATCTCTCCTTCCACCCTTGCATCTGTCATTCTTCACTCGATCCTTGTAGCCATCCATCCCTCCTCCCTCCCTCCCTCCTGCGCTCTCCCTCCCCCCACCCCTTCAACCATCAACTCATTACCCGTGCGTCATCTCATTTCTTTGCCCGTCATCCGTCATCCATCACGTTTTCACCATGTCATGCCCGGGATATCCGTCATCCATCCATCTCTCTTCCAGCAATTCCTGGTGCATCTGACTTGCTCCCTCATTTCTCCATCTCCCATCCCTCACTCCAGCCTTCTTCAATCCTTCCGCCCGTTCTGTCTTTCCTCATTCCTGCCTCCATTTTCCACTCATCGTCAACTATTATACTCATCCATCTCTCCGCGCACATCCTTCCTTCCTCCATTCGTCCGTCCACCACCCCCCCACCCTTCTGTGCATACCCCCTAATCGTCAAGATCGCCCTCAGCCTCCTCCTCCTCAGCCTCCTCCTTCTCCTGCACCTTTTCCTTCTCCTCTTCCTCCTCCGCTTTCTAAGGAAATCCCGCACGAAACGCCCACTCGTCCATTGTTTGGAACCGGGTTCGACCCTGGTTCGAACTTGTTTGCCGACGAAGTCCCACACGAAACGCCAATTTGTCTATTGCTTGACACGTGGTTCGAACCTGGTTCGAACCTGCTTCGCGAAGAATTTTCGCGCGGAACGCCAACTTTTTCTATGGTTTGGAATTGACTGTGGAACCTGGTTCGAACCTGCTTTCCGAAGGCGTCCCGCGCGATATGCTAATGTTTCTATTGTTTGGAACCGATTTCTTTTGTTTGGAACCGACTTTGCAACCTGGTTCGGGCCTTTTCGGGGGAGATGCTCCAACCGCCGTCCTCTTTCGCCTAACAAGCATTTCACTGGGGGCACAGGCCCGAGATTGCCTGCCCCTCGCTGGCACGACTCCATTCCGTCACATTGTACCAGGCTCCGCGCGCCTAACGGGGCACCTTCGGCCCACGCTACGCCAGCGTGTCAAAAACTCTGCGATGTTTCATCACCGCGCAGTATGACTTCGGACTTCTTGGAATGTTGAATGGAAGCTGGGGAACTGAGCTCAGCCCAGTCCAGTTCAAACGTGTTCTCCGGATAACTTGTGCGGGCCGCCCCCGACAGGATTTATGACCGATCGCTCTGGTGCTAGTATCATTTCGGCGGTTACGTTGGTATGATTGCGTCTCCCCAGTCAGATTCTGCAGTGAAAGGGTCCTAGCGCATCCTACTGATGGGTCGACGAAAGTACTTAGGCGGCCGATTTTGGTAGGCGACTAGGTTCACGGCTTGCGATGTCTTCTTGCTCCTCCTCCTCCCCCTTCTCATCCACCCCCTTGCAGTGGAGGCCCATGCCAAGAAACATGCTGCTTGCCTCCAGGGTGCCCTGGGTTTCTTGGGTTTGAATGGTTCTGCCATGGAAAGCGTGGCGTCCCCATGCCACAAATCAATGGACGTCATGGGGTCTCAGGGTTGGGTTTCTTGTGGAAGGTTTCTTGCGGTCGGGCCCCTACTGTATTCCCCAATCAACGCTTGCACTGGAAGGGTCCTCTAGCCGGTATTCCCCAACCAGTGCTTGCACTGAAGGGCTCCTAGCGGCACTTTGAAGAATATCCTTCAAGGAATGGGCCGATTTCGGGGGATGTCCGGATTCCCGGGTTGGTTCCCGGAGGCGGCTAGCGTCCCAGGCCCGCGAGATATCGCAGACGCAGTGGAGATCGGAGGGCAGAACGTGGCGAGTATCGAGCGCATGGAGAGCGCAGGGAGCAATGCAGGCAGCAGAGGGTTTACAGTAGAGAGCAGAGAATAGCGAGGCGGGTCTAGATAGTGGAGGGTACCCTGGGGCCCTTCTTGGGACATCCTTGGGGCCTCATTGTGGCGTCCTTTCGGCTTCGGTGGAGGCTTCGAAAGCGCCCCAAGAGGGCACGCCTCAACAGTGCCCCCAGAGGTCGCCTCCCTCCTGGCTCGTCCTCAGGTGGAGAAGGAGCGAGGGAGCCGAACGACTCACTCGAGGGTGAAACGTGCTGTCCCATCTCTCCTGCCTTGCCCTCGGGTGAGGAGGGGGGGCGGGGACCGAACGTCTCGCCCGAGGGTGAGTCGTTCGGTCCCCGCTCTCCTGCCTCGCCCTGGGGTGAAGATGGAGGGAGGGAATAAAATGTCTCACTCGAGGGTGATTCGCTCGATCCCCTCCCTCCTGCCTCGTCCTCGGGTGAGGAATGGCGTGCGGGGACCGAACGGCTCACTCGAGGGTGAGTCGTTCGGTCCCCTCCCTTCGGCCTCGTTGTCGGGCGAGAAGGGAGGGAGAGAACCGAACGATCCGCTCGTTGAGTCGTCCGAAGAGGAGGGCCCCTCTTGAGACTTTCTTGGGGCGCAAAGTATAAGGTTCTTGCAGGCGTGACGGGTCGTCGGGCCATCGTGGAGCCCTGGTGGAACCCAGTTGGGACATTCCTGGGGTCATATGTGAGCTCTCTTGGATCTCCCCTGGGGGTGCCGGGGTGCCGCGTTCGTCGTCTTATGCCCATGCCCACCGACATCGCGCTGTGTTTGCATGCTTTGTTCGAACAATCGGCGAATTTTTGCACCGGTGTAACGAGTTTTTGTCGGAGGGGTCGTTTCATGGGCAGTCACACTATTTTGTTCGCCCGCCTGGACGGAACACTCGGGCTCGAAACGCTCGTCAAGCGGCTCGATCATGCCGACGGGGGGAACTTTGGAGATGAGGCGGTTCGGCATATCTCTGGGCTGCTGGAGTTTTTTTTGATCGAAAATGAAAGCAGGAATAGGATCACGAGGAGGTAGAAGAGAGTGCGAAGAGGAGTAATTGGAGGAGGCTGAAGAGCACCAGCAGGAGGCGGAGACTCATATGACATGAGCAGGATGAACAGCAGGCAGATCAGCAGGGCGATTATGACGCGCATGATGAAGAGGAACACGAAGGGCAGGCTTCGGAGGAGGCAGCCGCAGGATGAGGAGGATTAGGAGGGAGACAGAGGTGGAATGTGAGGGGAAGGAAAGATCGGAGCAGGAGCGGGAGTAGAAAGGAGGATGATGAGGATGAGCATGAAGGAGTATGAGGAGTTATAGGAGGAGCAGGATAACTTGGAGGAACAAGAGTTGGTGTAGAAGGATGAGGTGGACGAGGTGGACAAGGAGTATACAGGGACGGGGGGAGGAATGCGGTGGACAAGGTGGATGAAGTGGACATCACGGAGGCATGCAGAAATGGGCAGAAGGAAAGGCGGAGAAAGGATGAGGATGATAAGAGAGGAGGAGGTGGAGTGTTTATTCCGATTGTCCGTGGTCTTCTTCCTCCGCGTGGATTGCAGCATGGGTTACCTGCACTACCATGTGGCGCCCATGACCGCAATTGTCGCGATGGCATGGCAGCGTTTCAACGCATTGTGATTACAAGCATTCGTAGTTTGGTCCAGGCCTGTCGAACAAAGACGAGGAGGAGGTGGATAAGGCCAGGCAGTTGTCAGGAGGAGGAAGCCGAGACCACAAAGACCTGGAGGGGACCAGGCGGAGGGGCGAAGGCGCGGAGCCGAAGGACGCGCCAGAGGTGCAGGAGGAGGCGAAGGAACGAAGTTGGAGGGCCAGAAGAAGAAAGAGGATGATGATGATGATGATGATGATGATGATGATGATGATGATGATGATGATGATGATGATGATGATGCTGATGATCATGATCATGATCATGATCATGATCATGATCATGATCATGATCATGATCCTGATGATGCTGATGATGCTGATGGTGCTGATGATGCTGATGATGGCGACGACGACTACAACGACGATGATGGTGATGATGTTGATTATGATGATGTTGATGATTATCATGATGCTGAAGATGACGCTCGTCAAGATCTGAATGGTGATGATGATGATAATGAGGGTTATAATGAGGCTGAGGATGAGGATTAACGATGAGGATACGGATGAGGATGCTGATGATGATGTTGTTGATTTTACTGATGATGATTATGATGATGCTGAGTATGATGAAGGTGATGGTGGTGTTGATGCTGCTGATGATGATGCCTATGATGATGATGATGATGATGATGATGATGATGATGATGATGATGCTGATGCTGATGCTGATGCTGATGATGATGATGATGATGAGGAGGAGGAGGAGGAGGAGGAGGAGAAAGAGGAGGAGGAGGAGGAGGAGGAGGAGTTGGTCCCACTCTCTCTCTCCCCCTCCCCATCCTCCTTCCTTTCTTTCCGGTGTCGGGCCTGGCCTGGAAGTCTCTCGCAGGCTGTTGCTTCTCGGCCTTGGACCACCGTCGCGACTGTGATTGCGAGGAGTTGGAGCACCATGCGAGGGAGGAGGACTAGGAGGAGGAGGAGGAGGAGGCAGAAAAGGACCATGAGATGGACACGGAGAATGGTGATAAGGAGGCGGGGGACCAGGATGTGATGAGGGTTGAATTCTCTTCGCGTATCCCCACCAGCTCTGCTGACGCTGCTGGCACCTTCGCCAGCGGCCGCGACGGAAAAAGTATCTCCACCAGCCCATCTAGAAACGATGCCCAGGCAAGTTGACTCTCAGAGTCTCCTCGGAAGTCTCTTGAAAGCTTTTTGGAGGCCTCTTGGAGCGTCTTGGGGGCCTCTTGGCTGTCCCAGGGGGCCTGTTGGAGCGTCTTGGGTGCCTCGGGGAGCCTCTTGGGGCCTCTTCGGGGTCTCTTGGGAGCCTCTTGGAAGCCTATTGGGCGCCTCTTGGGGCCCTCTTAAGGCGCTCTTGGAAGCCTTGGGAGCGCTCGTGGGGCCATCTTGGATGAGATCGACCAGCCTTGTCCCTCTAGAGTGCCTAGAATTAGGCTTAAATTAGCGTTGCCCTCTAGAGTGCCTGGAATCGTCTCTCTTGGGCCCAGCTTGGGGCGCTCTTGGGGCGCTCTTGGGCGCTCTTGGGGCCGTCTTGGGGCTCTCTTGGGCCTCTCTTGGAGCTGTCTTGAGGCCTCAGAAGGCCATCGGAAGCGAAAAGGCGAGAAGGCACAAATCATTGATTCTCTGAAGGTTTTCGAATGATTTCGGCCTCTTGGCGGCCTCCTGGAGAGACTCCGTGGCCACTCGGAGCCGTCGTGGAGCGGTCTTGGGGCCTCTCGGAGCATTTTGGGAGCCATATTGAGCCATCTTGGGCTATCTTGAGCCATCTTGGAAGTCATCTTGGGCCCTCTGAGGCCCTGCTAGTGCCATTTTGGGCCATCTTGGACGCTCCAACGCCTCGCGAAACCCACCTCCAGGTCCAGGGGATGGGGGAGGGAACAGCGATCAAACTTCCCACCCGCCCGCAAGCCGTCTTGCTCACTCCCACCCGCGCTCCCAACACATACGTGACACCTGGGAGTCGGCAGATCGCGTAAGAACGCCGCAGACGCCACGGGTTTCAGATGCACCAGACCTTGGAGGCCCAAGCGTCCAGGAGCGCCAGGTGCGGCATGTGCTCCACGTGCGCCCAGTGTTCCACGTGCTCTGGCCGCGCCAGGTGCGCCAGCCCTTGGGAACCAATGGGGGCTCTCGTGCCCGGCTTTAAGCTGTCTTGGCCAATTTGGGAGCCATGTGGAGGTTTCGAAATCCCGTCGGAAACTGTAAGGCGAAAAGGCAGCAGCCATTTGATGTGTCAAACCAGATTGTCGACCACCTGCGCCCAGAAGGCAGGTGGGATTGGCTGGCACCCCAGCCGTCCCTGTAAAATACCAATGCAAAGTGGTCGCGGGGCGGCCGCGCATGCTCCAAAAGTAGAGGCAGAGTGCGTTTTGTTTTGTTTCTTGACAGGGATGGTGGGGTGGGTGGCCCTTATGGGGTTGGCATGGTTCCAGGTTGGCCGCCCGCCGGGTTGGGGAGGGGGTGCATATTGATAGGGAATAGTGATAAACTCCTCCCCGAAGGGGAAGAGTGAGGGTTTGGAAGAGAAACCTCCCCAGACCACCTACGCCCAGAGGGCTGGTGGGATTCCGCCAGGGACCCTGCCCCCCAGATGTTCTCGGGGGACTCCTGAGGCCAACAAGCGGCTGCACAGATGCTGAGGACGCTTTTGGCACGCAGGAGGCCTCCCACCCCAGTCCTCGATGGCCCAGGGGCAGAACTCGGCAGCAGGAGGAGACACCGAAGCTTGGCTGCCCCGATGCGCCCGCTTTGAAACGCAACACGTACCTGTTCCAAACGTCCGTGTTAGCACGTTGCGTGTTGGCTCCACGTGCTGACCCACGCTCTGGAGAGCGTGCCGCGCCAGGCCTACGTTTTCAATCTGCGCGTCGAGCTCCGCGTCCGGACACCACGGGCTGCGTGTCGGGTGCCGGGACGGCCGATCGCCACAGGCGGCGCCACCGAAACGGAGCCGGGAACCCAACAGAGGGCATTGGCCGGAGGCAGGAGGACCGCCACCTCTGCGGTGCACGGCGCAGGCGAGGTGGGCGGGAAGCGCGCCCCATCGAGGAGGCGCGCGCACGGATCGAGGAGGCGCGCGGGTCGGCGACGGGCCCCGCTTCCGTGCAGCTTTGGCCCGCTCCGTCGCCAAATCCTCCCCCTCCTCCTCCTCCCTCCTCCTCCCTCCTCCTCCGCTTCTTTTCCTGAATAAATAATTTCTCCCTGTCGCACCCCGAGGCCAGTTTTTAGGGCGGGCCGGGCGTTTCGCCTGAGACTTCCTCACCGTTTATGATTCTGAAGCTTGAAGAGTGGCAAGAGTTTCACAGATGGAGGGCGGGTGATTTTCAAGATGTGGCTCTCGCCTTAGCGTCGCGCACATTCGTTTTCAGAATTTGCAAGAGATTTACGGCTTGAGTGCGATTCTTTTTCAAAATGTGGTTCTCGCCTTAGCGCCGCGCACTTTCGTTTGCAAAATTTGCAAGAGTTCCACGGGTTCCACTGATCAACTTATCAGACATGGTGCTTTGGAAGGATTCAGGATGATGCGGGCACAACAGTTATGTTGATTCGCGGTGTTCAAGTCCCAAGAATGGCGTTCTGGCACGATTGTGGATCGTCAAGACGCAGCAGCCAGGTTGATCCGTGACGTTGAAATCCACAGAACAACGTTTTGGTATGCTTCGGGGTCTTCGAACGGTCGTCTTCCAACGAATCAGTTCCCTCAATGGTAATGAACCGTTGTAGAGGCCCATGAAGAGGGAGCTTGGAGGGAGGGCTTACTTCAACATCGTTGATGTCTCTTGGGTTTACACTGGTCCTTCTCTTCCTCCTCCTCCTCCCTCATCCTCCCTCCTCCCTTCTCCCCCTCCTCCTTCTCCACCTCTTTCTCCTCCTGCTCCTCCTCCTCCTCCTCCTCCTCGTCCTCCTCCTTTTCGTCCTCCCTTCTCCCTCCTCCTCCTCCTCCTCCTCCTCCTCCAGATTCCCTCGACTACACGCAAGAACAACCTTCCGCCGAGGTGACCGTTGGTGCGGGCACAATGGGGCCCCTCGATCGCCGAATGCGAGGCGACAGCAGCGGCTTGCGCGCCTGGCGGTTTCCCCAAAGGGCTCCCCCTTGGCCGCGCACTAGAGGGTAGGTCGCTCGTGCCCAGGGTCACCCTTGCGTGCAGCCGACTTCATGTCTCGGGGGCTCTTTTACCAGATCCGTGGATCTGGCGCCCGCGCGCCAGGTTCGCAGATCCGTGCTACATGGCAGCGCGCGTCCGAGCCACCCTCCTGGCATCGATCCGAGCCCCCGCGATCTGGGCGGCGCTGCAGGAGCAAGAGCTACTCAGGAGGGAAACATACACACAGACACAAATAATCGTCGAATACTATGAGAGAGTGGGAACGGATGGGAAATAGAAGGGGAAGGCGACAATCAAGAAAATACTCAATAATGGCAGGAATCATGAAATTTATGTATCCTGATTTGTGTCTTCCTGGGCGTCTGAAGCTACGGCGGCGATCAGCCCGCCCGTCCCCCCCGCGGCCGAGTGACACGTGGACCGGAGGCGGGCTGTTCCGGGGAAGAAGACGACCACGACGACGAGGAGGACGAGGAGGACGACAAGGAAGGAAAACGAAGTAAAAGAGAGCTCTGGGATATAAAGAGATGGGCCAGAGGAGGAGGAGGAGGAGGAGAAGAAGAAGGAGGAGGAGAAGGACAGGACCAGTGTAAACCCAAGACTCACCAGAGACGTTGCAATATACCCTCCCTCTACGTGGCCCTCTTCGCAGGCCCCATTCAAGGAATTGTTGTTCACTGAAGTTAGTGCCTCGTAAGAAGACAACCGTCTGAAAATCCTGAACCGTGCCAAGACACCATTCTTGGGGGAGGGGAAGCAGGAAGAGGAGGAGGAGGGGGAGGGGGAGGAGGAGGAGGAGGAGGAGGAGGAGGAGGAGGAGGAGGAGAAGGAGGAGGAGGAGGAGGAGGAGGAGGAGGAGGAGGAGGAGGAGGAGGAGGAGGAGGAGGAGGGGAGGGGAGGAGGGAGGAGGAGGAGGAGGCGGAGGAGGAGGAGGCGGAGGAGGAGGAGGAGGGAGGAGGAGGTGGAGGAGGAGGTGGAGGAGGAGGGGCCAGGGCTCAGCGGAAGTGGAGGGGTGACCCCCCTCCAGGCACGTGTGCTGCGACCGCTTCGGAGAGCGTGAGCGCTTCGCAGAGTTGGTGCCCCGGGCGAGCAGGAGCGGCTAGAGGGTTCATCAGTGGAGGAAGGGCAGAAACTGATGCTGCTGCTCGTCCTGGAGGGCACTCTTCGCCACAGATGGACTCCGTGCGAAATTCTAGTAAGAATGCTTCGCCTCTCCTCGTCTCCCTCCTTCTTCCATCCCTGCTCTTTCTGCGCCGTTTCGTGGTCTCACATGGGGGGTTAAGAGTAAAGACGGTCCTGCGATAGAGTTACCCAGTCGCCAGTAGCATTGTCACTCACGTGGTGGCGTTTTTTTTTTTTTTTTTTTTTTTTTTTTTTTTTTTTTTTTTTTTTTTTTTTTTTTTTTTTTAAAAAAAAAAAAAAACATGAACAACGCACTCCGGGAAAGTTCCAGGAAGTAGCGGTTATCGGTACCTTTTGGTTCTTTCACAGGTCATCACCGTGGCAGGGTTTCGATCGGCCGACGATCCGATCTTATGTTGATCCAGGCAGGCCCGCCCCGATTCGATTTCGTTTTTCCGACGGTCTGGTGCGGCCCGATGTTCGCGGGGCGTCGTTCTGCACCTTGGCGCGGCCGAGCCGCTTCGATCTCGACTCTGTCCCGGTGCAGGCTGACCAGTTGCGCATCACGCCCCGATCCGATGTGCCGAGCAGCTGTCCCCAGGGAATCTGGAGCCAGTCCTGAGGGGGGCCAGAGCATGTCCTTTCCAATAGTACGAGCCCCAAGGGCCCCGATTGATTCTAAAGGATCTCCTTTGGAGTCCTGTCTCGCGCATCCGAAAGCATGTTGCGAGGAATCATTGGGCACGTGCACGGCATCCTGAGCTTGTCTTCTGGTTCGTGGGGGCTCCAGGAGACTTTCCGAGGATTCCCCCGCGTGATAAGACGATTGCTGCACAATGTTTTTCGGCGCAGGGCAGTTCGTCCGGCACGTCCGAAAGGGTTCAACAGTCTCAGTCTGAACGCACGACGAGGTGATGATCGGGACCGCGTGAACTGCCTACCCTACTACCACTATTAGTGTTACCACAACCACTCGAACTCCTGCATCCTCATCCCTCCTCTCTCATCGCCCATGCAACCAATCATTTTGCATGCTCTCCATTACATGATGCGTCTCATTCCATCCGCCCAGTATTCTCCTCCATTCGCTCCTTCCTCTTCTGCTCCTCGTCCAGTTCGTCTTTTCCATATGTCTTCATTGTCACCTCTTCCCTCTTCTTTTCTTCTCTTGCGTCGCCGCCGCCGCCGCACTTGCCGCCGCCGCCCGCGCCTGAAAGCCCGGGGCGGGGCGAGCCCCGCAGGTGCGCGGGCTCGGTCACCTGGACGCGGTGGTGGACCTGTGCTGCGCGCACGAGGCGTTCGCCTCCGACGTTCTGCAGGTTCGTGCCCCGCCGTCTCCGCCCCCGGCGACGACGACGACGACGACGGCGATCCAGTTCTGGAGGACCGCGCTGGGAGGGCGTTTGGTAATGGAGGGGAGCTTTGCCTTAGCGTGTCGCTCCGCTGGTGCTGGCCCAGCACGCTTCGGCGCGACACGCTAGCCACTTCCCGTTCCCCCAGCGTCGTCCCGAGCTTTTCCCAGCCTCCCGCCCTGCGAAGCGGGGCGACGCGATATATCCTCTCGCAAGGCACAGCGTGTCGCCGGGACCGCCGCCTCGACACGCTCTCCAAAAGCTTCCAAGCGTCAACGGGGGGGGGGGGAAAGTGTCGAGGGTTACAGGGAAGAGGCCCTGAAGGGGCCCCTGAAGGGCCCCCCTGTAGGGCCCCGAAGGTGCACGAAAGGTGCACCTTTCTTCATCCCCTGTTGATTGCCCCCCCCCCCCCCGACGAGGCAGCGCCCGAGGAGGGTGGGCAGGATGAGGACGCGCGCGCGCCGCCACACAGCGGCTTGCGCCGGCCACGCTGTCTGGCGGGCTCGCGCTCGCCCTGGGCCATGGCCGAGGAGGCCAACGGGGGGAGCGTGCCGTAGACTCCTGCGGCTCTCCCCGGGGACCAGCCCCTCATCCCGAGTCGTGTTCTCGGACGGGGGGGCCCTCATGCTGCACGCGCAGACGAAGGAGGCGCAGCTCGCCTCCTTGCGCCGCTGGGGCGCGGGCGAGCGTGACCTCGCCCGCCCAATCGTTCGCGTGGCGCTCCGCCTGGGCGCTCCGGTCCACGGTCGCTCGCGCCCTGCATCCGTCGCTTGCGGCGTCCGCTCGGGGGAGGGGGAGAAGGGGTGGGGGGGGAAACTTTAAGACTCTGTAGAGTGCGCTGTTTTCGAACCATGTTTTCGCGCGGTATCTCATGACGTGAGCTTGTTCGCGTGCACGGTTGCAGCATGCCTTCGAGTCTCGAATGGTCTTCGGCCCATCCCGCCACCGTGCCTCGATAGTGGGTATTAAGCCTGTCGGATGTTCGCTGGGGCTGGGATCTCGTGGGAAGTTTCTCGGTGATCTCTTGGATGCAGTTTGATGCCTCTTGGGTTTTTTGGGGGGGCCTCTTTTGGGCCTCTTGGGGGCCTCGTGGGGGGTCCCGGGCGCCTGTTGGGGCCTCCTGGGTGCTCCTTGGGGTGGGAGGCTCGGATTTTCGGTTCGTGTTTTCTCTTTCGGGATCCTTTTGGCGCCGTCTTCGGGTCCTCTTGGGCCGTTTTCGGCTCCTCTTGGGCCGTCTAGGGGCCCTTTTGGGGTTTTGAGTCAGATCGATTGGGAGACTAATAGTGAGAACTGTTGCGAGATCGATAGTGGGTCCGAATGTGAAAGCGATAGTGGGTTCGATTGTTGGATCGACGGTGAGATCGATTGCGAGATCGATAGTGCGATCTGTCGTGAGATCGATCGTGAGATCGGTTATGGCATCGATTGTGATACCGACAGAGATCGAATGTGAAATGTGTCGTGAGATCGATAGATCGTCGTGAGACGATCGTAGTGCAATTTTCCATGTGAGATCGACCAGGACTGCCATCTGTTGGTTATTTTCCCCTCCCCCCAAACCTCCTTATCACCCGAAGGGTGGTCGTATTGGTACGGTATCAAGATTACGTAGTTGCGTTAGCTATCGTCATCGCAATTGTTGTTTATGGCATGGATCGCGTGAGCGACCTGATATGCTCAATTCATGATGCGAGTCAAGCTGCTCTGTGTAGACCTACCCATACGGTCAACCCGCTGACAACGACTGCGATGAAAGTCCTGGCGATGATATGTCGCCATCGATCTCACGAGTGTCACTAACGATCTCACCATCAATCTTTATCGATCTCACAACTGATCTCGCGAGCTACCATCCAGACACCACGGCTGGACACCTGGAGCCACAGCCGGGACACCCTGCGCTACCGAGGGGGCACCCCGCACCACCGACAGGACACCGACGCGCCACCGTCGAGACAGCCCCGGCCACCGCGCGCCAGGGGGGGGACAAGCAGGACAACCGGCTCCACAGCCCCTAGCCACGGCGGCATCATTACTCTCGCGGGCCCACGCTGCTTTGCCGCGCCCGCACACACAACAGGAACACGAAACCGACACCGATTTCTCGCTGGGGGGCTCTCCGTTCCACTGCGATCTCACCCCCCAATCTTCGACATGACCACCATTCGGGTGGGAAGGAGGTTTGGGGGAAAAGAACCAGCTGATGGCAATCTTGGTGGTTGTGACGAGGTCGAACTCACAACAAATTCCATTACGATCGGCACACGACGATCTATCGGACTCAGCACAAATTTCACATGCGATACCTGTCGATCTCGCAATCGATCTCGCAACCCGTCTGACGCTCGATCTCACTTCATGTCGCACTATCGATCTCTCACTCGATCTCACCGTCGATCTGACAATCGTATTCGTTCTCGGTCTCACATTCGGACTCACTATCGACCTCACAACAGCTCCCATTACCAGTCTCACAATCGATCTCACAATCGATCTCATGATTGATCTAAGGATGGATGCCATTATAGATCTCAGAAGCGATCTCACCATCGATCTGACAGCAGATCACACTATCGATCTCACAGCGGATCTCATGATCGATCTGACAAAACGATCTCACTATCGATCTCGCCGCCCTGCTCCAGGACGTTGACTCGCGCCGCCCTGCGCTGGGACACGGAACACCGACGGGACACTGACGCGCCACCGACGGGACACCTCTGGCCACCGCGCGCTGGGGGGCGGACAATCGGCTCCACAGCCCCCCAGGCACGGCGGCATCATTCCTCTCGCGCTCCCACGCAGCTTCGCCTCGCCCGAACGCACGACACGAACACGAAACCGACACCGATTTCCCAGTGGGGGGCTCTCCGTTCCACTGCGACCTCACCCCCCAATCTCCGATACTTTGCTCAAACGTTGCGCCACAAACTCGTATTGTTTTCGCGTGCATACCGCGCCACACATGTACGGTGGACTCGCGTCGTGACGAGCGACCCCGCCGCGGGCGTTCAAGGCTGAACGCCGCCGTTGACCCAGAATCGGCCAATGCGGAGCAATCGTGCGCGATCGGAGGTCCGGAGTCGTTGTAGATTCAACGATTCATGTGGTGTCAGAGGCATCATGCAATTCGCCACAGCACGAACCCATCCTATACTTGCAGGGGTGAGGTTTTTGCAACTTCGCACCATCCTGACCCCCAGCGTGTGCAATCACGAGGTCCCCAAACGCCTCTCCTGACGCAGAGGAGCGGAAATGATGGACAGCCATGCGCCGAATCGCAAACATTTTCAGTCGCTGCGATGGCGATCGCGCGTAGCGACTGTAGCCCCAGCGGGGGCGCCGAATTCCAAACAGGCGGTTCCGCGTGGGAGGTCTTCACCGAATGGGTCCCTCGACCCTCCCAGAGGGCCCCGGGCGGCGACAGGGGGCGGAGGGGGACGGCCGTGGGGAGAGGAGGAGTCGGGGTCAATGTCAGGGAGGACTGACTCTGGGGAGGAGGCACGGACCCCCAATCGGCTATTGATCGCCGATAGGGGCCTGATGGACCACCCCTCCCAGTAACGTGCGGCTTTGCTGTCGGGGCGTATCACCGATTTCTCGGCGATGTATCGTCGATTCCCGGTCGATGTTTCCCCCTTTAGCTGGTCCCCCCTATCATTCCCCCCGAGACAGGGGCGCAAGCGAGAGACAGAGAGAGAGAGAGAGAGAGCCAAACGAATCCAGTTCAAGTTTACATACATGTGTAAGTTGAGGTTCACAGGGTTATCCTAGATTTTGCATGCCTTACATGATGCGCTCCACAGTGCGTTGGTGTACTTGCCAGAGGTGCTTACTCACACAAACTGCTTGTGTGTCAATGCCTGCGGTGAGCGTAAGGCGTAAACCTGGCAGCCGTGGAGTCCTCACCAGGCAAATCGGTGCACGTGAAAACCGAAGGTGTGCTTCACACGCCTGTCTCCCATGTGCGACAGGCACTAAGGGAACAAGCGCTGACATAAGCATAGCAACTCGGCGGTCCGCGCGGATTTCTCGGGTCGGCGCTTGACCCCCTCCCTGGCAAGCGGAGCGCGCCAGAGGCGGCGCTGGAGGCGCCGCCAAGGGCCCCCAGCGCCGATCCGAGGAATCCGCGCGGACCTCCGAGTTTTTATGCTTATGTCACTGTCTGTTCCCAAGTGCCGGTGTCCACCTACAGGCAGAACGTGCATATTCGCTACCAGAGACCTACAGCCGATCGATCGGCGATGTATCGCTGATTCCAAGTCGATGCTGTTCCACCTGTGCCAGTCCCCCTAGTTTTCGGAGCATAGCTCGGCTCTCCAGCGGCCAATCGGGACGATCCGGGCACCCCCTGGAACGCCCGCGACAAGGCGCAGCTGCTGGAAACCACCCAGGGCCTCGAAAACGCCAGACAGTTTCCGAAGGCGGTCGAAAACTTCGGAGGAACGTCGCCCCCGGAGCCGTTCGCTGCCCCTCGACGCTGCCCTCGCGCGCAGAGGGTGCGCGCCGCCGACAGGCCCTCACCACGTCGGGCGGAGACGGCACGGCGGCAGGCGGGGCCCGGCTCCGCGCCCAGCACTACGTGCTGGCGGGCCCCTCGGCCCGAAAGCGAGGGCCCGCGGGGAGCGCAGGGCCCGTCTCGGCTCCCCCGGCTCGATGCCGATGCCGCTGCCCTTCGCGCGTTCTCCCTTTTCTCGGGCTCCTGGCAGGCCCTCGTTGCCACAGCTGGATTCGCCTCGAAGTCCTGGTCAGAACACACCCCGGGAGAGGTCCGGGGAGTAGCGGTATCGGTATGTGTTGGTTTCCCTCATTCCGATTCCTCCACGGAGGCTTGCCATCCTGCCGATTTCTGCCTATCCGACTTCTCCCGACACTGGCCGCCGGTTTCCGGCGATCCGATTCGTCTCGATCGCCGCCCTTAGATGATGAACGAACGAACGACACACACACACATACATATATATATATAGAGAGAGAGAGAGAGAGAGAGAGAGAGATTCCCATGGAGGTGTCGGAGGGAGGGGGGACTGGCCAGCGATATGGATGCGGGTTGTTGGACCCTGGGGGACGCTCCCTCTCGAGCGGGGATCCCCATACAACACGCACCCATAGCCCCCTCCGTCCCCCTTATGGATACAGTCAACCCGCATAGTAAGGATGAGCAACTTTACGAGGTTACCCTTGCATTATTCCCCTTCTGCCCATCCTTGGCCACTCTCGTTTTCCGCGCCCCGCTCGAAATGGCCTTTCAAAGCCCTTGCATCCTTATTGTGCGTCCCTATTTTACTGGTGGACTGTATGAGTGTGTGTGTGTGTTGTTTGTTCGTTCGTCACGTCGAGGGAAAACAGGGACCACCGCCACCGAGAATCCACGGGTGAGGTCGACCCGACTCCTCGGCTGCGGCACGCCCCAGCGTCACCCCGCACTGGCCGACGCTCGGGTGTGCCGCCGCCCCGGGGTGGGCTCCCTCCATGGGCGCTCGGCGGCGGTGGTTTATCCCCAGACATGATGGCGTCGTGAGAAAAAACACGACGGACAGTTTTTTCATATTTTCGGACTTTGGGGGCCCTCTCCAGGCCATGGGACCGTCAAAAACGGCTTGGACTGAAAAGCCTGTCCGGGACAAAGGGTCGGGACGTCCCGGGGGAGCCGCATGGAAAGAATCAGTAGGTCGCCTGTTAGGGTCTGTCTCTTCTCTGATCCCGGCCATGGGCATGTCTTGAAACGGGCCGGCTGGCTGGGGAATGTGGCCTCCCCGCGTGCACGAGAAGCAGGCCCGCCACCTTCGTGCACATGGCACGGCGGCCGGCCCCTCGGCGCCGCGACAATTGGCCCTCTCCGGGATGCAGTTGGGCGTGTCTCGGTGCGGGCGCATCGGCGCGCAGAAGGGCAGCGTGGCGCTTGCGGTGCGCCTTGAGTGTCGCTCCAGGCCCAGGCCCCAGGCTCTGAGGCGCAAGATCGCGTGCCAGGACGGCGGAGGGGCTCGCGAGGAGGAGTCGGACGAGGAGGCTTGGTGTTGGAGGTTGGAGGAAGCAGGGGGAGGAGACGACGGAGGAATCAAGAGCAAGCGCCACCTTGCCCCGCTCTGCTGGACCTGGGAGCCTCCTGCAGTATCGCAGGGGAGCGGCCGGTGGAGGAGGCCAGAGGCGGGGAGGAGGAGGAGGCGGAGAAGGGGGGGAGGAGGAGCTTTGGCAGGCTTGAGGAGGAGGCTGGAGGATGGCGGGGAGGGGCCAGGAACAGGCCGCCTCTTGAAGCCTCGGCCGGCTGCTCAAAAGGTGGGGCTTCCGTCGGTGGAGCGGATGTGAGGGGGGGAGGAATCGGACTGCCCTGACTGGATCGGGTCATGGCCAGGCCGATTCGGGCCCTGGCCCGGTGTAATTACACGCCCTCCTGGCTTGGGCAGGAAGGCACATGCACAGATCCTGGGCCCAGTGTGAGCCAGGCCAGGGTCGGTGGTGCATATGCATGTATGCATGTATGTACGTACGTACGTATGTACGTATGTACGTACGTACGTACGCACGTATGTAATTACGTATGTGCGCATGCATGTATGCCTGTATGTATGTATGTATGTATGTATGTATGTGTGCATGTCTGCATGTATGCATGTATGCATGCACGTGTACAGATATGCCTATATATAGGCATACATACATGCATGTACGTACGCATGTATGTTTGTATGCAAGTGTATGTACATGTATGTATGTATGGCTGTGCGTATGTAGGTATGCATGCATGCATGCATGCACGCACGCATGCATGTATGTATGTATGTATGTATGTATGTAGATGCGCGTATGTCTGTGCCTGTGTATTTGTATGTGTATGTGTATGTGTATGTGTATGTGTATGTGTATGTATGTATGTTTGTGTGCATGCGTACATGTATGTATGTATGCATGCATGTATGCATGTGTGTATGTGTGTATGCATGCATGCATGTTTGTGTGTATGTGTGTATGCATGGTTATATGCATGAGTGAAGGCGTACATGCATGTATGTCTGTATGTTTGCATGCATGCATTCATGCATGCAATCGTGTAGAATTGTATGAATGTATGTATGTGTTTATGTATGTATGTATGTATGTATGTATGTATGTATGTATGTATGTACGTATGTATACATGCATATATGTGCGTATGTGTATATGTATGTATGTGTGTATGTGCATACATAGATGACTATACATTACCATGTCGAAAGTTTTGTCCTATTGGGGCACAAAGAATGGCAACACCAATTTATCACATTGAAACAGTTTCGTGACTCCTATTTTGGTTTTGCGCGGATCCAATTTCCCGTGTGTGAAAACAATACATGTGTCATGTTCTTTTTGACTAAGCTTGTAATAATTGTAACGGACCTTCTGGACCCACATGGAATTTGGGGCATTGCACGTGAGGCATCATGCTATGCATGGAGTTGTGGCTCTGCAAACCAATGCTGTGATTCAACGGGGATGGGTTTCCTTAGGGATAAGAGAGGAGAGGAGGGAGGAGGTAAGGGGAGGGGAGAGGAGGAGAGTGGGGGGGACGGCGGTGGGCGCGGGACATAGGAGGACAAATGAGGGAGGAGGGGGTGCGGGAGGGAGGAGGGAAGAGGAGGTGGAGGAGGAGGAGGAGGAGGAGGAGGAATGAGGGAGACGGAGGGAGGAGGCAGGATGGAGGAGGCGGCGGGAGGAGGGGAGGAGGACGAGTAGGAAGAGGAAGAAAAGGATTAGGAGGGGGAGGAGGAGGAGGAGGAGGTAGGGCGAGGAGGACACACACAAGCGAAAGTGTCAAGGTCGGAAGATCGAGCGCCACAGCGGGCCCAGCCACGTCCCTTAACCCCTCCCATAACATGTGGGTGCTCGAGCGCCACAGCGGACCTGGCCATCACACAAGCTTCTTCCATAACATACGGATGCTCGAACGCCACAGCGGGCCTGGCCAACTCCCGCATTTCCTTCCATAACATATGGCATGCCCCAATCCGAAGCGATCGCAGCACACGTCCGTTCACTTGAACGGCTGAGCGCTTTCGACATATCGGGCTCAAGAGGACAGTCTCTCTGCCCGCGTAAGTATACAGACGTGTATAAGTATATGTACATATAGGCCTCAACACCCACCATGAACCCCCCTTTTCTCTTGGAATATGCCAAGCAAGCGGGGGGCGGGGGCGGTTGGAGTGTCGGGTGTCGCGTCGTGTTGTGGTGGTTGGATCTGGAGTACTTGTGTGTGTTGGAAACAGAGGGAGCCTGTTGAGTATCGGGTGTTGTGTTGGAGAAGGAGGCTGTTGAGTACTGCGTGTTGTGATGGAGACGGAGGGAGTTGAGTAGAAGGTTATTTTCAAGTCCAGCTTGGGGAGGGAGCTTGTTGAGTATCGGGTGTTGTGTTGGAGAAGGAGGGTGTTGAGTACTGGGTGTTGTGTTGGAGACGGAGGGAGTTGAGTAGAAGGTTATTTTTCAAGTTCAGCTTGGGGAGGAAGCCTGTTGAGTATGGGGTGTTGTGTTGGAGAAGGAGGCTGTTGAGTACTGGGTGTTGTGTTGGAGACGGAGGGAGTTGAGTAGAAGGGTATTTTCAAGTTCAGCTTGGGGAGGGAGCCTGTTGAGTATCGGGTGTTGTGTTGGAGAAGGACGCTGTTGAGTACTGGGTGTTGTGTTGGAGACGGAGGAAGTTGAGTAGAAGGTTATTTTCAAGTTCAGCTTGGGGAGGGAGCCTGTTGAGTATCGGGTGTTGTGTTGGAGAAGGAGGCTGTTGAGTACTGGGTGTTGTGTTGGATACGCAGGGAGTTGAGTAGAAGGTTATTTTCAAGTTCAGCTTGGGGAGGGAGCCTGTTGAGTATCGGGAGTTGTGTTGGAGAAGGAGGCTGTTGAGTACTGGGTGTTGTGTTGGAGACGGAGGGAGTTGAGTAGAAGGTTATGTTCAAGTTCAGCTTGGGGAGGGAGCCTGTTGAGTATCGGGTGTTGTGTTGGAGAAGGAGGGTGTTGAGTACTGGGTGTTGTGTTGGAGACGGAGGAAGTTGAGTAGAAGGTTATTTTCAAGTTCAGCTTGGGGAGGGAGCCTGTTGAGTATCGGGTGTTGTGTTGGAGAAGGAGGCTGTTGAGTACTGGGTGTTGTGTTGGATACGCAGGGAGTTGAGTAGAAGGTTATTTTTAAGTTCAGCTTGGGGAGGGAGCCTGTTGAGTATGGGGTGTTGTGTTGGAGAAGGAGGCTGTTGAGTACTGGGTGTTGTGTTGGAGACGGAGGGAGTTGAGTAGAAGGGTATTTTCAAGTTCAACTTGGGGAGGGAGCCTGTTGAGTATCTGGTGTTGCGTTGGAGAAGGAGGGTGTTGAGTACTGGGTGTTGTGTTGGAGACGGAGGGAGTTGAGTAGAAGGTTATTTTCAAGTTCAGCTTGGGGAGGGAGCCTGTTGAGTATCTGAACATCGCTCCGAACTTGAGCCCAAAAAGTCTTCCAAAAAAGAGCGTCAAAATTGAGTCCGAAAATCGTAGGAATCATATTTAAATTTATATATAATCATGAGAAAGGGGGGTTCTTGGTGGGTTCGGAGGGCTACATATATACACATATACATATATATATATGTATACACATACATACATAGATTGGTAGGGGGTCCTGGGGCCCCCAAAGGGCACTGATTTGTCTTCCGGCTCTTTCGGGCCCGGCGGGGGGCGCCAAAAAACGTCGAAGGGGCCCGAGAGGCATCCAAGAGGGCGCCAAGATGGCCCAAGAGCGCTCCAAGAGAGCCCAAGATCGCACAAGAGCGTTTCAAAATTGGTCCAGCATGGCTTGAAGACAGCCCAAGAGGGCTTCAAGACGGCCAAGATAATTACCTTCAAAAGGATTCCTACGAGGCACTCAGGAGGCGAAACTCATGGTTTGTTTCGATGGTTTTTGAAGGTTTTTCGTGCTCTCGCTGTTTCGTACTTCCGACGGTCCAAGACAGCCCACGAGGCCCCAGAGATCAACTCAAGACGGCCCAAGAGGCACCCGAAATGGGCGCCACGACAGCGCAAGAGAGTCCCAAGACGGCCTAAGAGTACCCCAAGACGGCCCAAGAGGCGCCCAAGATCGCCCAAAAGGGCCCCAAGACGGCCCCAAGAGGGGCCCAAGAGGGGGAACACGAACTGACAATTCGAGCCTTCCGCCCCAAGAGGCCCCCAGGAGGCCCCAAGAGGCCCCCAAGAGAACCCAAGAGGCCCCCTAGAGGCCCCACGAGGCCTCAAAAAGGTCCAAAAAGAGGCCCCAAGAGCACTCCACATGGCCCCCAAGAGGCCTCCAAAACATACCGGTGCATAGCAAAGGACCACCTAGCCTATCTTGGCATCGCAGCGTTGCATAACATGACATGGCACGGCACAGCACGACAGAGCTAATCGTATGAGTGCATATCACGGTATGGTTCAGCATGCCATAGCATTGCAATGCGCAGCAGTGTCTAGCTGAGCCGAGCATTGAGCTTCATGACGTAACATTGCCTAGCATGGCATTGTTTATCACGACACATCGTGGCGTACTACGGCGTTCCAATACACATCAACTAATCGAACAGCGCCGTACTGCTCTGCGCAGGAGTGAACAACAACCATGCGAATATCACAAACCCTTCGTTGTTCTTACTGTCGTCTTTTATTAGCCTAGCTGCTCACAACATGGCATTGCATTGCATTGTATTGCATTGCATTGCATTGCATAGCCGGGCAGGCCGTGTCTGTGCATACCATGTAACGCGGTAGCATCGCCAATCATGGGAAACATCTCATGGTATGGCTCAGCGTATCATCCCACATATTATCTTAGGATTTCACAGCACAGCATGGCATGGGACGCAATGCGCACTGCAGAATATATCATGCTATTGCATTGCATACTGCATCGCGGCATTGCTCTTAATAGCGTAGCGTAGTGTCTCATGGCATTCCATAGCATCGTGCAACATAGCGCTGTAGCGCTGCACTTTTCCTGGCCCGTAGTTTGGCGACAGATCACTGGCCGACCGGTCGATGAAAGCGGAGGGAGGAAAGAGGAAGAGGCAGGAGGAAACAGAGAACAGTGATTTGATTATTCATAACCGCCTTTTTGTCTCAATGTAGTCAGTACTCGACCAGCTAGAACCTAGGCGTGCGCGAAGCGCGCGATGGTTCTAGTACATACATATATATGTGTATATATATACACACACATATATATATATATATATATTGGCGCCCTCCTGGGGTAGGCCTGGCCCCCAGGGCGTCGCGGACAAAAAGTGCGGCGGGCGCGAACAGACGGGGGGCCTGGTGGAGACTGTTGGGCCGGTCGGTCGGTCCAGACACTTGTCATGACCTGAAGCGCTTCTGGCGTGAGTTCGTAGCTGGATTCTTGCAGTACTTCCCTAGCTTCACTCTCTTCCAAAAATGAAGCAAAGGATAGCCAGGCGGATTCCCACAGCATGCCGTCGGCACACTGCGCTGGGATAGCTGTGTGAGTCGCCCTCCATCATCCTAGACCTGCCTTTCGCTGGTCCTGGCCGTGTAGGCGGTCCTTAGCGGCTGCTTCCGCAGCGGCTGAGGCTGACATTTGCACGCCGTGCATCATAAAGTGTGAGAGGCAGCATCGCGAGGAGTCAAAAGCTTCATGATCCCGAAGTTGTCGCCTGGATGCAGATTCCGTAGCACACGCTCTCCACATTGCTGTAGCCCCCATCGCATATTCAGCCTGCGATATTATGGTGAAGGGAGGAGGGAGGAGGGGCAACGGACAGGAGGTGACCCCTCAGGCGGGGCCCAGGCCCGCCTCCCGCCCCCGGGGGTGCCCCGAGGTGTCGTCGGATGCCGTCTACTGGGCCCTCCGCGTGCCCGACGCGGCGCATGCGCCCGACGGGCTGGAGGCGGCGCGCCCCCTCTGCCAGTCCGCGGCCTGCCTCGGCTGCATCCCCGCTGCTCGCGTCGGTCGTTGAGAGTAGGTCTGCCTCTGGATTCCCAGACCCCCCACGGGATCCTGGCCAATTTTTCGAGCCGGACATCTTCGCCCTGTTTCGGGCTCCGGGACCCCCACAGATAGATCCGGCTCTAAAAATGGCGCAGAAAGGTGGAGCTCGCGGCTGCAATCGTGATTTGTCACGATGTTTTTTTTCGAGACGTCGGATCCCAGGGCCGATCTAACCTACTGATATTTAGTTTTGGCCCCCCGCTGATCTCTCGGCAGTGACTCACACTGGTCCTGAGACCTCCTCGTCGCGGCGGAGATGTTTCTTCGTGTATTGTTGGGCGGGCTGGGCAATCTTTGTTTTTTGCCCTCCAGCGGAATGATCCACTGTGGGCTACCCTGCACGTGGGAGGATTTGCGAGCATCTCATGAGGATTGCAATAGGAATTGTTTCGTTTTGATTTCCGAATTTGCTCAAAGTTGTTTGCCTATCACTGCTGGCAGAACTCCTGCTCGCGCCTGGTCGGCGCGCGCGGCGACGTGGGATTAGTTACCCTCTATTGCTGGGCGGCTGGATAATGTTTCGGGATGAATTCTCCAGCGGAAGAATCCATTGGGGGCTACTTACCCTGCACGCGGGAGGATTTGCGAGCATCTTCTCATAAGGATTGCAAAATAATTGTTTCGTTTGGGTTGGCGAGTTTGCTCAAAGTCGCTTGCCGAGCACTGCTGGCAGAACTGTTGGCGCCTGGTCGCCGCGCGCGTCGACGTGGGATTCGTTTCTCTCTATTGTTGGGCGGGCTGGATAATGTTGGGGAGCTGTTTTCCAACGGAATCATTGTTGTGGGTCACTTGCACGCGGGATGATGTGTAATTCTCAAGAAGATTGCAATAGGAGTTGCTTCGTTTTGATTTGCGAATTGGCTCAACGTCGTTTGCCCAGCATTGCTGTCAGAATTCCTGCTCGCGCCTGGTCGGCACGCACAGCGACGTGGGATTCGTTTTTTTATTATTGGGCGGACTGGGTAATGCTTGGGGGCTACTTTCTCATCGGAATCATCTGTCGTGGGCTGGGGAGGATTTGCGAGCATTTCCTCATACGGATTGCAATCGGCAGTAAGAGTTGTTTTGTTTTGATTCGTGAGTTTGCTCGACGTCGTTTGCCGAGCACTGTCAGCAGAACTCCTGCTGGCGCGTGGGCAACACAGAGTTCGCCATAGTTCTGTAATTTCAACGCGACAGAGGATGGATCTTCTGAGTGCCCTCGCGGGGCCTTGGCTTCAATTAGTCCTTCTCAGGATGGAGCTTTCAGGATACTTCTGTTCCGCGCCAGGTTTTTTGAACCAGAACTTTCCATGAGAGCGTTGCTGGCGGTCGCCGCGGGGGAACACATAGTTCCCATCTATTGGTGGGACATCCGTTCGTCAGTTAGGCCGCCGGAAAATGATTGATTTCATTTATTGGGGGGGTGGGTCTAAAGACCTCTGTGGGATACGTCTGTGTTTTGTTATTCCTCCGGGCGGGCCCGAACCCAATCTGCTCCGTCCGTCTTCCTGCTCGTGTGCGCTCTCCCTCCCGTCCCCCGCCCCGCGGCCGCCCCCTCCCTCCCTCTGTTTATCCCGCTTTCGCTGCTGGACAATTATCGGCGGCGAGCCAGGGGGGGAAGTGAGAAGGAGAAGTCCTTTTCAGAAGGCTCGGAAGCCCCCCCGCCTTCTGAGAAGTTTCCTAAGCCTTCCCCGAAGACACAGAAAGCTTCTCAGAAGGCGCGAGGGCTTCTGAGAAGTCCCGCCGCCTTCTCAGAAGGCCTTCTCCTTCTCACTCCCCCCTCGCTCGCCGCCGAAATTCGCGCCTGCCGTCTCCCGGCCCGCCCGAGCGCGCGTGCGGACTGCCTCTGCCGCGCTGCGTAAGCGAAAATTTGTCTCGGTGCATCCCGGCGATCATGCACCCATAGCTCGGCAATCGAACAGCAGGGAGTCTGAGCTGCCTCAACACGCCCGTCGCCCGTATTGGAGCGCAGCACGTGCTGTGTTCAAAACGTATAAGTTGACACGCTGCGTGTTAGCTCAGCGGTTGGCCAACGTTTTGTCGAACGCGTCAGACTTACGTGTTCAGTCTACGCGCTGAGTTCCGTATCAGTACGCTACGTTTTGCGTGTTGCGTATCAGGGAAGTTGAGCGGCTAACATTTTCCCAGAAATTGGAAATCAAACAGCAGGGATAATAGCAAACCAGGCCTCGGGAGGCGACGCCAGTGTCGCCCAGAGCTCCCGCGAGCTCTGGTCTCCCCAAAGTCGCTCGCCCAGCGATGGGAAGGCCAAAGACAGTTTCCCCAAATTGCCCTCTGGGGAGTCTCCCTCCTCGTCCTCCCTCCTTCCTCCCCTCCCCCGCTGTCCTCACTGTGGGATGCCACCCGCGTGGTTTCGGAGTGGGGAGGGGCTGATCGACAGGGGGTTCCGCTGGCCATCAACCTTCAGAAACAGGCTACGAGTTGAGGATATCCCCAGTTGAAGGGTGTCACCCATGTGACAGCGCCTATGTCAATGCCAACCCCGCAGGGCTGTCAAATGGCGGCCCGCTCGTAGATCGGAGGGCTTGTCAGTGATCCTCCCCCGCTGGCTCCCCCTCCTCCTACGGCGGATCAGCTTGTCTCTGTCAACGCGAATAGGGCGTCAGCGAATGCCAAGCAAGCCCTGCGCGCCGCCAACTTGTGTCCTCCCCATTCCGTCGGGTGCGTCCAAGAGGGGGATAATGGCTGCGTGTTCGTGTGTGGCCATGGGATCTCGTAGATGTCATAGCTTCCTCTTTCTCTTCCAACCCACCCCCTGACCCCCACCTGTCCTCTGCTGGCCTCCTCCCCGCTTCCCCCTCCATGTGAGCCTCAGACTCGATAGAGAGGGACACACACCGGCATGAATTTGGGCGGCGAGACCTACACTTATACGCCGCCCTTGGCGAGGCTGCTCCTGGAACCAGCATCGGTGTAGACGCTCTCGTGGCTTGGCCGGGGATGCACAGACACCGAGCCTGGGCTCAGGATGTGCCTGGTGACTCCCAGCCTCGATTCGTTCAGGAACGCTTGCTTGGCGTGTCGCGCCGCTGGTTCTGGCCCATCGTGCCTCGGCGCGACACGCTGACCACGCCACCTCTACCACTTCCAAGCGTCACCTGTCCAAGCCGTTCCCCGCCTCCCGCCGCACGGAGCGGAGCGACATGCTATCCACCTGCGCGGCATGGTGTGTCACTGCGGCCGCCGCCGCCCCACGCCAAGCACGTTTTGAGCAGTAGCTCTCAGCGGTCCTCACGGATTTCTGGGGTCAGCGTTGGGCCCTTTCTTGGGGCGGCGTTTTCAGCGCCGTCCTTGGCGCGCTCCGCGCGCCAGGAGTGGGTCTAGCGCCGACCCTAAAGATCCGCGCGGCCTTTCGAAAGTTCAGTTTATGTCAGTTGTCGTTCTTATGATCGAGGAGCTTGGTGTTGGCCCCATGAGTCAGTAATTGCTGCATCATCGCTTCAGGTAGCATCCAGCCAGAATCCTGTGTCCCTCCCGCTGCCGCCGCCGCAGTCTCCCCCATCGCCCTTCTCCCGAATGGGCGTGGGCCCGCATGCCACGGCCGGCCACGACATGCTGGCGTTTAACATGGTTCCAGGGAGCGAGTGGTGCCGAGGGGAGGCTCCTCCTTCCTTTCCTCCCCTGGTTCATCCCTCTTGCGCGTGTGGGGGAGCGGGAGACAGTGAACGAGCGGGACGTGGATAAGGGCAGACGGAGGTGAGGGCGAGGATGAAAGTGGGGATTGATGAGAAGGGGCAGGAGAGGATAAGCTTGACGAGGTAGGCTGAAGCTGTCTTGTTAAAGTCGTTCTGCACAGACCAGGCTGACAAGGCTGTCTTGTTTAAATCCTGTGTGTGCCGAGCGGGCTCTCTTGCTAAACCATGGTTGCGCGGCCAGGCTGCCGTGTTACAGGCTTTCTGTTCAGACCAGGCTGTCTTGTTCATCTGTTTCGGTGCAGAAGCCAGGCTGTCTTATTCAAGTCCGCCTAGACCAGAATGTTAACATGACGTCCATCTGTACATGCCAGGCTGCTGTCTTAAAATCCTGATGTGGAGGCCAGGTTTGGTACGATGTAGTGTAAGCAATCAAGCCATGCTGCACATCTACATATCAAGAGCAGCTACTGACACATGTGAGAAGGTAATGCACAACGTGTTCAGCAATGTCGAGTGACGAGGACGATGTAGAGAGCAGCGCATCATCAAAATCTAATGCTGAGAGCGGCCGTCACGCTACATGGCTAGCGGACACTGGAAAACGGTTGGAATTTTGCAGAACAGTAATTAGTTCAAGTGCTTGTGCCTCTGACGTGCATGTGGATCATGGAAACGATGGTGCCACTACACGACTCTTTCGCATTGGATGGGCTGCCTTTCATCGCCTGTCGCGCACGTGTAAGGACCACGAGCAGGAAGTTGCCACTGCTCGCCGTTCTCGCACGAAGAGGTTTGCTACTGCTCGCGCGATTCACACGCACGTTGATCAAGAAACTGCTCGGCCTTGCCACACGGCCTTGCCCCACGCATGAGCGCATGAGCACCGCGAGGGGGTGATTGCGGCTGCGGTCTCTCTTTGCTCGCTCGCGCCCGCCAGCCAAGCATAGAACGGCGCCACGCGAATGGCCGAAGCAGGGGCTGCCGCGATCTGCAGGCCGCCAGCTTTTCTTCGAGCTGCACATAGTCTCCCAAGTCCGCCTGTTAGACGAACTCTCTCTTGTCGGGGCCGATGCGGCGGTGTGTGGAGATATGTTGCTGCTGATGCCTTTTCCTGTCTGGCATACTCCAGGAGAGTGGGGCCGGTGCCGCCGCACAAAGTGGGGAGCAGAGTATTGCTCCTCGACTACACTTAAGAGTGACCCTTCGCCGGAGTGACCTTTGGTGCGGGCCCTTGGGATCCCCCGATCGCCGACCATGATAAGGTAGCAGCAGCTTGCGCACCCAGGTTTGGCCACCCCGCGTCCCCCGTTAGCCGCGCACCAAAGGTCACTCTTACCCAGGGTCACTCTTGCGGGTAGCCGAGCTCCGGCCGTGCAAGGGCCTCCCAGCAACTCCCGGTGCTCCACTTGCAGGCTGGCGCAGTGCCTTGTTCCTCCGAGTACGCTTCAGCACGCTTGCCGGACGCTGGGCTGGATGAGGCTGTCGAGTGGCTCCCGCGCGCGCCAGCGGCGCCCACGCCTTGCGGCCAGAGCCGCATTCGGCTAAGCTTGGCGCCCACTGTGCCCCAAGATGGTGCATAGCCAGATTTACTATTGCATGTGGCTGCTGTGCACCCTTCTGCCACCGTTTGAAGAAGCAATAATCAAGCACTCGTGTTCTTGTCGACGCTAGCAGCCGCACCTCTGGTTCGGCCTGCGCGCGGCGCCTCGAGCCACAACGTGCAGACGAAGGAGCTGGCATCAACAGGGGGGGCGGAAGGTAAAAGTCCGGAGGCGGAGTGAGGCGAGCAGCAGGAGAGAAGGAGTGGCAGCGGCAGCGGCCGCGGCACCAGCGGCAGGAGGAGCCAAGGCCACCCGCTCGCTGCCCGCGGAGGAGGACGTGGCGGACGAGTTCGCCCAGGCGGAGTACGAGCGCCACTTGGCGCGGTGCCGGGGGAACCCGCTGGCCGCGAGCCAGCTGCGGCACGGCGGCGCCATGCTCGGAGCCGCGCGCCTAAGGGCACCGGCTGCGACGCGCCACGGCTCGGGCGGCGCTTGCCAGCAGCTTCGGCCGAGCGGGTGGTGGTGGCGGCGGCCGTGGCGGGCGGCAGCGGCGGCGGGCTGCGGGGCGGCGGCACCGTGATCGTAGCTGCGGGCTTGAGCGCGCGGGCCGCTGGTGCCTCCTGGGCCGCAGGGTGGAGCCGGTCTCGGGAGCTCCTGGGGCCCAGGAGGTGGTAGCGTCACGGCGTCAGAGGTGTTGGGTTGGTTTGGCACTCCTGTGGTTTGTCGCGGGGTTTTCCGTCGGGGGAGGGACTGACGGGGGCCAGTGGAGCGACGCAGAAAGATGGGTCCGTCTTCTCCGACACTCGCGCGCAAGCTGCCCGCGCAAGGTCGCGCGTAAGCACCCCTCGTATCCAATGTAGCGTGCCGCGCTGGCGGCCCGCGTAAGCTGTGGCGCACTGTCGCTACGTCATTTCACGTAAGACCCCTTTCTTCTCGTTGTTCGGTTGGGGGCGTCGTACCTGGAAGCCCCACTTAGCTGAGGCGCCCTGCCCCCAGAGTGGGCCCAGAGCATCCCAGAATGTGTCGAAATGGCTTGCACATTGCCAGATCAAGTCTCAGCGGTGACACGTCGCGTGTTTTTCGCGGGAGAGGGCCAGTCCCGCCCACAAGCAATTCTTCTGGTAACCCTTACTGAGCGCGTGGCCCTTATCATCTTGCCCGAGCCCTTGGCTGCAGACCTTCGGATCGTAACCCTTTGGTGAGAGCCCGAACGAAACGTTGTTTGCACAGCGTGGTTATACGTGCTGTCTTGTTTTTTTCGAGGTAGGGACCAGACTCCATTGGACAACACTTGTCGAAGGACGCAGTGTAATTAGTTGCCCAAGCCCTGAGTGGCAATGGGAGGGCGGAAAGTACAACATTGACGGAGTGTGCGAGCTCAGCAGGATGAGATTACACACCATGCCGACACACACACACACACCAGGTTTTGTTCGTGCGCTTGAAGTTGGTGGCCAACTTACAGACTATGATTTAGCGTTCACTTTTGGGCGATCTTGGTATCTGCTCCCACTCATGGGAAGCGTTCTGAACATGAATTGATCGTTCAGCATGCGGCCAGATAGAAGATGATGCGATTGCAGCGTGACGGAGCAGCGGCGACTGCCGTTTCCGCCGGGATGTGCACCACATGTTTCGTGCAAGGGTACAGTCCAATCATCATTCAATGGAATGCTGTCTCCGCGGTGTTGTGACTTGGTGGCATGGTGTACGAGAGCGGGTTGCGAAGCACCAAGGTCGAGCGCACGTTCGAAGAGGCCACCAGTGGTATTCGCTTTCGTGCATCTAGCTTCACATTGCTTGTCGCCTCGCTCGTCTCATAGCCAACAATATCTTGTTGAAGCACTGGCCTCTATCTATTCATTGCCGTGTCCTATCCTACAGTGTACTGCATTGCTCCTGGCGCATAGTTATCTGCTAAGTTTGTCTCACGAGCTTTCTCGCTCTGCTTTGTGGCAGCAGTCACGTACCATACACACACGTATCTGTAGACACCCTGATGCCATGAGGTTCAGCGGCAACGAGGTAGCGACAGCCGCTAGGAGAGATCACCGAAGGCATACGAGAAGCAGTGTCAAACCGACTGGGCTGCTCCAGCAAACATTTTCTCATTCTTACCAGGCCCAATCAGGGCTGAGGGAGGGACATGTTGGTGTATCGAGCATGCTGGAGTTCGACAAACGCGCCAACACGCACATGTTTTACGTGGCAGCGCGGCAGAGGCAGTCCGCACGCGTCCGGGCAACCCTATCCACACACACATACACATGTTTGGCGTCGCGGCTGCGCACGCAGCGACAGGGCGTCCAAAGTCGGAGGAGAGAACGCGCGCGCGCCACTAACGGCCGAGCCCTCAAGCCGCTCAGAGCGATCAGCGCCGTGGCCGCACGCATACACTTTCACACACAAACGCACACACACACACACGTTCACACACGCACACACACATGCACACACAGACACACACACACACACACACACACACACACACACACACACACACACACACACACACACACACACACACACACACACACACACGCACTACTTTTTGGCGTCGCGGCCCCGCGCGCAGCGACAGGGCGTAGAAAGGTGAAGTACGCGCGCACACACAAACACGCGCACACACAAGCACACACGCACATACACACATACACACGCAGATTTGCTTCGCTCGGTCCACTTTGCCTCGGTCCAACAAGGGCACGAACAACAGTTACCCAAGAGGCTAACGCCATCCCGCCGACTCCCGGAAGAAGAGATGTGCGGCTTCCGATTTCGCGTATGTTGTTTGACATTTCCCGTCGTGTTGTCTGCATGTAGTTGTTGCTCATTTGTTTTTCTGTTCCTCCGCGTCTTTCGCGCGGCCTCTCGGCGGTTTATTGGAGGCCGATGGACGGCCTCCCAGAGGTTGTTCAAGGCTCCAGGGTGCATGTTTTCGGGGCCTGCTTGGGAGCTTTTTGGCGGCCTCTCGGGGGCCTCTTGGGGGCATGTTAGGGTCGTGAGGGCCATCTTGTGGGGGGGGGGGGAGCGCCCAGGGTTCTGCGGGTTCCCCTGGACCTGTCCTGGGTCCCCATTGGGGCCCTCTTGAAAGCTCTTGGACGTGTTGGGGGCTTCTTGGTTGGGCCGTCTCTGCGCCCTCTTGCCTCTTGGGGGCCTCTTCGGCCGTCTTGGGCCAGTCTGGGGGGCCTCTCGCGCCGTATTGGGCTTGCAGACGCCGGCACAGGCGAGAACGCCAAAATGATTCAAACTCATACGGACAATCAGGGGGTTCTGCCTCTTGAGTCCCTCTTGGGGGTCTCCTTGGGCCCCTCTTTCGGTGTCTTGAGCCGTCTTGAGGCTACCTTGGGCATTCCTCATGCCTTTCTGACGAGTTGGAGCACTTCTGGAGCCATCTTGATGAATGTATCTTGGGCGCGGGGGGGGGATTTTCAAGCTCCAGAGGGCCCCGAGGGGTACGCGGGGAAGCCTGGCCATCCGCCCACCCACTTGTTTGTTCGGCAGCTGGGTGGTTTCCCTGTTTGGATTTAGTATGGGAAACTGACTTTCACAGGAACTGCGAGGCAGCACTTGATGCATAGCCGAGTCCATTGTAGTAATACGGGAACTATTGCAACGGTAGCCAGAGTGTACCCCAAGCAGTGCGTTTTTTTCATGCTCGATGATGAAAGCTGTGTGGGGGAAGCTATGAGGCGCAAGCTATGTGGTGGAAGCTTTGCGGTGACATGAATTTCTGTTCGCAGTGACTTGTCAAGTCCACTGATCGCGCAACCATCCCACCAACCTACCCACAAGTTGGTTTGCAAAACCCACGCGGCGGCGATTGCGATGAGTGCTTGGCGTTGGCTGGTGCATCTCTGCGGCCGCGCTAGCCCGCGCATGCTCGCGCGCGAATCGGCCAGCTAGTGTGGTGCAACCGACGCGGCCGCGGAGGCGCTGACCGCTGGGCACCTCCCAGCGGGCACTTCAGTTCGAGTCGGCGACTTGAGCAGGCGCGGTATCATGGCAAGGTCGACAACCGTATACACGATGATGCGATGCTCGCGACGACGATGACAACGACGATGGCAAGGCCGGTGACGGCGCCGATGCTGATCACGCTGGCGACGATGAAGGCGTCTTCGCGTCGGTGATGAAGGTCTTGAAAGAGTTCGACATGCGCGCGCGGCCGAGGCGCGAGAGTGGCCCGCATGGCTTGATTTGAGAAGGATCGCGCCCCGCCCCCACCCAGCACTCGCGCAAGGGCGTTCGAATGGCTTGGACATGCGGCGCGAGAGGCTCGTCTGGCAGATCTGAATGGCAACGTTGAAGACACATGGTTCTCTTAAGAAGTCGCAGGAGCGCGAGCGCAAACATATTTGAAAACCGGTTGCGGAGCCATGTTTTTTTTTCCTATGCTTTTCGGGACACTCGATTTTGACCCCCCTACGAAACCTGAGGTTTTCGAAGGATGTCCGCATGCGCGCGCGACGACGCGCGCGTGTGTTCTTCGCCCCATTTACTGCAAGCGGTTCTTGCGACAGCACACGCGCAAAAAGGGGTTCGAGCAATTCCGACATGCGCGCGCGACTGGCCGCTTGGTAGCATGCGATGCACATGCTTCTACGGCTTTTGTTCTGAAGATTCGGCAAGAGCGCGAGCGCAGGTTTTTCCGTGAAAATGGGTGTGGCGAGTGAATGTTTTTTTGCTATACATATACATATATGAGTGGAGAAAACGTTTTCGGGACACACGATGTTGAAATCCTTACGATGCTCCAGGTTGTTGAAGGACGTCCGCACGCGCGCGCGACAGCGCGCGCTTGTGTTTTGCGTTTTCTTGTGCAACGGATTATTGGGACAAAGAGTTCTTTATAATCGAGTGTGTGCATAACATTTTTTCCGAGGACGAGGGAGGAAATTCCGGCCTAGTTGGGATTATATGAATTCATAGTTTCGGGCTGGACGATGGGGCTGAATCGCATGTACACTGCAATCTGGAAAAAAGGGCTACCGTTAATTCCAGGGGGGTCGATCCTGTTATTTCTACAAAGAAGAATCTACGAAGTACAACCAACCTATCTGGTGTGCGCTAGAATGCTGGAGAATAGGCGCTGCGATTTATGTGGCGCGATTTATGTTTGGATTGTCTGCGTGGTGGAACTTATGTGATGCAAGAGACGTGGTTTGAGCAACGTGCTGCAATCGATGTCGACCATTTTATGTGGTGACACGTATGTGGTGCAATGTATGTTGAGTTTTCGCGCGTGCCCACCTTTCGTTGTCGTGAAGATATCCCACCCACCCGCCCGCAAACTGGTTTGCAAAACGCCTGCGGCGGCAATTGCGGTGGCTGCTTAGCGCTAGCTGTGCATTGTTGCGGCCGTGCTAGCGCGTGCGGGCTCGCACGCAAGGCGGCCAGCCAGTCTGGCGCGACTGACGCGGCCGCGGTGGTGCTGACCGCTGGGAATTTCCCAGCGCGTCTCGCAGGCCGCGCTGACGCGCGGGCACTTCAGTCTTCAATGCGAGTTGGTGATTCGGGCGGGCGCGGTATCATGATGCCGTCGGCAAAGGCAGGCGCGATGATGAGAATAAAGATGTTGATGTCGATGCTCACGATGTCGTCGGCAAGGCCAACGGCGGTGCTGATGTTGACCACGACGGTGATGATGACGACGACGACGACGACGACGACGACGACGACGACGACGACGATGATGATGATGATGATGATGATGATGATGATGATGATGGTGATGATGATGATGATAGTGATGGCGATGATGCTGACACCCACGTGCTTGGACTGATTCCCACATGCGCGCGCGGTCAACCCGCGCGAGTGGCCAACATGATATTTCATGAAAGGGGTCGCGCCCCCCCCAATCAAGCACGCAAAGACGTTCGAATGATCTCGATATGGGCGCGCGAGAGGCCCATTTGGTCGCATGTGATGATCATGTTTAAAAGTTATGTTTCCTGAGATGTCGCAGGAGAGCTCGCGCAGGTGTCGTGTTTATATATGTATATATATATACATGTACATAAACACGCTGCACCACCATGGGTTGTTATGTGTATGCGGGAACCCCGGCGTGTAACCCACGACACGTAAGGTTATTGAAGGACTCCCGCATGCGCGCGTGACAACGCGCGCGTGTCGATGTTGGTGTTTGTTTAACGGGTTGTTGGTAATGTGTGAGTTTTGATAAACGAATGTGCCCGCATAGTACCCAGGCGTAACAAAGAACCATAACCACAGCTAGATGTTTTTTTGTTGCGAGGGGAGCGGAGGGAAAAAACACCGATGCCGACCTGAGCACTTCGGTTGTGGTTGTGGTCGAATTGGCCGTCCTGGGGCGCCACATCGACCACAACCAGTACGAAGTTGGTTTCGGTATCCCGGAATTTGTTTGGCATGCGCAAAACCTCCCCCAACTTGTGTCCTTGATGTGATTGTGGCCGCCTTCTGTCCCAGCATCGTGTTGTCTCTCAGGGATGAAACGGGGGGTAAAACAACACTCCTTGGGAATCTACGATGCAATATCTGATATTCACGAAGGGGCAGTACCATATGTATATTGACTTCTTCCAGGGGGGTGCCAATAATGCCAGGAGGGGGGATGCCTTTAATATTATGTTTACGAGAGAAAAGGTATGGTGCAAAATCTGTGATTCGATGTATGCGGTGTTAGCTACGTAGCCCAATCGATCGTAAGCAACGCAAAGCCATGCAACGCAAAACGCGGAATAGAAACGCACCGCAATGCGAAACCATGCAAGCCCAGATGGCGAGGCGGCGAGGATGCGACGGGGCGGCGACGGCGACACCATAATCACCAGACCGACGCCCAGGCCCAGACGACGGGCGGCGACGAGTCGGCGACGCGACGGCGACGGCGACAAAATAGCCGCCAGACCCACGCCCAGGCTCAGACGACGGGCGGCGACTTGATGGCGACGGGGCGGCGACCGCGACAACATAGCCGCCAGACCGACGGCTAGTCCCAGAGTCTTACTCCATGAGGAAAAAGCCCCAAGTGCAAACGCAATTTGGGACACCGATGCTCCTTCGGGAGTGCGCTTCGCGCGCGCAAGGCGCCCGCGCCGATGCATCCCGCAATTCCCAGCCGTGGCCCGAGGGCGCCGCCGCACGCGCGCGTCTGAGTCTCGCGCCCACGGGGGGCGGGGGGGGCGCGCTCCTCCTGGGCCCCGGTGCCTGAGGCCGCGGGCCCGCTGCCACTGGGTACCAGGCGTTTGGTGGCTCCGCGGCCCGAGGCTGAGGGGCCCCCTTGCCCGCGGCCCTGGGCCTGGGGCGCGCCAGGCCCTGAGATGAACTGCTGCAAGCCTCCGGGCGTGCGCCTGGCGCGCGCACAACGCCCACCCCAAGGCGTCACGTAATTCCACCAGCCCTTTGGGCGACAGGTGGTCTAAGGTGATCTTTTTTTTTCCCCGCCGCAACCCCTCTTCCCTTCGGGAAGGGGAAACCTCCCCCTCCCCTCCCTCAGGGGTTTTTTTGGTTGGAGGGATTTTTGTTGGTACACGGGCGCGCGAAGACGAGTCGAACGCCGTGCAAGTTAGGGCGGGCCACGCCGAAGCAAAGGGGAAAACAGCGAAGCGAGCGGCGCCCGGCTCAGGGCGGAAAAGGGCTCAACGCGGCCAAAATGGCGCGGGAGGCATCACAAGGCAGCATCAGAGTCACGTCAATCAAACTTGCGGAATTTTGGGAGGGATGCACGAAGCGTCGCGTAATTCCCAGGCCCTGGTCCGCTGGCGCCACCGCGTGCGTACCGCTGGGGTGTGCGCGCCCAGGCGGGGGCGCCTCTTCTGGGCCCGCAGCCGCGGGCCCGCGGGCAGTGGGCGCCAGGCGTTCGTGGCGCCGCGGCCTGGGCCCCCTGCCCGCCGGGCCAAGGCCGGGGGCACCCAGCCGATCGCGGGAAACCTTCAGGAGGGCGTTTTGCGCGCCAGAAGCGTGCCCGCCTGAATGCATCCCGCATTTCCGAGCGCCTTGGGCTCCAGGTCAGGGGAGGAAAATCCACCCGGAGCCGATAATTGGCGTTGTCTAAGCGGCCCCGGGCGTTTACCCAGCAGCCCTGCCTTGCTCGATCCCTCCTGTGGGTGCGTTTACTAAACGGCTTCGCGTGTCGGGGTGATTATTCAGGGTGTGGGTTTTTCTGCCCTCTACTAGGCCCGAGCCGCCAGCGACGTGTATTGCTTCGATGCAGGAAAAGGTGTGCCTTTCGCGCATTCGAGCCGCAGTTGTGAAGAAACCCTACATGTCCACAGAGCCCCGGACGTAGCGGCCCAGGTTCAGGGCTTGGCTCTCTGCGAGTCCTTCACAACATGCGGTTGGAGTGCGCGCAAGACACATCTAAAGGCTTCCTACAGTAAAGCGATGCGTGGAACCGCCAGAAGACCCATAACTCAGACGAGGGAAAGGTACCCATACCTCTACCCTTCCACCGTATTCCCCCTATTAGGGCCTCCTGGGAGGCCCTCGTCGCCACCGCTGGATTCGCCTCGACATCCTGATCAGGACGCACTCCGGGAGAGGTCCAGGGAGTAGCAGTATCGGTACTTGTTGGTTCCACCCAAAACAGCCCTTTCTCCGAAACTGCATGTCGAACCCAAGGGGAGGGGATAAGGGAGAGGGGCAAGACTCCCTCCCTCCCCGCCCGCAAGCCGTCTCGCTCACTCCCACCCGCCCTCCCAACACATACGCAGCACCCGAGCCTGGCCCGAGCCGCAGCATATTCAGCAGTCGTCTTTGGATGGGCAGCTACTGGGGGCCAATTCGCCGCAGCCGCCGCCGCCTCCGCCGCCGCCGCCGACCGCCGCCGCCGCCGCCGCCGCTGTCCGCCGCCGCCGCCGCCACAGCGCCGCCCGCCGCCGCCGCCGCCGCCGCCGCCGCCCCCGCTGCCGCCGCAGGCGCTGCCCCCGCCGCAGCCGCCGCCGCCGCCGCCGCCGCCAAGTGGATTCTGCATTGTTTTGTTGACAGGGATGGTAGGGGGAGGCCGTATCGGGCTCGCTGCGCATGCGCCGAATTTGGAGGCAAAGTGTGTTTTGTATCGTTTTTTGCAAGGGATGGTGGGGGGGCCCTCATTGGCTCGGGTTGGCTCCCAGTCGCCTGGGGGAGGGGGTGTATATTAATAGGGGACAGTGATTGACATCCAGACAACTCCACCCAGACAGCTCACGCACCTTGCTCACCCGCGGCAAGCAGAGGTCGGCGGATTTCTGGACACTTCTATGTTTTGTTGCGGGTTCGATGTGTGCCGTACCCCATCACAGGTTGGGTGACAATCGGGTCAACGGAACCATTGAGGAATTAGAGTGCTGTTTTGTTCAGCCAGGTGCTTGTTTCACGTTATACCGCCCTAGCCCTCTTTCGCATTTTTCCCCCATCCCTCTGTCCCTCCATGTCCTTCTGCCGTCACCCCTACCAGGGATGGGCTGAAGTGTAAGCGTTCGGCAGGAGGAATATTCATAAGACGATGGGCGAGCGAAAGCCAGCCATCGACGCGCCCAAGCCCGGCCCACTACGCAAACAAGGGCGTTTGTTCGGCATGGATGAGATACATGGCTTCGTTTGAACGTGAATTTGTCTTGCTTGCGTGTGGACCCCAGGCTGCGAAACTCATAGAGTGCCAGATGGGGTCCCGCACGAGAGCCAGACCGAGCAAGGGGATTGTAGCCACCGTATCAGCAATTGATCAGGGGCCGAGAAGCGACAACTGCGACATCTGTGTCCGCTGAGTAACAGGTTGAGGATGAGGGCGAGGAGAAGGAGTGGGACGAACGGGGACGAGGGAATGTAACAGGATGAGGAGAACTTCGGAGGAGGACCGCCTCCTGTCTTTGCACGGCGCGTAGGCGTTTGCTACCCACTTTCCATTTGCCTTACCAGTTTCCGCACCGCTAAATATGGCATGTTGGTTTGCACTTCGCTCATTTCACTGCACGTTGTCTCTCAAATCAGGTCCGCCACCAGTTGTCTGGCCAGCGGCCAGCGCGACGACTCCCCACCCTGGTGCACCCCGCCTAGCGCAGGCGACAGGAGCATCGAAACCCTACGTCGATGGGGGTAGGGCCCGCTCCGACTCGTCGGCTGGGATGTCGACCCTTGGCCGCGTCTAGCCGTGCTCTAGCCGTACATAGTAGCCCACTGGCAGGTCCGATGGGCACTCGTTGTCGTGATGTCCCCCGCTTTCCAGGCCTCTCGGTCGATGGGCTTCGACCGCACAACCCTGCGGATACCCGACGTCTACGGGCCTTTCGACGACCAGGGGGCCTTCTGGGACCTGGTGGTGGCGGTGCAGGAGAGGGGGGAAGGTGGGGGGGGGTGAGGGGTGCGAGAGTGTTCTACCAGGCAGGTTGTGCTCGGATGACCAACTCTACATCACTTCTTTTGGAGGGAGGGGGCCAGAGGAGGGAGAAGGTTCTCGGGGACTCGGCGGTCCTAGTGTCCCTCTTGGTCCTCATAAATTGATTCCTCCCCTGTTCCTCGTCCTCGTTCTGTCCTTTTCCCCCTCCTCTTCTTATTCCTCCTCCTCCGCCTCCTCCACCTCCCCCTCCCCTCCCGGTCCTCGCTCTGACCCTGGCCTCGGCCTTTGCCTTCGCCCCTTCTGCGCGGCAGGGAGACCTGCCTTCAGGCCCTCCTCATCCTTCTCCCCTCCTGCCCACCGCGTCCAGGTCCCCCGCCCACCAAGGACTGCTCCGAGGGCGGCTGCTCTGCAGCCGGGACGCTGAGGTGGGGGCCACTCTGAGCTTCAGAAGGGGCTCTGGTGGTCGGGCCGCTCCTTGGATCTGGGTCGAGGTGCCTCGTCGTCGGCCGAGGCTCGCCGTGGCCAGAAGAGCCCCCCTTCGATCCTTGCTGTCAAGGCCTTACGGCCAGCGACAGCGACCCTGGAGGGGGACGACGACGACACCAGCGGCGGCGGCGACGACCACGACGGCGCGGACGCGGGCCAGAGTCCTCAGGAATGCTTCCCGGGGTCTCTTCGGACGGGCTCTCGGGAGCCTCTGGTCGGACGCGGCTAGGACGAGTCCACTCCAGAGCGTTCCGGAACGCTTTGAGATGGCCGCGGCGCCCGAGACATCCTCCAGAGCCGCCAGATCTCAGAGATTCTCCCCGTCCTCACCCGAGCTTGTCCTCGTCCTGGCTTCGTCTTGCTCTGGGGAGGAGGCCGCCGCTCGCCGTGGCCAGAGAAAAAGCCCCTTTCGCTCCTTCTTCGGCGCGCCTCGTGGCAGGACGCACGCGGACTGGAAGACCTGGCCTCTGGAACCACGGGCTGCGCTCCTCCTCCTCCTCCTCATTCTTCTCCTCCTCCTCCTCCTTCTCCTCCTCATTCTCCTCCTCCTCCTCCTCCGCCTCCTGCCCCTTCTCCTCCTCCTCTCTCATCCTCCTCCTCCTCCTCCTCCGCCTCTCTCCTCCTCCCTCCTCCTCCTCCTCCTCCTCCCTCCTCCTCCTCCTCCTCCTCCTCCTCCTCCTCCTCCTCCTCCTCCTCTCCTCCTCCTCCTCCTCCTCCTCCTCCTCCTCCTCCTCCTCCTCCTCCTCCTCCTCCTCCTCTCTCCTCCTCCCTCCCCGCACCTCGCCGAAGCTCTCGCTCTCGCTGTCTTCTCCCAGGGGCGGCCGCGGCCCTGCGGCGGTTCCGCGCCGTCGGCGCCGAGCCCCGCGCGGGGCAGCCGCTCAGGGCCTTGCACGCCGGTTGTTGAAAGCGGGCATTTTTGGATTCCCGGATCCCAGCCCTATTTCTAGGCGCCGTCCTACTTCGATCATCGGCGTGCTTTTGCTGCGTTCTGTCATTCTCTGAGTGGGCCTGAGCCCAAACTATGTGATCCGCATCCCTGCTTCGTCTGATTACCTACTTCTTCCGACCGACGTGTCGCTGCCCCCATACGCAACACGCAGCACGTAGCGTACCGATACGGAGCTCAGCACGTAGACTGAAAACGTAGGTATGACGTGATACGTCCGCCAAAACATGGGCCAACGCGCTGGGCCAACACGCAACGTATTGACGCAACGTTTTGAGCACGGCACGTGTGGCGTATCAAAACGGGCGCACCGAGGCAGCTAATCTCAGGGCAGCAATGCCCGCCCAGGGCAGGCCCCGCCCAGTGCAGCCCAGGTGCAAGGCTCGACCAAGACAGTGTTTTTCGTTCTCGCTATGTTTTTTCGTTTGCCCTCGTGTTGTCTTCTTTCCGGGATTCTTTCCGCCGTCGCTGCAAGACGAAGTCAAGACGACAACGGTCCACGAGATCGCCAAAACACCGTTCAGTCGGCGTCACCCCAACATACTGATACTATGTGTACGTCGCCCCCCCAGGGGCGACGCGCGCACCGAGAAATCTTATAGTATATGCGTCGTGGCGGGCGCTTTCTGGCCACACCGCTCGGGAAACGATCTACTACAAGACGGGCATGCTATATGTTCGGGTCGGACGTGCGCCTCCAAGGAGAACATATAGGACTAGTATGTCTTTGTACGTCCCGTTCAGGTCGAGCCCTGCCCAGATGGAGAGCCCCCCCCCCCGCGGGCCCGCCCTCCTCACCGTCCGAAGCCGCCGCCGCTGCCCGTGCCTGCGCTCGAGCTCGCCTGCCCGAGTCGGTCGCTCGCCGCCGCTCGCCGCCGCTGGCAGGCCGCGGCCGCGGCCGTGATCATCGCTGTCGCCGTCCGTCGTTCGTGCTCGCGCTCCTCCTCGCTGGTCGTCGGAGGAGGAAGAGGTACCCATACGCTACCCTTCCCTCGTTTTTCTTCTTTTTGGGCCCCCTGGGAGGCCCTCGTCGCCACCGTTGGATTCGCCTCGAGTCAGAACGCACCCCTGGAGAGGTCCGGGGAATAGCGGTATCGGTATCTTTTGGTTTCCCCAGTTCGTGCTCGCGCTTCTCCTCGCTGGTCGTCGCTGGTCGTTGCCAGTCGCTTGTCGTCGTTAGCCGTCGCCGCCGCCGCCCGCTGCCGGTGCGCCGCCGCCGACTTGCAGCACAGCACTCCAGCGCGACGCCGCCGCGCAGGAGGGACGCCCAGTCCCAGCGCTGCTGCCCGCCGGGCGTGTTCGTGCGGCCGCACGCTGCCGGCCCCAAGAGCACCGGCGCCCCGCCGTCATCGTCGCCGTTGTTGGCCGTCGCCGCTGCCGTTGTCGTCGTCGGTCGCAGCCGTCATCGACGTCGTCGCCGTCGTCTTATCCTCCTCGTTGTCGTCGCCGCCATCGTCGTCGGATGTCGTCGTCGGTCACAGCCGTCATGGACGTCGTCGCCGTCGTCGCATCCTCGTCGTCGTCGTCGTCCGTGGGGGACAAGGGAGGAGGGTTGGTGAAGAGGAGGAGGAGGACGGGGCAGAGTGGGATTGAGGAAGGGGGGAGGGGAATGAATTTCTTCCGGCGACCTGAGATGTGTTGCATTCTCGATTCAAATGTGTGATTCGCGAACTTCAAGCCCGAGGCGGCCGAGGCGCAATTATTGAGTGTCCAATACCACGGTTTCTAAGTTCCACCGCTGCGGGCGCGAGGCACGAAATTTAAATCCGATGTGCCCTTGTTTTTTGTCCCCTAATCATATTCCCAATGTTATCAAGCATTGAACCCAAGCAGTGGTGTTCTGGCAATCTACGCTGGGCAATCTCGGTGGTGCAATCTACGTTGTGCAATGTATGATGAGGTGCAGTTTATGTTGTGCAAGATATGTTGTGCAGTCTGCGTAGAGTAAACTATGTTGTGCAACCGATGTGGTGCATTTTCAATGTTGCAAGCAATGTCGTGCAGCAGTATACGGTGGCAATATATGTAGTGCAATGTATGTGGTGCGATCTGCGTGTTGCCATCTATGGCGCGCAATCTGTGTTGTGCAATCAATGTGTTGTTAAAGTTTGTGTGTATTATAGATTGTGCACTATTGGCTGTGTGCAATATGTGTTGCGTGCACTGTTTTTGTTGTGCAGTCGATGTGGTGCTACCGATGTCTATAGGACGTAGAATGTTGGGCAGTGCTTGTGAATCCATATATGTAGTACAATCTAGCTCGTGCAATTTTTGGCTGTGCCATATAGGTGGTACACAATATATGTGGTGCAACCTACGTGGTACAATGTGTGCCAAGTTATACGGGAAGCGCCATATGCTGATACACCTATGTGAAGCAATGTAGGTGGTGCAATATATGCAGTGCAATCTATGTTGTACCATCCAACGCAGAGCAATACAATGCAATGAAATGCAAAGCGCGGCGGCGACGAGGCGGCGACCGGCGACGGCGCTGGCCTAGAGGATGGGCGGCGACAAGGCGGCGACGAAGTGGCAACGGCGGCCGCATAGCCGCCAGACCGACGCACAGGCCACGTTCCTTATTCCAGGAGTAAGAACCGTTGAGTGCAATCACTGTTTGGGGCGTTTGAAATCCAAAAACAACTCCAATTCAAAGTGGGACACTTGTTTCTGCACTTCATCACGCGGTCAAGGCTCCAAAGCTTTCTGGGCGTTTCTTGGTTGATCGAGGCGCTTCTTCGAGGAGAGGGGCAGGAGAAGCGGGAGAGAGGCGAGGAGGAGTTGGACCACGACGGAGACGACGATCTGTTGCTCCTGCGCGACCGGCGCGGGCGGCAGCCCGGCGCTGGGCCCCGCAGGCGCGGGCTCCACGGCCGGCTGCCCGGCCCCCCCCCTCCCGCGCCGGCGGTCGCGCCCGAGGGCGCGCAGCCCGAGGCCCGAGGCCGAGGGGGCGCCCGCGGGACGGCCCAGGCCGCCAGGCCGCCCTCCGGACCCCGAAGGCCGAGTCGCGCGTCGGGCGCGCGCCGACGACGCGACGAGTCCGCGGGTCGGGGCTGCAGGGCGAGGATGCATACGTTCCAGAGCGTTCCGGAAAGCTCTCAGAGCGTTCTGGAGCGTTCTGGGAAGGCCGCGGCGCCCGCGACATCCTCCAGAGCCGCCAGATCTCAGAGATTCTCAATCCCTCCGTACCAGATGCGATTCTCGTCCTGGCTTCGTCTTCTATAGTCCGAGCCGGGGTCCGAGGAGCGAGGCGGCCCCTGCTTCCAGGCGAGGAGGGAGGGGAGGCAGAGCGGTCTCACCTCGAGCGGGGCCACGGCGGGGGCGCCCGACAGTAAGTTCACGATGCAGCGCGCAGGGCTCGATCCCCGTTCTTTCCAGCACCGCAGCTTTGAGGCCATTTTTCTTCAGACCCGGGCAGGGCAAGTTTACTTGCATGGAGGGGGAGGGCGGGCGGGCTGGAGTGAAGACTGGACATCACGCAAGTCTGGACTCACTTGCACGTCTTTTCGGGCCAGCGCTGTCAGAGAAGGCGACGGAGGGAGGGCGAGGAGGTCTATGGGGGGCATGCCATCAGGTGATCTTGCCTGAGTCTAGCGTTTCTCTCGTACCTCCTCCGCCGGCCGCGTGGCAGGTGCAGCTGGGCCTTTGCCCTCGACGTGCGCGACGCCGTGTTGGCCACTCTGCGGCAGCGCAGCAAGGCGAGGGCCCCGCGCGCACGCCCGATGTCTCTGTGCTCGCTCTCCAGCGTGCGCCTTGGGGCGCAGGGGGATGATCCGCGGCGCCGGTGCGGCGCGGCCGTGCTCGCCATGAGAGGCACCAGATCTCCGACAGTTTGTGTGGTTTCAATCCCCTTTTCTTCCCCTCCCCCCCCGTGGCCGCCCGCTCTGCCCTCTTTCCACTCTTGCATGCTGGCCACTTCGCTTTTCGTTGCCACCGTCTAGCTCTATCGCTGGTGCAGCCAACCCTGCCTCGCCGCCGACGGAAAAAGTGTTTTCAGTCCAGGCATATGTCCCCGCTAGTTTTGTAGGCCGGACCATCAGGCATGGATCTGGGATGAAAAACTGCTCCGAGGGGGGGGGGGTCGGAAGCTCTGGGGCTGCTGATTGGGCACGTCAGATTCTTGGCATCGCTCGGATGTGTGTATTTTTTCACGGCGAAAACCCTCGAGGAGCATCCTGGCTCATCTTGCCAAAAGAAGCGCGCGCGAAGCCGGAACACTCACAGGGAATGGGCGTCCGAGCGATGGCGAGTATCGGAGGATGTCTGGGTCTGGGTCCCGCGGGGGGTCGGTCCTGGAAGTGTTGGGCAGATCTCGGGCTCTGGGAGCCGGTCCGAGGCCCCGCAGCCGTCAAGCGACGTTTCAGGTTGGTAAGCTGGTTTCAGGGGGAAGGCCCCCGTGGGTCCAAGACCTTAGCTGCCTATATTCGCCCGTTCTGATACGCAGCACGTGCCGTGTTAAACCGTCCGTGTCGATACGTTGCTTGTTGGCTCAACGTGTTGGCCCACGTTTTGGCGAGCGTGCCGCGTAAGACCTACGTCTTCAGTCTACGTGTTGGTCTCCGTATCAATACGCTACGTGTGGCGTGCTGCATACCGGGGCAGCTAAATCCGGGACGTATTTCCCTCAGAACCCCTCTGCTTGTTTCCGCACACGCTTGCACAACGTGTTTGCAGTCACCCGTGCTGCTCTGCTGCTGCTGGTTGTTCCTTGCGTTGGGTTATTCCTGATCCTCCGTATCCTCCATCAGCTCTGGGCACGCTCCTCCTCCTCCTCCTCCTCCTCCATCATCATCATCATCATCATCATCACCATCATCATCATCATCATCATCATCATCATCATCGGGGTAGCGGCAGTACAAATGCAGCACAGGTCACAGCACAACACTATGATGTTGCCTCGAGCGATCCCCAATCGAGATCGGGAGGCGGGGCAAAAAGGGAGCACAGGTAGACTTAGGGTTAAGTCGGGCATGTACCTCTACAGGAGGTATATCCAAAAATAGCAATAAAATACCTTTGGGACGATTTTTCTATTTTTGACTATGTTTGAATACTTTTTGGAGGAGGACATGCCCGACCTAAACTCAGGGCTTGGAGGCCGCGGTAAGGCGGTCGTCGGTCGTCGAGGAGGCACGAGGCGGGCTACCCAGGCGGGGGAGCACTGGCACGCTCTGGGCCTGGCGGCTGCGGTGATGCAGTCGTCAGTCGTCGAAGGCGCGAGGCGGGACACCCGTGGAGCACCAGCACACTCTGGGCCTGGCGGCCGCGGTATGCTTCGAAGGGGAAAACGGTACCCATACGGCTACCCTTCCTTTGTTTTTCGCCTTTTTCGGCATCCTGGGAGGTCTTCGTCGTCACCATTGGATTCGCTTCGAAATTCTGGTCAGAACGCACCCAGGGCGAGGTCCAGGGAGTAGCGGTATGCGTACCTTTTGGTCTCCCAAATGTTGGGGTTGCGAGGTGAGCCAGGAGCTATTTTCTTTCATTCTAGCAGCCCCAACCTGTCCCGTCGGGAATGACTGTCAGCGTGACCCCAAACAGAGGGTGATTGCACCCTCGATATGCAGACATCGTTGTGCTATATTCTCAACACGGAGGTTTACACATGAGTACAAACATATGTACACATCTATGGGGCATTTGATGCAACACAGGACCTGCAACTCATGGGGCGCAGCCAATCTAACGTAGTACATGGCCCGCAGGCAATAGAGTGCAACTACTGGGGTGCATCCACAGGACATCAACCACAGAGCACCACCCATTTAGCACAAACGGGAAAACGATAATTGACAGCAACTAGCGCATTATAGGGCTCCAGCCAGAGAGCATCACCCGTACGAAGGCAATCTATATCTATACCTATAGATATATATATATATATATATATATATACAGAGAGAGAGAGAGAGAGAGAGAGAGAAAGAGAACAAACAACAAAGAAAGCATGTTTCTTGAGGCTCCAGTGGGCACAGTCCAGAGAGCACCACCCATAGAGCACTAAGGCACCAAAGAGTAACGCCAACCAACAAGCACCACCCATAGGATACCAAGGCAAGATAATCATGCTGCAACTATGAAGTCATCAGCCCGCTCCGGCCATGAAACACCGCCCGTGGAGCACCTATGCAACAGCGGCGGAGCACCATCTATAGGGCGCCATGGCAAAAATGAGAAGTTGCAAACATGAAGGCGTTACAGGGCATCGGCCGTCGAGCACCACCCATCGGGCACTAAGTCATGAACCAGACATCGCTTGCCATTGAGCACCACCCACATGACACCAACGCAAGAAAGAAAGCGCGCAACCATTACGGCATCACTTCGCACCAGGCCTCGACCACCACCCAGGGAGCTCCAATGCAACAATTGATAACCATCACCAGCGTGGCATCATAGGGCGCCAGCCATTCAGCACCACCCGCAGGGCACCGTTGCGCTAACATGAAGGCGTTCCAGGGCATCGGCCGTAGAGCACCATCCATAGAGCACCAACAACGACCACCCCCCAGAGAGCACCAATGCAACAATTAATAAGCAACGCCAGCGTGGCATCATGGGGCGCCAGCCATTCAGCACCATCCATTGCAATAACGAGAACTTGCTAGCATGAAGACGTCGGGCATCGGTTTTAGAGCACCACCCGTAGGGCACCATGGCCAGCATGAGAAATTGCAACCAGTGAGGTGCACTTGAGCTAGGAGATGTAAGCCCTCTCATTCGTGTAGCCATCCCACCCGCCAATCCGCATGCTGGCAATGCGCAAGTGGCCGTGAGCGTAGTTACCTGCCAGAACGTGCTTGCTAACCCCAGCAGTCGCAATGACGCGTGGAATTTCCGAACGCAGATCCATGATTCGGGCGGGCGGTCCACAAGTAATAGTTAGCAGTGCCAGGGGACGCCTGCAATAATTTCAGGAATTGCAAGGCGCCTTTGGTGTTCTGGTGATTGTGGATCCTGTGCTCATGTGGGAAAACCTGGCAATTCTCGTTGGAGCCCAGATCTAGAGATTCTGCTGTCAGTGCATGCTATCGCCCTGCGAGCGTGTGGTCTCCATGGTATCGGCGGACAGGTGTTCGCGGGCCAGTTGTATCCCATGATTCCAATAGTTGCTGAATGTGTTTGAGTGGTTCCGGCAAGCGCACGCGGGGGGGCGCCCGCGCGCGCGACCCGCACACTTTGTCGGGGCAGGGATGACCGCACACCAAGAGTCTTACAGCGTCTTCAGCAAGTGCACGCGCAGAGCATCGTTCAGTTTCCCCAGGCTGTGTCAGCACTCATGGCTTGTACCCTGTTCCTGAGCAGTGCCTGCACTTGGGCGCCTGCATGGCTTGGCAAATACTCGGGTGGGGATGCCAGGGCTTCGCCCGGTGGGCGCCCCGTGGATTTGCCGAGGGCTCGCCCAGTGGGCGCCGCGGGGGCGCCGCGGGGCCCTGCCGAGGCCACGAGGCGCCCACGGCCGCGCGGGGCGCCCACGGCCGCCCGCCAGGCGAGCCCTCGGCAGGCCCGGCCGGCGCACGGGGCGCCCACGAGGCGCTGACGGCCGCCCACCCCGCGGCGAGCAGCCGGGCACGCGCGGCGAGCAGCCTGGAGAGCGGGGGGCGTGCCGCAGGCTGGCCCGCGCAGAGGGAGTCTGCGCGGGACGCTGCCCATGTCGTGCAGCGTTCGGCCTGCAACCGATGCGGTGTCACAGCTGTAGGTGCAAGCTGCGTGGTGTCATCCATGTGCGCATCACGGGATGCGATCCAGCGCACGATGCGCCCACGGACCCCCTGCGGCCGACAGCTCAGCAGGCTCAGCCGGAGCTCGGAACGCCCACGAAGCGCCCAACGGGCCCAAACCAGGCAGGCCCAGCCAGCATGCTAAGGAGCAGGGTAAGGATCCCTCGGTGCCAGCACTTCGTGGGGAACAGCGCAGTTCATCGACAACAATGTAGCATCGCGGTTGGGTCCAGAGGGCAGTCGGCCAGGTGCGCGGCGCCACGCTACACGTGGCCCACGAGGAAGCCGCGACGCTGGCGGAGCTCGCGGGCGCGGTCGCGGAGGCGCTGGGGCTGCCGGCTCACCAGGCCGCGGGGGGTCAGCACAGATCGCCCAGCGACCGTCGGGACCTCGCCCCCCAAAAAGTTGGGCGCAGCTCAAAATGCATTTGACAGGATGTGTCCCCAGGAGAGGTCTAAAAGCCGCTCTTCAGCGAGTGTTAGGGGATCGGAATGCTGATCGGTGGCCCTGGGGGAATGAGCTCTCGGGGTACACCATGCGGACCCTGCCGCAGGGGTCTTCCGTGGGGTTCCACAGGGGCACGACACGTGTAAAGGTTTTTATCGGAGTGGTTGACATGCTGAAGGCAGAGGCATGATGAGTCCCTTCAGAATGGTGACCCAATTCAAAGCAGGATGGAAACGAGCCAGGTCTGACAACCAACGAAAAAAGACGATTCGGAGTCTGGGTCTGTTAGCTGCGGAGTTTACAGACATACGGTCAGGAACTTTGGCTTAGGAAGGTCGCTCCGCCACTTCTGGCCCACCACGCATCGGCGCGACACGCCAGCTCAGTCCCCCATTCCCGAGCGTCAACGTCCCGAGCCTTCCCAGCCTCCTGCCCCACGGAACGGAGCGACACGCCATCCGTTTGCAGGGCATGGCATGTCGCCGGGGGCCGCCACCGCGACAAGCCAAGCACGAATTCCTTACCATACCGCACCCAGGTGGCCTTCGACCACAGCCGGGAAGCCTCCCTGCCGTCCACTGATTTCGGGCCGCTGAACACCGCGCGCGCTCGCGGGCTTCTCGCCCCCTGGAGGCCTACGCCGCTGCGGGAGGCCGTGCGGCAGGCCGTCGGCTGGTGGCCCCGGGCCGCGGCCGCCGCCGGCCGTCGCGACCGCCGCCGTCTGGCCGTGGCCCTCCGCCGCCGGCAGCGGCAGCTCCGCCGTCGCCGACAAACCTCTGGCGAGGGCGGCGCCCTCGCCGAGGGCTCCGCATCGGGCCGATGGCGACGGCCGCCGCTGGCGATGGCGGCGCCCCAGGTTCTTGAGTTCGCAAAGAGGGCAAGCATGAGTAAACACATTACCGCCAAGAGTGTATGATTCGTGCGCGAGCAGATAAGCAGAAATACAGCGCACGACACATAAATGCACGCAAGTGTCATCCACACACACATACACAAACGCACACACGTATGTTAATGTTTGCCTGGCCTTCGTAATGGCATGCGTTGTATGTACATGTGTCCGTAGGGTTGTGCTCTGGCCACGCCCCCGCGCACAGGCAGAAAAGTCCACGCCATGGCGGGAGCAGGGCCATGACAAAACAGATTCACCGTCGTGCTGATCAGCCCCGCCATCAGCACCACAATTCTGCAACCAGAACCATTGTAGCGCAATTACTGCCAATATCAACGGCACCGTCAGAGATCACCATATTCACAATCCTCACGTGGAAGACGTCAAACGGCAGCGGTGAATCGACATGGTAATATCGTCGAGGCAACGGCAATGCGGTCGTGACAGCAACGCCATGGCAAACACAACGCCGTGCCATCGACATCGGCGGCGTATCGTCCCAGCGGCAGCGCCGTCGCAACGGCAAGGTCATCGTAATGGCAGCCTCGTCGAGACGGCAATGCCGTCGCCCTTCGTCGAGGCGGCGAAAAAAAGTCCAAGTGTTGGCGGGCAGAGAGCCAGAGCCACAAAAGACACGCGTTGCTGCAAGGCAAAGCAAGAGTCATATCGACACGTGATTGAGTCGCGGAGCCTTGAGGGCTGACGGCATTGCCTTCGCAACTGGAGTGACTTTGCAACGGGGACGCCGTCGTATCGTCAAAACGGCAGCGCCGTCGTAACGGTAACGCCGTGACATCAGCATCGCAATCGCAATGGCAACACCGTCGTATCACATCGCCCCAGCGGCAGTACCGTCGCAATGGCAACGTTGTCGCAATGCCACGCGCCTAGGAAGAACGCGCGCCTTCATCTAGAGTACCCTTGTGTCCTTGCCTCTGCTGCCCGTCCTTTGCCGTTTTCACTGGTCGCCCGCCGCCCAACACAAATCCTAACTTCGGCCTCCATGGGCCTTGCGTCCTCACCACCCGGTCCTTATCACACGTGCTGACTGTATATCATGGCCAGGGCCATGAGAGCCTTCCAGAGTTCATTGCCCCCTCTTCTTCTTTCCATGCGCTCCCCATCGTTCGCGCACGTGCGTCGGGCCGTGATAAACTGGCCTCCCTATTCCATGTCCCTGGCCTTTTCTTCAGGGCGGGGGGGGCCTTCTGCTTCTCAAGAGACCCACGGGAAGTCGCGACGTCGTATCTTTTGTCGGCGTGGGCCCCCAGAGATCCTAAGACTGGCCCGAGTCGCGCTGTGACTGCCTCAGTGCCGCCCTAAGGGCTCTAGAGGCAGGAAACTGACAAGAGGAGGCCGCATGCGAACCCTACCCCACGACCGCACGATTTCTAAGGGGGGAGGTGGGGCTCGCTTCGTTCGAGACCTCCGAGGCGAAGTGAACCACACCTCCCTCTTAGAAATCGTGGGGTGGTGGGCCAGGGTTCGCATGTGGCCTCCTGGACCAAGAACGAAGAGAAGGAGGGAGAGTAGCAGAGAGACGCGCGCGCTAGGAAGAAAGAGAGAGAGAGAGAGAGAGACAGAGAGAGAGAGAGAGAGAGAGAGAAAACAAACAAAAGAGGAAAAGGCCGCCGCGCGCGCCCGGCTTAAACCAGCTGCCCTCCCCCCCTCCCCGCGCCGCGCGCGGGGCCAGCCAGGGGGGAGCTGTGCCGTCGTGCCTTCTCCCGCGACGTGAGGGGGTGGGTGTCGTGCCGGGGACTCGGACTCCAGCTCTGGGGCCCCTCCCGGGGCGCGTCACGGCCGGCAGTTTTTCGAGGCGGGCCCCGCCGTGGCGACGAGAGGTCTTCAGACCCTCCCAGAGGCGAGAGACTTACAGGCAATAGATGCTCGATCATCGGATTGAGGCGCCTCGCTTCTCGGCCCTCTTTTTTGCGTTGTTCTCTCTCTCTCTCTCTCTCCTCCCGACCTCTTCTTCCTTTGGGCCTGTTCCATGGCATGGTGGAGTCCCCTCCCATCAAGTGGTAAGCAGGCGGGAGGCTGGCATGGTTTCTCTTCGGGCCCTCGTGGAGCAAAGAGATCAAAGCTGCTCGATCCACGGGCGTTTGCCCTTCAAGACATGAAGGGGGTGTCGTTTGGGGGGGGGGGGGGGGCGCTCTCCGGGGAACCCCACCTGCCCTGCGAGGGTGCAGCGCAGGGTGCCCGGCCGAGGTGTCGGAGAGAGTTCCGCCGCCTCCGATCGGAGGTTGCCAGCACGGTTCCTTGAACCAGGTTGGTTTCGCCAGGCCTGAGGCCCCTCCAGCCCGACGTGAGGCCCCCCAGCTCAACCTGAGGCACCCCAGCAGCCGTCGGACCTGCCTTTCCTGAGCCCAGACCTTCTCGCCGTTCCCGAGTCGAGGCGCCGGGGACGCGCCACTCGGAGCCCAGGCTTCGGCACGACCGAAGCCCAGACCTCCGAAGCATGGCTCCTCAATCGAGGCGGCTCGGGTGACATTCCGCCTCCTCGGGCCGCTCTGGGTTCCCATGACAGTCAACATGTGATTTTTCGGGAGGAGGGCGGGTTCTCGGGGGAATCGGTCAGGAGGTCTCTGACCGCGGATTGAAAACCACATCGTCGTATGTCTGGGAATGAGTACAGTGGAAACCCATGCCAAGAAACACCCTTGTTGCCTCCAGGGTGCCCTGGCTTTCTTGGGTTTCTCGATGGTTCTGCGATGGAAAGCATGACGTCCCCACACCAAAAGTCAGTGCGCGTTCTGGGGTCTGAGGGTTGTTTTTTTTGCGGAAGGTTTCTTCTGGTCGAGCTCCTACTGTACGGAAAGATTCGAGCAGTGGCCAAGCGTTTTGGCTTGCCTATAGGCCCATCAGTACATGTTCTAAGTCTTTGTGTGGTTGGCACGAAGTGTTCTTAGAACATGTCTGGCTGAGGCTGTCTTGTTTTACTACGTCGGGTTCACGTTCTAGGAGCAAGGCAAATGTTATCAGAACATGCTTTGGTTCCAAGAACATGTCGTGGTAGGCCTATGGAACTGCTGGGACGGTCGGCCCCTGGTCAAAGGACTGGGGACGACGACCGACAGCAGGTCCTGTCCGTTGTTATCCGGACTCGCTGTGGGTGTCGCCGAGGAGTTGACCACTTGACGCAGCAAGCTGCCTGCCTAGCAGCGGCCCCTGTTCGTACAGGATGGCATATGCTGTTGCCAGGCATCGTGCCAATCTGTCCGTACTCGTTGCAGGCGTGCCAGACTTTGTTTGGGGTGGGGGCATACGCATATCTCCAGAAAGGCACCAGAATGTCGAGCCTGAGGTCTCTCTGCCTTCTCGACCTCTGGAGGCTGCATTCGGGCCCCAGGGCCGTCACAGAGCGGCTCGGGATGAAGAGAGGCCAGCTCCTGCGGAGCGGGCGTTCGGGCCCCAGGTCTCCGGAACCCGCCGGAGGTCTGGGGTGGAGCTGGAGGCCCTCCGCTCGTCCCGAGCGCCGCTGGCGTCGAGGGCGTCGCTCCTTCTGTTCAGTATCGTTTAACCTGTCCCCACCCGTCCCCACCGGGCCATGGCGTCGCAGCCCCACCATCCCATCCCCCAGTTGGGGATAGACCCCTCGAAGCCCGAGGGGAACAGCCCATATCACCATCCAGGGGGGCGGGTCGGCCAGGGGGCCAAGGCCATGCCAGTTGGAATGGGAACTGGTTAGTCCAGGGGGTTCGCAGCGGCACTGCGCGGTGTGTAAGGGATGGCTGCTGCCGCTAATCCTGGACACTCCACATGGGCTCAGAAGTCCATCCCAGCAACAGGTCAATCAATCAAACCAGCTCAGGCCATTGCAACCCACCTCAGCTGGACTCAACCCAGCCCATCCAGTCCAATCAAATCCATTCCAACAAACCTACGCAGAATTGCTTGGACCATACACCGGCCATCTTGACTTCTCCTAATCCTGCTCAGTTCGCTCCTGTTGCGCATCCCCTCCCCTCTCTCCCCTCTCCTTCTGTTCCATCCTTCCCATGCCCCCCAGCCCTGCCCTCACCGCGTGCCTCTCGCTCTGGAAGCCCGGTGGTGCTCTCCATCCCCCTGTTTGTCGCCTCGCTCACCCATGTAGCCTCTCCAGGCCCGGCCAGGATGTGACCCAGAGGAGGATCGGGGCCAGGACCATGTCCACAACATTGTGTTGTGTTCGTACACCGCTGAGTAGTAAATGGCAGCGATCCCCAGGGGAGAGGGAGGAGAGAGGCCCGCCGAGCCTGACCAGATTACGCCAGGAGGGCGAGCGCGAATCCACTGCTTGTCGCTTGCGCGAATCCGAGCTCGGGTGCGGGCTGCCGATCCGGGCCCCTTGCGTCAGGATGCACTTCCTGGAAGGTTGCGTTCAGCGTCGGCGCTGGTAGATCCATTGTGGAAACCTGGCGTAAACCAGCACCGTCCCACTGATTTCTGTTCAATTCCGCTCAATCTGGCTTCATCCCGGGCTTATATTCCAGCTTATTCCAGATCAGTTGACCTCAGTCAGGCTTAATAGCCCCTCTTCGTTTCTACGAAGACCTCCCAGGAGCTGTTTCCACATTCCTGCGCAACTCGGCCGCATTAGCCATGCCGCGCCGTGGCGCCTTCAGAGTGGTGCTGGCGGTCCTGGCCGCCATAGGCGGGTGCAGGGCCATCAGCGACCACTGCAGAGTCGACTCGGTGAGGGGGTGCGAGTGTGTCCTCGGCTCGGACCTGTACAAGGACACCGAGGGCTGCGACTCCAATGCGTGCGCTGCTCCGGGCGGGGTCGACCGGTTCGTGCACCTGATCGACGGTTGCTCCGCCAAGGTCAGGCAGGCCAAAATGCATTGCGAGGAGATGCAGAACGTGGTGCGCTGCGCGAAGGAGTTGGGCTGTTTTGATAGGAATATCGAGGACGTCTGCACTGGCATGGTGAGGAGCGATCCGACGTGTGAGCTTGATTGTGCGGCCGCCTTCCGGGCTGCTGGCGTTGGCCTGACGGCCGTCCTCATGGGGTTGTTCACAATGAGCCTCCACCTTCAAGCATGACCTTTGGCGTTGAGCTTGTTGAGGCTGCTAATGCGGCGCGGCAGGCTTGCGCAGTGTGCTCCCTGTCATGTGTAAGAACTCGCGTGGGAAGTTGTTACTGCACCTTCAATCACATGCCACGTCATGAATTGGCATGGGAAGTGAATGTGACCGGCTAGGCAGGCTGTGCAAAGTAGGGCGAATGGCCCTCATGGCAGTTTGGCCGGCGGTCGCTATAGCGATCTTTCAAAAAACAACACATCCAGAGGGAATCGACCTCTGGCAGCAGTTTCCGATTGAGTGATGTAACAGGCCCACGTCATTTCGCCGAACCTCAGAAGAAGACAGATGCGGCTCCCGATCTCGTGCGTGTTGCTTGCGGCTTCCCGTCCAGAAGCCTGCGTGTAAGTCGTGGCCGATTCGTCCTCCTCTTCCTCCGTGTCTGTTGCGGGGCTCTTTGGGGGCCTCTTGAAGGCCTCTGGGGCGGCCTCCTGGCGCTTCCTCGCGGCTCCCGTGGGCTTCTGCTGCCCTCTGGGGGCTTCTTGGGGACCTTTGGGGGGTCATGCTGGGGGTCCTGGGGGCCGTTTTGAGGGGTAGGGCTCCCGGGGTGCTGCGGGTTCCCCTCGTGGGCCTCTCTTGGTGTTTGGGCCCCTTTTGGGGCCTTCTGAGTGTTTTTCTGTACCGTTTTTGGGGCCTCCCGGGCCGTCCTGGGGCCCTCTTGGGCCGCTTCTGGGTCCTATCGAGGGCCTCGTGAGTCCTATCACGCTGCTTTGGGTCCGGGCACCAGAACAGGCGAGAACACAACATTCGTGAAAAAGCCACATGGGGATTAATAACCGCTGCCTTTGGAGGCCCTCTTCAGCGCCCTCTTTGGGGGCCCTTTCGGCCTCTTGGGCCGTCTTGGAGCTATCTGGGGTTTGCTTGAGACCTCTCCGGCGCGTTGGAGCATTTCTGACTGTAAATTTGGAGGCTCTGGAGGCGCCGAGGCCACGTTGATGAGCTCGTCGCCACCCGGGCCCCCTCCCCCTTTCACGACATGTTCGGCCCATGGGGGAGGGGGAAACGGGAAGGGGGACAGCCAGATATCCCACACGCTTTTTCACCCCCTTGTAATCGGGTGTCGGCGGATTTCTATAGCAGGGCAGATGGATTCGTGGCTCGAGGAACGTCTTGGTTGGAAAATGTCTCCGGGCTCTCTTGGGACGATCTCGTGCCACGTTCATGCTTGATGACAGTTGGCAGTATACAGAAAGATCGGGGTGCATGATGAACAACATGCAGGAAGTTCGCACTCACGCGATGATAAGAACACCTGTGCGGTGCGGTCCGCTCGCCCCGTGGTCCTTCCTTTCGGCGGCAAGCCCGGGGGGAAGTGAGAAGGGGCGGGCCTTCTCAGAAGGCTTGGACGTCCCCCAGCCTTCTGAGAAGTTTTCGAAGCTTTCCGCGAAGATGCAGACAACTTCTCAGAAGACCCCTTTGGCTTCTGAGAACTCCCGCCGCCTTCTGACAAGGCCTTCTCCTGCTCACTTCCCCCCTCGCTCGCCGCCGATCCCCCCCTCCCTCCCTCCCTCGCTCTCCCTCCTCGGTCTCATCTTCACCCTGTCCGCTCCTCTCTCTCTCCTCATCTCTCTCTCTCTCTCTGTCTCTTTCTCTCTTTCTCCCCCTACTTCTGCTAAGCTCCTCCCATAGCACTCTCGACGACCCCCTACAACCCCCTGGCCCCCCCCTGAGTTCCCCGAGACCCATGACCCCCCTAGATCTTACCCAGCCGCCCACCACACTCCTGCTCCCTTCTCTTTTCCCGCTGCCGCCGCACCTTCCTCCTCCTCCTCCTCCTCCTCCCTCCCTCCCTCCCTCCCTCCCTCCCTCCCTCCCTCCCTCCCTCCCTCCCTCCCTCCCTCCCTCCCTCCCTCCTCCCTCCCTCCCCCTCCCTCCCTCCCTCCCTCTCCTCCCTCCCCAGGGCGGAGGAGGGGTGAACAAGGGTTGAGGAACGTGCGACGGCTCGCATTTCGCCATGGCCGCAGCCAGAGGACGCGGTGGCCTGATCGCCGACCTCGACATCAGCGCAACGGTCCAGAGAGGGGCCTCCTTGCCTGCGATTCGACGCGCCGTCGGCGGCCCCCCGCAGTCGCGGTCCACCCGCGCTGCTGGGGCCGCGCTGGCTCGGGGCGAAGAGACGAAAAAAAGGGGAGGGGACGGCGCTGGGGGGTTTTCAGTTGACGGGGCCCGCAGGGTTCCCAGGAGGTGCCCGAGTCTCGGCCCGAGCGAGGGGGGCAGGGACTCTCAAGCAGGCCCGGCGCCGCGGTGAGCCTCTGCGCGTCCGCCGCCTAGACGCTCCCGTCTGGCTCGCCCCCGCACGCCGCCAGGGCAACGGCCCGCGCCCGATGGCGCCCGAGACCCCAACGGCTCGCGGCACATCGCAAGGAGCGCAGCCGCCGTAGCCAGAGGAGCGCAGCATCGGCAGCTCTGTCGCGCGCCTCGCCGCCAGCATCAGTGGACCAGGGACGACTCGCTTGCCGCCTCGCGCAGGCACACTGACGCATAGCAGGTTCTAGCTTTCCCCAGGCATCAGCAAGTCGACCGTCGCGGAGACCAGCAAGAAACGCCGCCGCATGCCCCCTGCTGCACTGCGTCGCTTATGGCCTGGCGGGCGTCGGGCCATCAATCCACAGCAGGCCCCGCAAGCGTACAAGGGGTCGCCACCTCATAGCTGCGTGCTGCGGCGCCTCGATGGCCAGCTCTACCTTGAGCGCTGCGTACGTCGCCAGCCCCAGGTCCCACCGCGGCCCAGCAGACACCACCTACGCCATCGCCGCACCATATTGGCGAGCACGCAATCGATTCTGGATGGGTTGCCCGAGCTCGGCAATACAGGTGGGCACGGTCCTCGCCAAAACGACCTGCTAGCCAGCCAGCGCTCGGAGGGCTCAGCGCTGGTCCCATGAAGCACGAGGTTGAGGTCCCCCACAAGCAGCGCCGGCACGTCGCCCAGCGAGCGGAACCACGACAACGCTGCTAGGAGCAAGGCCTCGTTGTCCTCCACAGCGGCAGCGCCATCAGCATAGTCGTAGACCTGCGCGATGTGCGACGCCCGCTGGCCTCCGAGGCGAAGGACCGCGCACTGCAGCCGGCAGGCTTGCTCCGGGGTCATGCTGACCATCTCCGCGGCGACGAGGCCGTACAGGCCCTCCTCGTCCGCGAAGGCCAGCTGATGGATGCCTTCGCCAGCGGCCTCAAGCTGCAGGCGGAGTCCGCGGAGCCGAGCTTCTGCGAAAGTGGCGGCAGCTGAGCCCTCGTCAGCGGGCGAGCGCGCTTCTTGGAGGTAGTACGCATCTGCCCCAGCTGGGCCAGCATCCCGCGCCAGTTGGCGCGCCAGCTTGTGGCGTTAGCCACGGGGATGCGCGTGTTGGGTGGGCCCTGGGCGCGAGGCTCTCGCCCGCGCGGATGCCTCGCCTCGCCTTGCCCATCCGCTCCACCGCGAGGCGTCCGTCGCCGAAGCTGGCGGCCGTCCGGCTGGCCCTGGGCGCCCACGATCTCCCCGACGGCGCTGGAGATCGCGACCACATGCGGCCTCTTAGGTGGCTCCCGAGCGGCCCGGGCGGCGCCAGCGGCGGCCCCGCCGCCCTCGGTGGCCTTCCTGGGGGCCCAAGTCGCCCGCGATCTCCCGAGTGCTGCTGGAGATCGTGGACGGCGGAGGCCCCGTGCGGGCCTCCAGGAGCCCATCGGCGGCGGCCCGCGCGCGCGCGCCTGGCGGAGGCAGCCCAGGCGGCGCCGGCGGCCGCGCTCCGTGCATCGCTACGCGAGCGGCCCCGCCTGCATGGGGAGGGCAGCGTGGAGGCAGCTCGCTGGCGGTCCAGGCAGCGCCGGAGCGTGACCTGCCGCCTGGCCTCCGCAGCGTGGCCTGCCACTCGCGCCACGATCTGGGCGCGTCCCCGCGAAGCGCAGCACCGCTGGCATCGCTTCCTGGCGGCGCAGCGCCCGGAGCTGCGGCGGCATTGGCACCCGCCAGGCTCTCTGGCGGCGCAGCGCCCGCAGCGGCCTCCTGGAGAAGGAGCGCCAGGACCTGCACGGAAACCAGCGCCTGGGGTGGCAGCGGCGCCGTTGGCAGCGAGAGGCATTGAGGCGGCGGCACCTCCTCGGACTCCTGCCGCACCAGCGGCATGAGCCTCCGCAGCGGCTCTATGCACCGCCACGGTGACCAGCGCGCGGAGCTGCTCGACGAGTGCCGCGGCGTCACCGCCACCTTCAGCGCCGCCTCCGCGCTGCGGCAACGCCGAAGTGGCAGCTGCGAGGGCGTGGAAGGCCGCCGCGACGCTGGCCTCAGTCGAGTCCACCGCTGCGCTGCCAGCAGCTGGGCACTGGCCTGCTGCAAGGCCTCCGCCCGCCTCGAAGTGCGCGACCGCAGGCCGGGCCATCGCTTGCAGCGTGGTCGTCGCCGCCCGCGGCGGGTTCGCACCCCGCCAGCTCTGCGCTGCAATGCCATGCTGACTACGCACCGCTGTGCGGTGCCATCCCTTGCGCTGCAATGCTACGACATGGGATGCTTGACTGCGCAGTGCCACGCCATGCTATGCCATGCTGCGCTGCCCAGCGCTCTCCTGACTATGCCTTGATACGCCACACCTTGCATCGAGCCCCCGATGGGGATCGTTGCCCTGCCTTTTCGGCAGCCGACTGCGGATAGAGAGGGGCTTCACGCACTGGCACGTGATGGGAGGGAGGGGTAGGAGATCTGGATCTGACGCGAGCGCACCTCGCTTGCCTCTTCCTCTCCTCTCTCCTCCCTCCTTCCCAGCGCCACGGGAAGGGATGGGAGGGAGGGATAGGATGGCAGATATGGCGCGAACGCACCTAGCTTGCCTCTCTTCGGCGGCGAGCGAGGGGGGAAACGAGAAGGAGAAGGTCCTCTCAGAAGGCGGCGGGGCTTCTCAGAAGCCCTCGCGCCTTCTGAGAAGCTTTTGTTTGTGTCTTCGGCGAAGGCTTAGAAAACCTCTCAGAAGGCTGGGGGATTTCCGAGTCTTTTGAGAAGGCCTTTTCTTTCTCGCTTCCCCCCCTCGCTCGCCGCCGATCTCCCCTCTCTCTCCCCATCGGCCCCCCCAGGTGGACCAGCGGCCCCGAGCACCGGCGCCGCCACGCCGCCGCGCGGCCCCTGCACGCTGGCACGGAGCGCTGCCGGTCCGGGCGACAGCGGCGACGGCGGCGCCCTTGTCGATCATGGCAGGCCTGGGTCGGGGGCAGCGTGGGGAGGGGGGGGGACCAGGCTCAGGGGTGTGGCGCTCGAGGTTCGAGCTTTTTCTTCGGTAAGGGGGGGACGGCGGCGGCGGCGGAGAAGGAGGAGGAGAAGGAGGAGGAGGAGGAGGAGGAGGAGGAGGAGGAGGACGAGGGGGAGGAACAGGCTCATGGGTGCGGGGTTCGAGGTTTGAATTTCTGCAGCGCCAGGGTTAAGTAGGGCATGTCCCCATACAGGAGGAATATCCAAAAATAATCGAAAATAGTCTTAGGACGATTTTTAAGACTCGCCCCCACCCCGCAGAGGCCCGTGCGGATTCGCTATCGGGGGTGTCGGATGGCAGCTCGATGATCCCCCCAGGGCCGATCCCCCCCGAACGTTCCTCCTCACTGCTGTCGAGGCCGCCAGGCCTCGGAGGTGCGAGGGCCCGTGGGCGCCCACCGTCCCGGGGGCGGGCAACCACAGGACCCGATGCGCACCCACGCGCCGCAGCTGTGGGCACAGCCAGGGCGCTGGGATGAGGGCCACCCTGAGCTCAGCCAGGGGGCTCCGGTTTTCGAGCCGTTCCTCAGGTCAAGGTCGGTGAACCCATTCGTGGCCGAGGCCCGCTGGCGCCAGACAAGTCCCTTCATTCCTTCTGTGAGCGTTCTTCTTTCCTCCCCAACGTAACGCTCGTTACCCTGCCCCCCCCCCCCCCCCCGTGACGCTAACGATCGTACTGGGCGGGGAGGCCTGGACCCTCCCTACATGCTAGGCGGCGGACTGTGCTCACCAGCATGGCGCGGTAATGAAATGCATGCTTTGGTGCTCATAAACATGCTGTGGCGCTCGCAGGCTCTCCACCTGCTGCGGCCCCGAGCTCACAGGCATGACGGGCGTGGTACCTAAGGTGCTTCGGTGCTCACATGCGTGTTGTGCGTGTTGTGGCGCTTGCAGGCTATTGCGGTGCGCATAGGTCAGGCCCACGCACTGCAAATGTGCCCTGCTCGAAGGGCGGCGGGTCGGGGGACCGATGTCGAGCGGCTTTCGTCTGGGCGGTGCCACCAATGCTCCTGTTGCTGCCCCCCTTCTTGCTCCTCCTGCTGCTCCTCCCCCCGCTCCGTATTCCCCTCCCTCGACGAAGGCCGCCAGGACCGTTGAAAGAGGAGAGGAAGAGGACAGGTATGTGGAGGTGCAGGAGGAGGAATAGGAAAAGGAATAGGAGGAGGAGGAGGAGGAGGAGGAGAAGAAACAAGAGAGAAAGCACATAACAACGAGTCCTGAAGGCTTCCGTGGTCTTTGGCGAGCCCCGCAAGGAGGCCTCGCAAGCTAAGAATGTGCTCGTTGGCACGTTTGGCGTTGTGGTGTGCACAGGCGCTGTGGTACACGGAGGCATTGTGGCGTGCGAAGGCGTTGCGGTACACATGGTTGCTGTGGTGTACACAGGCGTTGTGGTGTACACAAGCTCTCTGGTGCACGCAGGCAACGAGGTGTACGCATGCGCTGTTGCGCATAAGGCTGCTGCAGTTTACACAGACACTGTGGTGTACGGAGGCACTGCGGTGTACACAGGCGGCGGTGTGCTGCACGCAGGCATTGGGCATTGTCGTGTACGCAGGGGCTGTGGTGCACACGGGCGACTGATGCGCCGGTTGCGCGGACGTACCCTGGCGGGTGCAGGCCGCGGCCGCCGTAACCGTTACCCTCCCACCCGCCCCCCGCCCAGGTAACGACGGTTACCCCGGAGGGAAAGAGCGTTCTTTCTGGCAGCAAGATGGCTGCATCTGCCACCGCTATCGAGCCTTACCCTTTCGGGCCGAATCGACCTTGCCCCAGGGTAGGGGTGAGAGAGGCGCCTGGTGTTGCCTTGCCAGTGCCGCGGGGCTCGAGCGCCAATGCAAAGACGCCCGCCGCAGACGCGGGGGGCAGGGGGGGGGCGGAGGTCGGAGGATCGGAGGACGAGGAGTAGGAGGAACAAGGGGAAGGAAGTTGAGACGGCGGGGAGGAGGGTGGGAGGAGAAGAGGAAGAAGAAGCGGGGGAGGCAGAAAAGGAGGAGGAGAAGGTGGAGGAGGAGAAGGTGTTAATTTGACGGGGATGACTGGGTCGGGAGAATGGTAGTATTGTTGTTACCGGACGTGCGTCGCGATCGACGCCGTTCGGCTAAAGCGATTGATAGCTAACGTTCGGAGAGCATGAGCGGTCTGATAAGACTTTTCGATAGTTTTCTTGCGTATCCTCCCCGAGGATTTACATGGTAGCGGAGCGAGGTTAAGTAACTCGCGGGCAATGGCGGGCGTTGCCGCTGCTGAGGCCGTTGCAGGACCAGGCGGTCCAGGGCGTGAGTCAAACACGCCACAAGACCGGGACATGCGACATGCGGTTCAACCGTAGCCCGGCCCAGGTCACGGAGTTATGCGAGGCTGCTTTCTACATCGGCGACTAGTTACGTGAGCGTCACGTTACGAGCCAAGCATGATCGTATGAAATAGACCATCGAGCGACAAAAGCCACCGTGATGAGAACAATTACTAATGAAGAGAGCTATGGCCTACTTCTCATCGCCCAGAAAATACATTCGCGGTTACTGAATGCGGGCGGTGACAAAGAATACGAACGCCAAGAACGAGCCGAACATACTTCCAGAAAAGCACGCTTGACAGCGTCACAAAGATAGCGGAGTCGATGGCCGAGAGGAAGACCAAACCAGCGCATCTGGGTACTAAGCCGGCTAGCGAATACAAGGCCAGCAGCTGAAGAAATTGGCCTGTCATCGAGGTATGTTCAGGGAATGGATCGAGAAACTCCTGAACGCCGTTGCACAGGTCAATCCGAGTTACCGTAGGGCGCTCAAGAACCTCAACAGCAAGTTGGATACGATGGGCGGTGTGTAGGATGAGGCTGAAGACGACATGGCGACGATACTCAGCGGCCGGTTAACGGTGGCCGAATACGCAAAAGCACAATCAGTTAAACAACAGCACGATGACGACAAAGGTGATCTTGAGTTTGGAAGCGACCAGATGAACAAGTTAGAAGAGGATCTGCGGTACATCCTGTATGACAAGCTGGGCGGAGTGGAACCGCGAGGCAAGTTGAAGTGGTTACGTGATGGGGGTGGATTGCAGGCGTACCAATCTAATACAATTCTTAGCCGTTGTTGCGCACGGCGGGGCACCAAGCTTCAAAAATGAAGGCCTGAAGCTTCAGCCTTCAGCTTGAGCTTGAGGCTTCAGTTCTGGCCTGGCTGGTCTGGTTGGTCTGGTTTGAGCTTAGTGCTGAAGCTTTAGCTGTGGATTCGGTCGAGAGTGGTTCAGGGGATGTCCAGGGAGGCAGCGTCAACCACTACCACGGGACAGCACTTACTTGTGCATTTCAGATTTGTCTTTGCATTTTTGTTTGTGATCGAGTTTGTTGTTGCATCTGGTATGGCTTGTCGGGTTGCTCTGGTACTAGCTTAGTGATGACATTTTCGCTTACGATTCGGGCGAGAGTGGTTTAGGGGAGGTCCAGGGAGGCAGCGCCAACCACTACCACAGAAAAGTATGTTTTTGTGCATTGCAGCGTTTTGCTTTGCATGTTGTTCTTGCATTGCAGTGTTTTGCATTGGTCTGGCTGGTCTCGTTGGTCTGGTTTGAGCTTATTGCTGGAACTTTAGCTTCAGACTTGGGCGAGAGTGGTTTAGGGGAGGTCCAGGGAGGCAGCGCCAAACACCATCACGGAAGAGCGTTCGTTTTGTTTTGCATTTGTTCTTGCATTTGGTCTGGTTGGTCTCGTCGGTCTGGTTTGAGCTTAGCGCTGATGCTTTAGCTTGGGACTCGTGCGAGAGTGGTTTAGAGGAGATCCAGGGAGGCAGCGCCAACCACTGCCACCGAAAAACATGTTTTGGCATGGCAGTTTGTTTGCATCTGGTCTGGCTGGTTTGGTTTGTCTGGTACGAGCTTAGTGCTGAAGCTTTTGTTCAAGATGCGGGCGAGAGTAGTTTAGGGGAGGTCCAGGAAAGCAGCGCCAACCACTACCACGGAAAAGGCAGTTTGTGTTGCATTGCGGTTTGTTTTGCAGATGGTATGGCTGGTCTTGTTGGTCTGGTTTGAGCTGAGTGCTGAGTTTCTAGCCCAGGATTCGGGCGAGAGTGGTTCAGGGGAGATCCAGGGAGGCAGCGCCGACCACTACCACGGAAAAGCAGTTCTTTGTGCATTGCAGTTTTTTGTTGTATCGGGTATGGTTGTTCTCGTTGGTCTGGTTTGAACTTAGTGCTGAAATTTTTGCTTTGATCTCGGGCCAGAGTGGTTCAGAGGAGCTCCAGGGAGACAGCGCCAACCACCACCACGGAAGAGCATTCGTATTGCTTCGCAGTTTGTTCTTGCATCTGGTCTGGCTGGTCTTGTTGGCCTGGTTTGATCTTGGCTCTGAAGCTTTAGCTTCGGATCCGGGCCAGAGTGATTATTTAGGGGAGGTTCAGGGAGGCAGCGCCAACCACTACCACCGAAAACCATTGCGTTGCACTGCAGTTTTCTGGCTTTGTCTGCATCTGGTCTGGCTGGTCTGCTTGGTCTGGTTTGAGCTTAGTGCTGAAGCTTTAGCTTAGGATTCGAGCGAGAGTGGTTTAGGGGAGCTTCAGGAAAAAGCGCAACCACTACCATCGAAACACATTGCTTTTGCATCGCAGTTTTTTGGGCTTTGCAGTTTTTGGCTGTTGTGTTGCAAGTTTGTTTGCATCTGGTCTGGCTGGTTTGGTTGGTCTAGTCTGAACTGAGTGCAGAAACTTTAGCTTTGGATTCGGGCGAGAGTCCAGAGGCAGCTCCAACCACTACCACCGAGCATCAGTTGTGCTGCATTGCATTTTGTTATTTTGCATGTGTTGTGCGTTGCTGTTTGTTTTGCATCTGGTCTGGCTGGTCTGGTTTGTTTGTCTGGAGCTTAGAGTTGAAGCGCTTCACCCATAAGCTGCCATAGTTGGTCTACCGG